GTTCTTTCCATAAATTGCGATTTAACAAAGGACTTATAGTGCGATGACCAAATAAAAGAATTTGCAGCACAAAAATGCAGAAAGGTTGCTTTATAATTTATATAACATGACCCTTCATAACCTGTCAATTTATTTAGCAATAAATAATGTTTTAATAATTAAATAAAATATTTTGTATTCCTATTTTCTTCCTGTACTTAACATACATCACAACAGAAAACAGTTTTTTGACAATATGGCAATTGGTTGGGAATGGGAAGGGCCCCTAAGCAGTATTAGCCCGGGGCCCCACAAATTCAAGATCCGCCCCTGTTCTGAAAGCTATCCAAATCGATAATAACGAGTTGTTTCATACGCTTAATGACGATAAAACTGTAAGGGAGTAGCTTTTTAATAAAAATATATTTTAACCAATTAGAGGAGTTTTATATCAACTTTATAAGTTAATAATTTTAAAGTACAAAGTAATTCTAATAATTCCGATTATAATGATAAGAATAAGCAGATTTTGAATTTGAAAGCAGGATCAAAAACTGTTGAGTTGTATTTTAAAATGAAATGGAAATTATGATTATCGTATGTGTTATTTAATTAGCTAAAGTATGTCAATAATAATGTTCGATTCAACTCCACCAAAACACAAACCTTCGCGTTCACCTCTAAAAAAACTTTTTACTGTGGCCCTAAAGTTCATAACAAGCTAGTAATAAAAAAGCTCGGTGTGCTTAATATTGAAACGTCGACAATCCCAAATTCACAAGCAATGTTGAATCCTAACGAGTTACTGTTTTATTTATGATAGATATTTCAACGACTTATTCACTATTACATTCAGTATGTAAGATGCATTGGTTCTAGATAACAGTGAATTTGTCACTTAAAGAAGTACACAACAATTCCATAAAAGCTTTAGTGTCTTCTTATGCGTGTTCTAACTGCTGCTTCAGTACCGCCAGTTATATTTGTTTACGAGATTTAAAAAAATTAAACATCTAATAGAGTAAGTTAGATAGCAATGTGCTCCTAAAAGTTTTTTTATTAAAAGGCAACGCAACGAAAACAGTTTTTGGTGAATAAATTCGCAAGGTTGGATGCACAAATTTTTACTTACCATACACAATTAAAGTACCAAGTAAATTGGTAACCATACAGCAAAAACACATTCGCAATTTCAACATTTGTGAAAAGTTCTAATTTCAATCAGGCTTTACTTATTAATTTATGAAAGTTTCAGCTACTCAAATCCGCTGATTCTCTTGCTATGTTCCTCAAATGAAAACATGCTGATTTGAGTACATATGCATTAAGGTCTTCGTGATAGAATCCTTTAAATTCATTGCATTTTTCATCAACTCTTTAGAATCGATAGTTTTTAAGTAAGAAATAATACTAAAACGATTGCCAATTTCTTAATATGCTGCCAAACGATTTTTTGAATGTGCATATAATGTATCGACAAACTTATCTACGCGAAATTTATCTTTGCCATGCAACTGTACAGTCTCCGATGATCTTTCAAAAAAGTGACGCATGTGCTACGAATTATTTTCATTTGAGACTTATCTTAATTCAACAATACCTACCTAGCGAATGCACACGGGACAAAAATTGCAAATTTTCATTTTTCTTATATTCTTGACTGAACACTTTACATTACTACTTTATCCCAACTTAACAAAACGTTTAGCAAAATATCCACTGGGTATATGCTCCAGACCCTTACTGACTAGGTACTTTTTAGGTATCTTTCATTACTATTATCAATTTGACAAATATATTTTTAAGTTGTAATTATATAAGTAAATATATAGTTACCAAAAATGAAAAAAGTCCAGACCATAAGGCAAACCATTTTACAGTCAAATAAAAAGTTTCCTATCTGGAAAGTTAAGCAATGCCACATTTTCTGTGGTATTCGGCAATGTTATTGCTAAGGGTTTCCAAGTCACCAACAACGCCCCAATTTACTTTTTTTTTGTCGGCTTAAATATCTAAAATAGAAAAAAAAAGTGTAAGGAATATATCGCTTTTCGGGGCCCCCGACGTATGTAATTCAAGCAGTAGGATGTGTAATGTTTTTTTAATTAACTTAATGTATTTATAATGCATTTATATATAAAAAATATCTATATGCACTTCTTCTCCATATAAACTTTAAATCCCTCCGTATTTTTTTAAAAGGGGTAGGTACAAAGTTTTCGTTTGCCGTATTAATTATATAGATTATTTATTTTTAATAAAAATATCAAATACAAAATCTTAAATCAAAATTATTTTAAACAGCTCAAGGATCTTGAGAAGAATTTGAACAAAATATCCAGTGATTGCATAGATGGCTTTTATATAGGTAGTAGAGATCGCGATCAAATTTCGACCATTTTGTAAACGTCTTGTTTTATTACATTGACTAGTTTAATTTAACTTACATTAAATATTAAATTAAGTCATTTCTGGTGCGACTCGACTGTAGTTTTTAGGTTGGCTATCATCGCAGCCTAACCAATATAAACAGTTCGTTTGTAATCGTAATAAACGAAATTCAGGAAAAATCTTTAGGTCACACATGGAGATACGTGCCATCTAAATTAAATCCTGCTGACCTTGTATCGCGAGGCTTACCAGCAGATCAATTAAAACATTCATTGTTGTGGTGGCGAGGTCCTGAATTTCTTTTGTTAGACCCGTCTCAATGGCCCCAAATGCCAAACACAAATAAATTAGTACGCGAAGAAAAAATATGTCTATCTACAAATAAAATATCAAATAAAAATAATGAAAACTGTAACATAATATCTTATCTTATTAATAAATATTCCAATTTTCATAAATTACAAAGAGTAGTGGCTTACATACTAAGATTTATATTTAACTTAAAAAATAAAAAAGAATCAAAAAAGCTTACCAATAGTCTTAACAATATAGAATTACAACAATCATTGAATATTATTGTTCTATATGCTCAGTCTGAGATGTTTCCTATTGAGTCTCTTATCCTTAAAGCAGGAAAGACTCTTCCTAGAAAAAATCGATTACTGTCTTTGTCACCATTCGTAGATGAAAACCAGATCATTCGTGTAGGTGGTAGATTAGATAATTCACCTTACTGTTATAACGTTAAACATCCAATTTTGATTTGTAGCAAACATCAATTTACAAAATTGATATTTCAAACTTACCATATTAAATTATTACATTCAGGCCCACAATCTTTATTATCAAATATTCGTCAAATATATTGGCCGCTGAACGGCAGAAATTTGTCTAAAGTGACAGTCCATAACTGTTTGAAATGTTTTAGGGTTAAGGCTCAAACAGTGCAACCCTTAATGGGCCAACTTCCTCTTAACAGAACAAATTTAGAGTTTCCTTTCCTGCATTGTGGCGTAGACTATGCTGGACCGGTGCTGATAGCTGACCGCAAAGGTAGAGGCTGCAGGCTCTTGAAGTCCTATTTGTGTATTTTTGTATGCTTTTCTGTTAAAGCTATACATTTGGAGCTTGTTACAGAACTTACGAAGGAAGCATTTATAGCCGCTTTGAACCGTTTCATCGCTCGGAGGGGGAAGCCACAAAGTGTCTCCTCTGATAACGGAACGAACTTTGTTGGCGCATCCAATGATCTACAAAGGTTTCTTCTTGAATCTAATATTCAATATGACATGGCCCAGGAAGGCATTGATTTTAAATTCACTCCTCCTTATAGCCCACATTTTAATGGAATGGCTGAGGCAGCTGTCCGCTCAACAAAGTATCATCTTAGGCGTCAATTACAAGCCGTTCATTTTACCTACGAGCAGATGGCTACCTGTTTGGCTCAAATCGAGGCTATTTTAAATTCTCGTCCCCTCACTCATCTTTCCACAGACCCCCTCGACTTTACTGCTCTTACTCCCGCTCACTTTTTAATAGGACGACCACTCACTACTTATCCACATCCACAAGTTTTGGAGAAAGATGTTACCATCATTGACCGCTACAAAAGGATTGAGTACATCCGACAACATTTTTGGGTCCGTTTCAGAAAGGAATACATCTCCACTCTTCAACAGCGGACGAAGTGGCTTACGTCTTCACGCAACGAGCTTAAACCCAACGACTTAGTCCTCATTAAGGATTTTCACCCTTCCACCTAGTGTGGCCTCTAGGAAGGATCATCAAGGTTTATCCTGGTGTCGATGGGATCAGTCGTGTCGCCGAGATTAAGACGAAGAGAGGCATCATACGTAGAGCCTTTAATAATATTTGCCCTCTTCCAGCTCAAGACTCTTGATTCCTCATCCTGGGGGGAATATGTCGAGAATCAAACCTCGATCCTCGACATCACGGTTTGCCGGTGCTTACAAGCGGCTGAACCGCTAGCAAATGGCGTGCGGCGGCGCGGGTGACGGGGAGGCAGCGAGAAGCGGGGGCGCGGACGCAACGGCTCCCACCAAGCTATTATGTACTGGCACTCGCTTTATATACTCGAACGGGATCACTGCTCCTTCAACGTACCTCTTGTGATCATTAAAAACCAGCGCAAAATACAGTCCACTTTTATTTATCGTCTAACACCGAGACCTTAACAACTGTATTTGTATAGATTGTTGTACCATGACAGCTCGAGGTATATACTGGACGTCTATAGTTTTATGTAGCTAATTTAAAACATGATTGGTTCTGCACTTCTACATAATAATATGTTTGAAAAGGTAGCAAAAATTCTGTAATAATACGTAAAAGATTAAAGGGGACTGAGATTCAACATTTTTATTACAGATCATGAGGTCGTGTACGGTGTAGATGACTACAATCCTACTGTTAAGAACTTTAACGATTATTACCTGCCTGTGAACAAATAGTTTTAGACTGACACATATATTTAAAGGACAACTATAGAGAGACAGTGGTCATTTTTCACATGGAATGGCGTTACAAATGTTCTTGAAATCTTCACTTGTTTGTATTTTTTTCATTCCTACTTTAACTAAGTAATATCCAAAAAAAAAGCACAAAATCTGTCAATAATTGCGTTCATTTGGTTGCTTGTAAGGGAAATCAATATATGCGAATATGTCTTCTTCACTGCTAATTGGCACTGGTTCTCCAGGAACACCTGAAAAATAAAACTGTGTAAAATATAAGAACTAAGGAAGTAAATAGAGTTCGATGGAAGAAAATTACCGCAAAAATTCAGAACGATTAGTTATATTTCAGCAATAAGTATGGAACATGACTTAGTGCATTAGTTACTTAGAATTCTATATAACTTCATTTAAAACCTATTTTTGGATGTAAAACGACGAATTACGTTAAGTAAATATTTATTGGCCCTAAGGCGTAGGCGATATATCTACTATTAAGTACGTGTTGATGCATACGTATTTAACTAAAATATTGTATTGATTAAATTAATCGTAAAATTAATTACTAGTAAATCCAAAAAATCGTAAACAAAGTATTTACATAATAATAAAATTATAGATATTCATACAAGTATAAGAAAAAATGGTTCTTAATTATTTTCACAACTAATATAATATATGTATACCTAATGTCATTATGTAAATTATTATAGATTATAATATTATCTCATAAAATCATGACTATAATATTTACCAGTAACACCAATGTGTCGAAGTGAATATTCATTCAACATAAATCCTTTCTCTAGAGCATGCGCCCTCATCTGTTTATTAAATACGTCACTGCCGGTGAAGTACAACACAGCGCAATAAAACTGTTCGAGAGGTATCAGTCTAATATCCAGCCTTCGTGCTGGCAAACCTCTCAAAATACATACGCCCTTTGAATAAAAAAAAATAAACATTATTACGAGTACCTACATAGGTACTGTTTTTTTTTGCAATTGTCGTTAATATTAACATGCTTACAAATGTTATAAATCAATTAAAATAGTCGATTTTTTTAGATAACATCAAAGCATTCCAAACTTCTTTATACTTATCGCAAACTAATTGCTATGTTTTGGGTACAAAATATGCCCCTCCTTAAATCATGTCCGTTTGGATTGAGGAGCCACTCTTCAAATCGTAATGAAATTAATATATTATTTAGTAGTCATTTAAAAAAAATTGTAGCCGCGATCCTCGATTTTGTAGTATAATACTTTTCAAGTTATATGAACATAAAGGTGGCTCCTCAATCTAAATGTTTGGATTGAGGAGCCACGTCAGAACTAGGAACATAGCGGATGTATATTTATGATAATTTAGTATGATTTTGTAGTATTTGACATTAGTTAGTAGACAAAATCTGAGCTCGGTAATGTTAAAATTAAAAAAGTTACCATACATTATATATGTGGTTCCTCAGACCATACATACCGCTGTCATTTTTTAATAAGGACGTGGTGTTTCAATTGATGCGCAATTTCTTCATCATTTAGTAGTATGTTAAATTTGTAGTGTAAAAATCAGTAATTAAAAATGAGTGAATTAGGAGATATGGCACATTTTAACTGGCTCCTCAGTTAAGATGCTTCGGTAAATAAATTTGACTTGTGAGGAAATTTGGAACATCCTACATCAATATTTAGTATAAATTTATACTAAATGTTCGTATAATCCTGTCATAAAAAAGTACAGTATCTACAAAGTTATTAGCTATTCTTTAATTTCCTAACAATTTTTTTTGTGGGGTGTCCATGAATAACTTATATAAAAGGTATTTTTTGTTTCGTAAAAACAAATCTATTTCATTTTATCTAATTATTGTATGGGTCATTCTAAATTAATTTCGTTACCTATCTACTCTCAATCATATATTTTTTTAGAAAATTGATATTCATTAACGGTGAAATTGACTTGTTTGCACATATTAGCTTACTGACGTTTCGGAAACAAATATTTTTTAGGTACTTGTCCGAACCAACACTTTTAATTTTACAATTTTTTTCACTTATAATTCGACAACAGCCAAAAATGCTATTTTGTACAGTTAGATAATAAACATGGTTTTCTATCTTTACATAGTACAAAATGAAGTCACTTTTTTTCTTGTACGTTTAGATCTTTCAAAGATCATCCTTCCTTCGTCGAAAATTGGGGGAGGGGGGGGGGGGGGGGGGGGGGGTGAAGCCGACACTAATATAACACCAACAAAACCAAAAATAAAATTTATAAAATATGGCAATCTATGCGATTCTGTACCTGTCAGCAAAAGTTCTATTAATGTGAGTTTGAAAAATACATGTTGCTTTGATTCAGTCATTAATTTCTTAAGTATGTGATATGTTCAAAGTAGAAGTTTTCAAGAAAATTGAACAGATACTCTGATGATTTAATTCCTCAATACATTAAACTTTTAGCAGATCCTGTTGCTAATGACTGTGATATATACAGAATACGGTCCGAAATCGGTGTGCTGTATTTTGAAACAAAAGAAAGCCTCTGTGAATTTGCTTGTAATGTGTCCTTCATTTTTGAACATATAGCTTTAAAATATTGTTTTAGTGCAATTTTCAGTAAAAAGTGTACTAATAATTCATGCCAATTTAGCCCAATATCTAGACAGATCGCATTTTTACCTTTAAACCTGAATATAATTTCTGTTTTCGGGATCCAAAGTTTAGAAGATGCAATTTGTATTGCAGAAGACCTGAGAGTGACCTCCAAACAGTGTGCAAATATACGCTATCAAATACATTTTCATTTGAAATAAATCTTTGTACGAAGTTTCGAGTAAGCGAGATACCAGAATCTATAATGATTTCAGGTAGATCATACATATTAATAGGTGTTACAGAATATATCCCTGCAATTAGCGACGCTGGCATGGGACACTATAAGTGTCACTACCCAACGAAGGATGAGATGTTTTGCTATGACGACTATGATTCTGACTGTAAAATTCGTCAAAATCACGGAACAACCATTATGTCCAACCTGATTTCGATATTGTCGATTTGTTAAAAATTAAATTTTAAAAACTTGTACTCCTGATTTCATTTAACATGGTCACCCTAAATGGCAAATTTATAAGGAATATCAAAAAGTAATTTATTTTTCAGATACCGAATATATACAACGTTGATCTGTAGATATTTATTTAGTAGACATTTATACTAAATGTTAGTGTCTTTAGTTTTTATTTCTGTTGTGATATCAGGTAGGTACAATCCATTATTTATTGTGCAGAACGTCAGGATTGAGGAGCCAAATAAAATGCGTTTATTTACAAAATTCACTCAGTTTTACTACTTTCTCCTGTTACTACAAATTCAAACCCACTTCCTACTAAATGTTTTTGGAATAGAACATAAATTTTGACTGTTTTCCTTTCATGGCAATTCACACTCCTAAATATAGATTGAGGAGCCACATTAAAAGTGTTGTATATTCTTGAATATCAATAGTACTGGATTAAGATTTTTAGTAGGCACTATACATAATTACTACTAAATGATACAAAGTTTTTAAAAATATTCATTAAATACTTTCCGTGTTCCAGATGGCTCCTCAATTCAAATGTTTAGATTGAGGAGCCACTTTTACATTGACGTAACTTTGGATATATCTTACTACAAATTTCAAGATTTGTCCTACAAAATTATTTTCAGTTTCCGTTTAAAATTCGTTTAAATTCTAAAATGGCTCCTCAATCCATACGTACACCTTAAATCATACATGTGTTTCGAATGATTTGAAACTGTAGATGTATGCATGTGAGTTATTTATTTAATGTAAAGTCAAAATTAAAATAGCAATCTGCTCAATGAAGATCACCATTGTGGACTCCCAATTGCACCTCGCAGGCCTCAAATACTTTGGATTAAGTGGATTAAACGAAGCCATACTCACCATAAACTTGGTCTCGCCGACAGAGATAGTGTCAATAACAAGACCCTCTAAATTTTCCACAATTTTTTCCAACGTATATTTCTCATTTTTATTTCGGTTCTGTTTTAGTGTTATTTTAGGATGTGTTATAAGAGCATCTATATCCCCAGATGCCGCTTTACCACGTCTAAAAGATAAAAAAATAAAAAGTTGATATTGTCCGTATGGTGACGGATTAGTCCGAGTGGTGAAGGATTAAGAATACGGAGTGTCCGTACCCTACGTAAGAATACGAATATGTTCCATAGGAGGGGTCCAAGAACAGACCCCTGCGGAAAACCACATGAAATGGACCGAAACTTACCATTACCATCTCGGTTCTCGTACACGACGGTACGCTCCTCTAAATAATCTGCAACCAGCCGCCTCAGGTACTCTGGCACCCCATGATAGTGGAGGGCTTTCCTGATGCAGCTGAATGGCTGTTGGCGATGTCCAATGACACCGCCAACAGCACGCCGCCACAGCTCACCGCCTCTTCGGTCATGGCGCAACGCCGACCGTCGAACGCCACGCTCGAAAACCGAATTGGGCGTCCGACAGATCGGGGCCCACCTCGCAGAGATGCCGGACGATGCGGGCAGAGAGGACTCTCTCAAACAATTTACCCTCCTCGTCCAGCAACACAATGGGCCCGTAGGCTGCAACCGAATCGGCAGGTCGTCCCGGCTTCCTCAACAGGACCAGCTTCCCGCTCTCTTGACACAAACCCTTTTTTTTTTTTTTACGTGTGGAAATCCCCTCGGACCGTCACCCCGCCGGGGCTCTCGTTCGGCGGGGCGGTGTGTCGGACTCGAACCGACTAAAACCACACGGTGTGCTCTCTTTGCGCTTCCAGTTTAGGAGGGTCCAGGTAGTCATCGCCTTCTGGACCCCTCCCAGCGCCGGCCCGCTCCTGGTGCGGGCTCCGTCTCAAAATGTCTAGCACCAGACCCAGGTACCTCATCTGGGCCCGGACCGGTACGAGGACCGAGCCGACCTCGATTGAGGCGCCGGCGGGTGGACCACGACGGGGCCCATGAAATAATAGGGCCTCCGTCTTATCCAGGGCCACCCGCAAACCCAACGCCTCAATGCGCCCGACCACCAGGGAAACTCCCGTGGCGGCCAGGTGCGCCGCCTCCTGGAAGTTAGCCCCCCGGGCCGTGACTAAAGTGTCATCTGCGTAGCAGAGTACACCCAGCCCGGGGGGGGAGACGCCCTCGTATACCATTACCATACCATGACACAAACCCTATACCAACCCATCTGACCATTATGGTAAAGTAGGCCAAAACTTTCTTACTAAGGAGGGGCCTATGTCTAGCAGTGGACTATTAAAGGCGGTTGATGTGATGTGTAGAAAGTTTTACATTCTTTTTGTAAAGCATTAGCTTTAACAAAAGCTTGAATTTTGTAAAAATGTCATCATCATCAACAGAGTTCACTACTGAATATAGGCCTCTCCTCCTAGACGGCTCTTACGACACCCACGAGATGAATACCACACGGACTTTTACCAGGTATACCCTAGAAAGGAAGTCCCTGGTGCCCCGACAAATATAGGTACATCCTGAGAATTTCGAGAGTATAACTGCTAATTGAAATTAGTCTTTTAACTAAGATTGAATTTCAGAAGTCTAAGTGATATTGATACGTAGTTTCTTCAATTTTCCGACCAACCGAAGTGTAACCATAAAAAATGTGTAGGCAAAGATTATGAACCACAGCTAGATCTTTTGATCTGCTGCCGGGCTCGTGAGCTCTTTGCCCTAGGCATCGCCAATTATTTCTTTAGTAATCCTATATACCGTTATCATTAAGCAAGGATCGGATGTCTATTGTTTAAATTTTATTAATGCGTAACATCTTAAATGTTGGGGACAACCTTCGCGTTCACATCTCGTACCAAAAATTTTATTTTCCCTTTAAATGGCTATGTACCTAATTCTATAGATATTAAGTAATATTGTCTACCTGTAACTACCACAAATTGTGACCGAAAACTTTTTGCTTATTTTATACACCAATGTTTTAATTAAGACTTCAATTTCCTGTATTTCATTTCTTGGAATTGTTTTTTCGAAATCTGCAAAATACCTGTAACAATAGTCACTTTATTCATGCTGTTTTTGCCGTCCGCCCATAAAGCAAGATATCTTTTCCCCTATGCAAAATAAAAATGAGCAAGTTAACTTTCCAGTAGTCGTATATTATGTGTAACATCAGGCATCTCACAAACGATTGACGGCGGACCGCATGCGATCCTTGGACAAAACAGTAACGAGCGCTTCCCCGATTTCCTGTTACACATTTCAGACTTTCACGAACTCACTCCAGCATATTACAGGAAAGCGAGAGGAAAGATATTAGAAATCAAATTTGTTTCGCGGTTTCTTCAGCTTGCTTCGAAATCTTATTAGGTAGGTACACACTGTACAACTGTGTGTATATAATACTCATAATGAGTATATATTACTCGTGATTACTTTTACCCAAAAACTGTTGTTTCAGGTCAACGTTGGATTTAGACAAGGAAAAGGGTGAATTTTCTATGCATATTCACGTAGGAAGTAGTAAACATTACTTGAGCTTTCATTATTTGACTTAAGTGAAGATACTGTAGGTACTTACTTTAACCCAATACGCTGATGATGATTTAATTTATCCTCATTATTTTTTAAATCCTCTATGGTTTTTATACCGCTTCTAACCAAGTCTGCAGCTTTCACTGGTCCTATTCCAGATACTCGGGTCAAAATATTTATAGATTTGACATTTTCATTTAGGTTAATACTTTCAAGTTTCTTCAATTTTCCTGTTTCGTTAAACTCATCAAGTTTCTTAGCTATTTTATCGCCAATCCCTTTCAATTTTTTGGCTTCGTCACCCGATTGAATTTTATGGTCAAGTGTAGATAATACAACCGCTGCTTTTTTGTAAGCATTATATTTGTGAACATTGCGAGTCACGTTTTTCTCATATTCTGCTAGATCTAGGAGTACTTTACAAAAGTCAGCATTGCAATTTTTTTCATTAGATGGTAACGACAATTTACTCATTGCGTTTTAAACAATGAGTCCTTAAGTTTATATGACAAATCAGCGATCGATCTTATGAACTGTAACAATTTACAAATTTTCTAGACAATAAGACTGCTATTTAGTATATAACGGCTTATGTAAAAAGGAATGTAATTGAAAGTTACATTGTTACATTACATTATTGAAACTATATAATTCCTGTGTTTGCTGATACTCTATGATAAACAGATGCACGTAATAAATTCCATCAAAAATCTATTAAAACACAAAATCCCAAAATAAAAAAGTGTAGATTACCGATATCTATACCGATGCCAATGGCCACTCGATGGCATCTCAATAGCGTGTCAGTGGTGTGACAGTGGTTTTGTCCAGATTTATGTCTCATTTACACTCGTGACAAGGACAATACCATCGCTTGGATTAGACAAAGACATAACTTTGCGATGGCGGGACAGTGTTAACTACCGTCTGAAATTTTACCCTTAACAACCAAGAAACAAATAGAGTTTTTAAAACAATTTTGTAAAAAAATAACTTACTTTAAATATTTTAAATAATATATTTCTAATTGAATGGAATAGGTATAAATAATAAAATAACTGGAAATATTTTGTTACAAGGGTTTATATTAACTGTCTACATAAAAGACGATTTCAAACAATTTTGAAAATTTAATGAAATAAAGAGAGTTTGAGTTTGGGTTTGTAAAATCAAACTCCGCTGTGAAGCATCAGTTTTGTATACTATTGTCTTTTAGACTCTTTTTTATAAGTTTGTGTGGATAAATTACTTTCATGAAACAATCTTATGTATAAATTATGGCATAAAATAATAAAATGAATGATTGCAACTTGTAAATTGTATCCTGTACAATTATTGTTCTAAAATTGCTAATTGATTATGAAAAAACAATGACATAATTCTTTTGTACAAAGATTTCCTGCGAGCTTGGTAGAAGGTAAACGTTCAACGGGTCCCTAAAAAAAGTGATCAGTCCAGCCCTAGCAACTACCGTTCTTACTATATTGTATTATTATTGGGAAATGTTTAAAAACAGTAAAAAGCATAATTTTTCATAAATTATAAATTATTCCACTAATGTGGGAAAACCAAAACGATATTTTAATGGTAACACTGATTCCAAATTACAATTATCAATTTTTTATTTCAATTACAGCCTTATTTACGATATTATCAATAAAAAAACTGTAAACTTACAAGTGAAAAGTAATTCCGCATGATTTATTATGGTTTTGTGAAATTGTATCGCATTCTTTCACTACCTACGCATTTACCCATTTTGGCGATTGATTTGTCTATGTGGCAATGGCTCGGTTGACGCCACCTTGAACACTGAATTGACGTTTGCCACGCACATGGCTGTGGATAGATGTGCTGTGGCAACGATTTTAGGATTATTATATATTATCATTGTACCAGTACTAATAATCCTTACTAATAATAATCCGGGATTTGAAATCTTTTCAAATATAGTTTTAAACGGTTCATATCTTTAAAATAATACCCGTAAAGTTATGTTTAATTCTTTATTTTACTCTTAAATGAAATAAAATAATATTTTAGTGAGTGTTGTACAGCAGAGCTGTAGCAAACCGTATGTATTCGTTACTGAGTAACGGGTACGCCATCTAGTACCGAGTAACGAAACGTTACTCACGAATACTTTTCGTTACTCGCATGTTTCATATCATGGTTACATACGCTGTTTCAATGACGCAATGTAACGCTGCGTTGATGCGTGTATTGAAACGTTTCTTACTGATCGTTTTGCGCATGCGTCCGTATTTTCCGCGAATTAAAAAGGTAACGTAAACTTAAGGACGTACAAAGAAAATAACGTTGTTTGATGATTTGTGAGATTCGTTATCCAGGTTTTTTTAATATTTAAATATTCATTAGAGGTATTGTGTTCGTGGTAAGATAGTGGAATTTCGTGGATTCGTGGAAGGTAAGAAAGATATTTTACCAATTAAAACTAAAATTTTATAAATTTTATGTAATAGTATGAAATAAACGAAAGTGAAAGTTTTAGTATCTCATGAAATTCTAAAATTATTTCACTGTAACTTAATTTTCAAACAATTAATTAAATCGCACGCTTGTGCGCGTACGCAATACGACTCGATTAACGATTTGTTTCTCTAGCATAACAGCATGTTATGAGGTATTAGGAGTAACGAGTAACGATACGATAGTAACGAGTACTGAATGTATAGTAACGAATACATACGGGTACGTTTTTTTTTCGTTACTTTTACACCTCTCTGTACAATGTACAGTACATAAAACATTACTGCGTTCAGAAATATTTAAATTCGAAATAAATCCGAATTTGTGGCAAAATAGTATTGCTCCAAATTCAAATCACCTAGCCACACCTAATTATTATTTCACTTTTCGCGCCAACTTAAGATAAGCAAGACAGCTGATTGGTTAATCACCTACATTTGCTGATTGGTTAATCACCTACATTTGCTGATTGGTTAATCACCTACATTTGCTGATTGATTTATATAATTACGTGCCTCAGGAACATTAAATACTATTTTTCTCATGACAAAATAAAATCAATTAGTAATTATCTTTTATTAATTTATATTTTTTTGGCTTTCTATCAATAGATCGTAAACTTAGATTAAGAACTGTCCAAAAACTTGGTAAAATTACTAATCTGACAACACTAAATGTAGGAAAACAATCGCAAGAATCGCATTTGTTTGTTTACAAAACCGTTAAATAAATGTAGTTTCTCCGATTTATGACTGCTCTTGATAAACCACCTACCTGATAAATTTACTTTAAATTTCACTTTCAGGTTATTATAACCCACTTTTAGTTTGAAAAATAATAAATGTCTTCAAATATTTCATTAAGCCACTTTCAGAAATTGGTTTTTCGTTAGGGATGCAGTTAGATGAGGATCGATCCGATCACTTGACAGTTAAAATAGTCGAATAGAATTTCTATGGTACCAATACCAGTTAATCAAAACTAAAATGTTCTCAAAATTTTAAAACTTATCGATTAAAATCATTGAAGATGTGTTTTATGAATAGATTATTATTTTCATTACACATTTGATAAGGCAGTCGGAGTTTGATAAGAATCCAATTCTAAATGAAGTAATTTATGGTATTTATTGTAAGTGTGTAACATGTTTTTAGGTGTTAGAAATACTATTTTAACTAAAGAAGAAGTGTGTAATATTTGGCATAATAACGATATGATTTCACAGGACTTTCTGGACGGCGGTATTAACTTTCCATCCCCTTAACATAAAAAAAACTTAACATAACACACATCTCATATAATTTTCAAATGATATGAAAACAAATAGCCTGATTTAATGGGATATAATGATATTTTTCATATAACTTCATTTGCTATAAAAAAATAATTCAATTAGTATTATGCCTTTTTGACGTGACAACGTCTTATAAATTGGTTTGCCGGGTGACACTTCAAGAAACTGCGTTACGCTCCGCTCACGTTATGCACTCACAATGAGAGCGAGTGAGAGGCACGCGTCCCTTCCACTCGGGCATGGTTAGCCCGCCTAAGAGCGAGAGAGATAGACATAAAAAGTGAAAGGCACGCGTCCCTTCCACTCGAGCACAGTTAGCCCGCCTAAGAGCGAGAGAGACAGAGCGAGAGAGAGAGAGTGAGAGAGATAGGCATACACACCGGTTCACGTCTTGCGCTTCTATTTTACCACTCAAAGTCGTTGTCACGTAAAACTTTCGCCCGTATACCGACTTTACAGGCAACCAATTTTTTTATGAAATAATCATTTGACCTGATTTTCCAATTCATTCATTTTCAACCAAAATGATATAATGAACACGTGAATACATGGAAAGATCTTAAAATAAGTGAATATCAGGAAATTCTAACTTCATCCAACCCAAATGACTCACCTACAATAGAGGGAAACTGGCCGTTGACGAGGCACGCTCGCTCCGCTCGCTCGCTTTCGCGCGTCAATGGTCACTGTCTATCCGAATAAAGTAGACATTCCTAAATTAAAGTAATCGTAACTCATAGATTTTGAATATTAGGGGTCAAAGTATGAAATTGCCTATACTGAAAAATTAAAACTCATTTTTTTTAAAGATGTAACATATTTATTTAATCCCTAATAATATTTACCCTAATTATAGAACTTTGGGGATCTAGATTCATCAAACTGTGTGAAAGCACTGTTACTGCCTCCTGGGAAGAATTTTTTTATCACGTAGAACGTTGTTCAAATCAGGAAAAAAAAAAATTAGTCCATTGAAGCAGTCTGGTGAGTACAGAGGATGACATATGGTTCCTAACTGCAGCTCCTGTAGAGTTACAACGAGTTCTCGTGCTGTGCAAGGTCTTTCGTTATCATGGAGTTATCATCGATTCACGAGTCGGGGCTGTTTTACTGCCAGTTTCGCAATCATTGTTCGAAAATATCTGCTGTTATTGCCAGACCTGAGAAAGCTATGGTGAATAACACGATGAAGATACCACCAAACACTTACCATTACCTTTTTATTGGTTAACTTTGCTTATGGATCACTGTTGCGGCGTTTGACCTGGGGACAGCCATTGCATTTTTTACTTACGGTTATAAACAATGGACTTTTGGTCACATGTCACAATTCGATCCAATATTCATTCATTTCTCCGATTCAACAAGGCAACACAAGTTTCAGCACGCATTTCTTTCTGCAAATCAGTCAAGTCATGAGGCACTCATTTTTCATATTTTTTTATCGTATTGATTGAATCAATATTGTAGGCCGGCGGATCGGCCTCCACCATCCCCATCAATTAAGCGTTATTCAACTGTGTGGGTGGTCTTCCATATGGTTCGTTCTTCAACTCGAAGTTTACTTTACAAAAGTGTTTGAACCAAAAACGCACGGTGCGTTCATTAGCAGACTCCTCTCCAAACGCAGCGTTAATATTGCGAGCCGTTTCTACCGGGTTCATTCCGCGTCGGAACTCGTATTCAAAATTGAATTGGGTTTTTCGAAGTATCCATTTTTCACGTCCAAGCCAAATAAAAAAAACAATTGAAAGTCGAAAATAGAATGTTGCACATTTTTTTAAAGAAGAACTTCATAGATTTCATGTAAAAAAAGTTTGCACACGACATCTCACACCATAAATGTGTTATGTCAATTCAAAGTATCTATAAATTACTATACAACGGCAATTTCATGTTATTTCATGGTAACAATTTCTTGGTATACGTACCATTTTTCAGGGTCTTGTATCATGTACCAACTAAATATGGTGCTGGTACGCAATAATACCAATTTCCTACATTGATTAACATATTAAAAAAACTTGTATCTAACAATACATAGGTTTTTACTGTATGTCATAGTTACAACATTGATTATTGTAAAAATTTCCTGTTCATAATATTTCTTTTGACCCATTGAATAACGTACTTCAGATTAACTTTATCAATCGAGCGAATTATCCATGGATAACGGGTATGATTTTGTCAGAAAATAATATAAGATTAGGTCAATATAAGTCATGGTTGATTTTTATTTTATTTTTTTCAAATTATGTATGGACATTTATAAGATCTAATAATAAAAACGTCATGAATAATGAGAATATCAATTAATAGTTATAATATTAATAATAACTATTATTGTTCATTTCTTGTCGTGTATAATATTTTTTCAAACAATCAAGAATTTTTTTGATAATTTAAAATTTCATTTAAAAGAACAAACAAAAATAACGATTTTTTGTTTTTTTCTTAATATGTTATTGTGTGTAACATTTTTTTTCAAATACCAGCTTTTAGAGCCTTTTAGCAACTACTGTACTAGCTTTGGCTCACCACAATCTAACATTCGTGATTTAACCCCTATTTTTTGACGTGACAACGTCTTATAAATTGGTTTGCCGGGTGACACTTCAAGAAACTGCGTTACGCTCCGCTCACGTTATGCGCTCACAATGAGAGCGAGTGAGAGGCACGCGTCCCTTCCAATCGGGCATGGTTAGCCCGCCTAAGAGCGAGAGAGACAGACATAGTCGTTGTCACGTAAAACTTTCGCCCGTATACCGACTTTACAGGCAACCAATTTTTTTTATGAATTAGGGGGCAAACGAGCAGTCTATTTTACTAATTGAAAAAAATTATTAAATATACATTATAGAAAATACAAATTAAACCATATAAAATTAAGTTAAATGAAATTATCACATCACATCACATCACATCATCAGCCTATCGCAGTCCACTGCTGGACATAGGCCTCTCCCAATGCACGCCACTTAGATCGATTTTGGGCTTCTCGCATCCAGCTCCTGCCAGCCATCTTGCGCACATCGTCACTCCACCTGGCCTGTGGGCGTCCTACACTACGTTTGCCAAGACGCGGTCTCCACTCAAGAACTCGTTTTCCCCAACGGTTATCGGTTCTGCGGCTAATATGGCCAGCCCACTGCCACTTCAGCTTGCTGATCCGGTACGCTATGTCGGTAACCTTAGTTCTCTGCCGGATCACCTCATTTCTGATGCGATCCCTTAGAGAAACGCCGAGCATAGCCCTTTCCATAGCACGTTGAGCGACTTTGAACTTGTGGACCAGCCGTACCGTAAGTGTCCACGTTTCAGCTCCGTATGTCATGACGGGTAGGACGCACTCATTAAAGACTTTCGTCTTAAGGCACTGTGGGATCGACGATGAGAAGACTCGACGTAGCTTCCCAAACGCTGCCCAACCCAACCGAATTCTTCTGTTCACCTCGTCCTCGAAGTTGTTTCTACCTAACTGCAATGTCTGCCCGAGGTACACATAATTTTGAACAACTTCGAGAACGGCACCGTGTACCGCAATCGGTTCCGGTAGTACATGTTCGTTGAACATGACCTTGGTTTTATCCAAGTTCATCCGTAGGCCGATGCGTACAGAAGTGTCAGCTAAGTCATTCAGCATTTGCTGTAGGTCCTGCAACGTCTCTGCCATGATGACGATGTCATCTGCAAATCGCAAGTGAGAGATGTATTCGCCATTGATATTGATGCCACGCCCTTTCCAGTGCAGCGTCTTGAACATGTCCTCCATTGCATTTGTGAACAATTTCGGGGAAATAACGTCCCCTTGTCTCACTCCTCGATGCAATGGTACGGGCCTTGTTTGCTGATTCTGTACTTGGACGGACATGGTGGCGGCTTCGTAGAGACATCTCATCACTTGGATGTATCGCCAATCTACTTGGCAACGCTGCAGGGACTCCAGAACAGACCAGATCTCGATCGAGTCAAAGGCTTTCTCATAGTCCACGAATGCTAGACACAGGGGCTGATTATATTCTTCGGTCTTCTGTATAATCTGCCGCACTGTGTGGATGTGGTCTATGGTGCCATATCCGCTCCGAAACCCAGCTTGCTCCGGTGGTTGGAATTCGTCGAGTCTTTGCGCAAGACGGTTCGTGATGACTCTCGAAAACAGCTTGTAGACGTGGCTTAGAAGGGATATGGGTCGATAGTTCTTCAACCTGGTCTTGTCACCCTTTTTGAAGAACAAGACGACCACACTCCTACTCCACGCTTCTGGAGTTCTCCCTTCAAACAGGACAGCGTTTGAAGAGCTTTTGGAGCTCCCTTAGTACGGGTTTACCCCCGGCCTTCAGCAGCTCTGTTGTAACGCCATCCTCTCCAGGGGCTTTTCCATTTTTCAGCTGTCCAAGAGCCATCTCGATTTCGTCAATGCTAACTTCTGGCAGGTCTTCGGTGTAGTGACGTGTTAATGTGGCTCTAGAGTCCTCATTTTCGGGATCAGGTCGAGATGCATGCGAAGCGTATAACCGGCCATAGAAGCTTTCCACTTCCAAAAGGGCTGCCGGCTTCGAAGCAACGACTTCTCCACTTTCTGTAGTCAACTTTGTCAGGTGGCTTCTTCCAAGAGATTGTACGAACACTTTTGACCCCCGATTCGATCGATCGCTCTTTCAATTGAAAGAGTATTGGAGCACCGGAGGTCGTGTCGTACGAGTTTACTGATCTCTCGGTTTAGAGTCCGAGAGTTTAGAGTCCGTAGAATGAAATTATATTATCAATTAATTATGTAATTTGAGTTTTATTTAAAAAAGTCTAATAAAATGAAATTACGCCATGTGCTCATTACGCATTGGAACTTTTGGTTTTATTTCAAACGTACACCCCCGAAAAAGTAGGTATATTAATTAGGCTCATGTTGCATAATTACGCTTCTTCAGTTTTTAAACCTATTGATATTACTAATGTATAGAAAATGCGGGTTATAAGTTTTTTAAATTTGATATTTGAATTTTTTATATAAAATCGACTAAGCGACTAACTTGTCATGTGTTTGTTCGTAACGTAACTAATTTATTAGTAACTGTCAGCAATTAATGTCAAATCTTATTTATGGAAATAGATTGTTTGAGGTTGTTTTGTTATTATTATACTGAGATTTGTATTACATTTTAGTAAAAATGCACTTAAATTCAACATGGTATAAAATGTTTAGCATATATGTTCCATAAATTAACACCAGTAGTTTGTGTAGTGCTTTAATTGTCATCATGGATAACGTAACAGAAAAATTGTTTCAATGGTTTGGACATCGTAAATTTAAAAGTGAACTGCAAGAACGTGCAACGAGAGCCATAGCAAGAGGTAATAGTGCCCTAAATTGTTGGTATATGTGTAGTAAAATAAATTTAAAGAAAAAAACAAAGTATGTTATCAAAAACATTTTGTCAACTACTTAGCTCTTATAAATGTGTATTAAAGTAATACACTTGTTTCCTTTAATGTACTATCTTTTAGTGTACTATTTCTTTTTTAGGTGTCCACGATGTTTATGTATCAATGCCTACAGGCTCTGGCAAGTCACTGTGCTTTCAATTGCCAGCAATTTTGCAGGACAACAAAGTAGCGATAGTCTTTTCACCCCTCTTGGCTCTCATCAAAGATCAAATTGATCATCTTACAAAACTAAAAATTCCAGCTGAATCTATTAATTCTAAAATGAGTTCTAAGGATAGAGAAAGGGTTTTAAATGATTTAAGAAGTATGAAACCAGATACAAGGTTTTTATATGTAACGCCTGAACAGGCAGCTACTGGTACATTTAAATCCCTTATGGAACATCTAGTCAAATACAAGAAGGTTTCATATGTTGTGGTTGATGAAGCTCACTGTGTCAGTGAATGGGGACACGATTTTCGTCCTGATTATTTGAAATTGGGCAATCTACGAGAAACATATAAGAGCGTCCCTTGGGTAGCACTCACAGCTACGGCTAGTGCTGAAGTTGCAAAAGACATTTTAACAAACTTGAAGCTACTGTTACCTGTTGCACAATACAAAACGCCAAGTTTTCGAAGAAATTTATTTTATGACGTAATTTATCAAAACTGTATTGATGATGAGGTTGGCCATTTATTGGAGTTCTTAAAGAAGAGTTTAGCTGAAGATGAAAATATTAAACCTGTAAGATTTAATTTTCATTATAACTAATTTAAGGTATTGATTTGAGACCTGGACATTTCATGTTTTGGTTCAAACAGTTATATATTTAATACTGAGTTTAAATATCAATATCTAAAAGCAATGTTTTTCTGTCAACTTTGAAAGCAAAAATCAAAATATAAACACAAATTGTTAACCATTACAAATAATAATAACAAGACACTTAGATAGATTTAGATACAATGGTGATGTTTCTTTCATGCTTAACTAGGTGAAAACATTTAAAATTTGAATTAGTCAATTCACAATCTACAAAAAAACAGAGTTGAATGTTAAAATTTGATATCATATCCCTTATGCAAGTTACGCTTTTAGTATAAAGAACAGTTGTAATTAAATTCTTAATTCTTGTTTTAAATTCTACAGTAACTATTACATTACATTTTTTTATCATGCCCATAGTAAAAAGTAAAAATGTTTGTTGTTGGATGCTATTAACATGAAATATTCGAATTGATAAATAACCAAATCAAATAATACCTAAAGCTAGATACACATTGTTTATTTATAAAAATTGTAGTCAAATTCATGACTACTACACACTAATTATCAGTAATACAAATTTATTTTAACTACATGATATTCAGACTCATATTGTTATGTTTTGGTACATTTGGCTACATGCCTTTAAGACATTATTAAACTTGTATAGTTAGTGAACATACTTTTTCCTAATATATTTCAGAAAGATAAGAATGCTGCAATCGTGTACTGTCGCACTAGGGAAGCAACTGAGAATTTAGCCAACATGTTAACTAAAAGGGGACTCATGGCTTTAGCTTACCATGGAGGTAAGTATTGCTTGCTTTTGACACACAACATTCAGTTATTTGTTTCTGCACACATGAGTCTCAAGATGTTTATATCTAAGCACCTCAGTGCTAATGCAGTATGACTTATACCTAAGATCCTATTCTTATCCTTGATTTCAGGATCCTACCGAAAAAAAAAACTTTAATGTTGAATGATAGTCAGTCTTTACAATACAATCACTACATGTTATATATCGGTATGATGAAATTTTAAAATAAAGTCCCCTGTTGCATCTGGCTGGCTATCACTAAGATCTAATACAGAACAGATTTTCATACGATTTTCATTAATAACTAGAATGATATTCGCAAGCAAGATTGTTTAAGTGTTTATTAAGTATGTAATGCATTAATGTTGTGTATAAATAAAAAAGCAACAGGCTGATATGCCAATACGACAAAATACACGTACGAAAAAAGAAAATATGTATGTTAATTCACATGTGGGCTTAAAAACTTGCAGGCTTGAAGTCAGCAGAGCGAATATCAGTGCAAGACAAGTGGTCTGGTGGTGAATGCCCGTGCGTGTGCGCCACTGTTTCTTTTGGTATGGGCGTGGATAAGGCCAGCGTACGCGCTGTCGCTCACTGGGGCATTGCGCAGAATGTTGCGGCTTATTATCAGGTTAGACCTTTTGTTTATTTCTAATAATACTTACTCTAATAACATGACATTGTTTAATTTGCACTTGTGTTGAATTATTTATGTATATGCATATGATATAAGTTATATCTTAAAGTGTTTAATATAATATTGGGTGGACATACAGAAATAATTAGAGGTTTTCATCCTAATTACTAAATGCCATCCAAGTTTGTCTACAAATTATAAAAATTGAAGAAATATAAATCCGTTTCACATTTAAAAAGAATGTACATAACTACCTTCTTGAGTTGGGGGAATTATCTATTCAATAGTACACCTCCCTATTTACAGTGTACGAATATAATGTAATATATATTTATGTGTATTTATATGTAAATATGTATGTTTATATATGATGTGTGTAATTGTGTTGTGTTTTAACATTATGACTACTATTACAACTGTAACCTCAGTGCACCTACCTTACCAGATTTCTACACCACCCAAAAGTGGGCGAGTAGAGAATGCCCAGGGCATTGAGTCCGCCGATGTAAACAAGTGCATAAAGCTGTAAATAAATATTATACTTTTTGTGAATAAAATATGATATGATAGTGTATATTCATAAAACATCTAAAACCGTAAGAATACAGTCTCACTAAGTACTTTTAACTACATTTTTAGGTAGGTAAATCTGTTTACATGAAGTTTTGCTAAGCTGTGTTGTTAATGGGTTCAGGAATCTGGCAGAGCGGGGCGCGATGGCAAGCCGGCATTTTGCCGTATATACTATTGTTGCAGCGAACGCAATGCGGTTGACTTCATACTCAAAAAAGAAATTGCCGTCGCTAAAACGCCCGAACAGAAAAATCGAAACAAGGTCGCTTATAAAAGTTTCAGCATAATGGTTAGATACTGCGAGGAGGTCAAGTAAGTATCAATAAATCATTATTTTATAACCTTTTCTTAATTTCATTTGAGTTTGAGAATTTTAATGTTTTCTTTTCTTCTGTGATAACCATAATATCTTCTTTTACGCAGTAGGTAAATATATACTTACATCTATATTTTGTGTATATTTATGTATTTTTTAATAATCATTATTTATATTATGTGATAATAAAAAAACACAAACAATAAAACAGTAGAAGTAGTATTAATAGTAACTTATGTACTTTATTAAACTGTTTATCATCTACTTATAAAAACCCTAATTTGTATTATAAAATTACAGTATTGTTTTAGGGCCTTTGTGAGTACAAGTGTGTATAACATGTATATACAATAAAAAGCAACGCTTTTTTAATTTGTGTGTAGCTTTTAATCAAAATCTTTGAAGAAATAGCGATAAGATAACTTTAATGGTACACATTAAATAAATGACAGAACGCGTCACCCTGGATGTGTATAATCTCCATGTCCATCAAAATCTGATTTAAACTTGAGGTCTTACAAGAGAGATAAAAACAAACTTTCATATTAAAACCGCTGTAACAATGAGCATTACGCTATGTGCCTTAAGACTCAATATCTGAATGTCATTTTATGTGTGCCTATGTGCTAAATCCACAGTAGTATTCAAACAGCAACACGGTTATCTCTAGGTTATGTATTAAAAATTATTTCGGTTGGAGCGGTCACTCACTCCATACGTGATTATGATCGGTAACGTAACTTTCTTAGTAAAACATGAAGTAAGTTTATTTTTATACATATAAAGATGCCGTCACAAAACATTCGCGGAGTACTTCGGCGAGGAGACTCCCCGTTGCATCGACCGCTGTGACGTGTGCGCGGACGAGCGCAACGTGCGGCGCGCGCTCGACCAGCACCAGCGGCGCGCCTCCTCTGCGCAGTTGCGCTCCGGAGGACTAGTCGTCAACCAGGACGTGTCCGACTTGTACGGGGAGGGTAGAGTTGGCCAGAAAAGGTGATTATTATTTCTTCTTCTTCTTCTTTCTTTCTAAGGGAATTATTCTTTTACTTTTATTTTCTAAAAGTAAATCTTAACATGAATAGTCCGTCAACGTCGTTCGCGACCGTCCTGCGGGGTGACAGACGGTGGCGGGGACGAGGTACTCAAGATGTTAGCGGGTAGCGGGTGCTCGTCAATATATGGTAGTCTCGGCAGCGCATTCGAAGCGGCAAAACGTTTTGTACAGTCGACGACGACGTCGACTTTGGGTTCGACACACACGAGATTACGATCTTAGAATAAGTTTACACGATAGATTAAGGATGATGTATATGGTATAATTTTTTTTTTCGAGTTGCCAATTATTCGTCTGAAAAGCGGAACGATTGTGACGACCAATGCAGAAAAAATTAAGACGAATATTATAAATCAGATAATGTATTTTTGACGATGTATACATACATTACTGTTTTTTTTTTAATTTAAATGATTTTTGGTGTGTTGACTGAGCAGACGTGACGCTTCATCAGTGGTGCAATCTGCTCGGGCCACATTAAGTTAATATGAATAAAATATACATATTGTAAAAATACGTTTTAAACTATTGATGTTGCTTTTTGCGTCTTTTGTAATGAAATAAATGAAAACGATGATGACGAAAGTAAAGAGGTTGAAACAGAGAGTGACCATGAATGATATGAAATTTGATTCATATAAAATACTCTTAACATAAATACATCGTTTGCCTATTACTTTGCCTTCAACTACCAATAATTAAAATTAATAAAATAATATAAAATAGTTCATGTAGTTTTTATTTACTCTTACACATTGTCACAAATAGTTACAATTTAGCTTGAAATTTATCCGGCACACTTCTCTACGTGTGTAGTCGTGTGTTAGACCACGTGCTACCTCGTCTCTGCCACCATCTGTCACCCGCAGGACGGTCGCGCACGACGTTGACGGAATATAGCTTAAAAAAGTTCTTCGAATACTTATGATGTGATCGAATAGTACTTAGTAATGTTTTAATGTTACAGGTAGCATTGTCGCATTTAATTCAGTTTTATCGGCTTTTTAACACAAAAGTATAATGCCGAAAACCGAAAACTTGCAAAATAAAATAATCAAAATTTTTTGACCAAGCTGACTTTTTTGTTACATAGAAATGGACATGGCTGCTTTGATTATGTGATAACACTTTTAATTTTTTTTATTGAGGAACAAACAGTCATTTACATGTTAAGGCTAAACATATTTGTATGCACTTATAGACCTAACAGTTTCCTAAATTAATACAACATCTAAATCAAGTTTGTGTGTTATAACAATCCTGATCATATTAATAAATTTTATCATTTTTGTTTAGAAGTGAGAGCAGCCAGATTTTTACTAAAACAACAGAGATATTTATTAAAACATAATTTAGAAAAGAATTGAATAACTCCAAGAAGAGTTTTTAGGGCAAGAAAGACCCTTAAGGGTGTTAAAAAAATCTCAACTTCACACAGCACATTTTCATACAAACGGCAGGCTCGTTTAATGAAACTATTACTTCCGTAAAGGGCCCAGTACATATAGGACCAACTTGGGCCAAGGCAATATCAGGTGTGCACAAGTAGGTTCATTGTTGTATAAAAGAGCGCTTCTCGCCATCAAACGTAAAATTTAGGGTGTTTAGAATTAAGTAACACCTCTGTATTAAAATTTCATTAATTACTTCCAAGTCCATAGCAAATTTTTCGCCATGCAACATTGAGTTATGCACCAATGTGTGAACACCTACGCGTTGTTGGCCTGCATTTTGCGAATTGCTGAGCCCAACACTGGCCAATGTGTACTGGAGCCTTTACAGGTAGTTGCCAGGGGAGCTAATAATATATTATTTTACGATATCTTTCTCGTCTACTCGGAATTCGATTTCATAGCTTTTTTTTCTAAATTTACTTTAATCAAACAGCTTTGAACTATTCATCCATTTTAAATAGTGACATCTTGAATAGTCTAGTTTATAAGTCCAGTGCACTATCATTTTACTTAAATTCGCTGGGCTATTATGTTATTCGATATTCGGCAAAATACTAAGATTTAGTCCTTGTCAGTAAGTCTATTTATGAATAAATCTGACGTCTTCTAAACCCTAACATATTTTTATTGAATAACTTGGCCTATTTAATAACTTTCATTGTACGCACACACAGAGAAGCCGAAAATTACTACGGTGTAGCGGGGGATAGTGATGAATCAGACGGTGAAAGTAATCGTCGTCGCATTGCAAACGAAACAAAGTCTCTCATAATGAAGGAATTCGCTAATAGGAAAAAGCATTTGGAGGACAAGAAGACAAAAAACGAAGCGGAATCAGCCAAATATTCAAAATGCAAAGCAGCTGAAAGTACAGGTACAAAAGTATGTATGTCCTCAGTTATTATTGAATGTTTTATACGTACGCACTATATAAGAAAAAAATTAAAAACATTGAAGGAAAACTAATATGATATAAATTCAATTACAGGTAAATGGATTAAAAGTAGCGAGTCGTGAGGGTTATCTAACCTTGCTTACCGATGCTTTGAGCAATAATTATCATAGCACGAAGGACGCAGACAACTTCGAGAGAACCTTTTCCAAACACGGTTTAGAACAATGTGCCGCAGAACTGGAATATGAGGCGTTTTCAAGTAGCACTGTTATAAGTTTGTATAGAAGAGCTATGGCAAAATTGGTAAATAGTTGCTATTATGTCATAAAATTACTTTATAAATATACATATACAAACATACATGAACTGACACAAAGAACACCCAGACTAAACATCAATTTGTGGATCACACAAAGTGTCGTCCCAAGTGGGGATCGGACCCACAACACTCGGCGTAGTAGTAAACGGCGTGGGGACCACTTAAACCACTACGCCATCCGTGCAGTCTTTAAAACTAACTTTTACGTTAATAAATTCTAATATTTCTCTGCCTGTAAAAAGCCTTTTTAGTCTATACGAAGAGATAAGTATAAGACAAGAAAAACAAGACAGCTGATTGGTTAATAAGCTGTCAAATTTGTACGACCACGACATATTTTCTGATGTTTGGTGGTGTCTGATGATGTTTCCAATCACGATTGATGATGATTTTGACTCACGATAAATTATTTACATTATTTTGGGCTTTCTATAATTAGGTCTATTTAATTAAGTAGTTATTTTATTTCCTTTTAAATATACGGTCAACTCGCGGATTGTTCTATCATAAAGAAATTTCCAAAGGAAACTTACAGAATCTCCTACTCTCCTCTTATTTTCAGATTTCAGAGGTAAAAGCATGTAAGAGTCATATCTACCCACAACTGAAAACGTTTGAGATTAAGAAACCAAATTCGCTTAATCAGTTTGTCAAAGACTTTGAACAACAGCAAAAAGAAAAATCCCAAAATAGGTTTGTTACAGCATCACAATTATTAGGTGAGTTCAATAATATACTTTTACTTATATACATATAGAAGTGCAAAATTAGTAACAATGAAAACACTGTTTCAGAGAATGAAATGGAATGTAACCCTGTAGACAATACGTTATCCAAATCTGATAAACATACTAAAAGGAAAGCAAATTCTTTTAAACGAGATCCTTTAACTCAAACAAAACTTGGATCATTTTTCAAAAAAGCTTCAGAAGCATCTTCTGCTTACTCATCGGAAGAAAGTGATAATGACGATAACCTGGTTATTGACGAAAATATAAAAGATATCAAAAATGAATCTTGCAATAGCCACTCCAATGACACTACACTCAAAATAAAGGAAATAAACGATGAGGAAGAGGTTAAAAGTACTGACCTGGATATAGATGCACCTAGCGATTTTAAAACATTTGTGATAAATATAACATTAAAGGGTGTACCCCCTAAAGATTTAGAAGCTAAAACAGAAGACAACATTAAAAATAAACCCGATGAAACACGCAAGGATAAAAACATAAAAGAAACTGGTTCAAAGACATACGGAAAAGATAAAAAACCACCCTCGAAACGGAAATTAAAAGCTCTTTTTGGGGAATCGTCTGAAAGCGAAAGTGAATGTCCAAAGTCAAAAAAACATAAAACATCTAAAACTCATAAGAATGAAGATAAAAGAAATAAAATAAGTAAATCTCATGATAAAGAATCGACTAAACCTATAAAACGTGATTCTGACCCACATCCAACCTCTTTGTTTGGCAATCTGAGCGACAGCGATTGCGAAAGGGAGTTAGTCATTGACGATGGTGGTAGTAATAATTTAAGTAAAAGTGCTGACGAGACATTAATACTTAGTGATATTAAGAATAATGAAGTGAGTCAGGATTGCGACATATCCAAAAAAACTATTCCAGAACACCAGCCAGAAACATCGTTAGAAGCGTCATTGGAAAGTCAATTGAGTTCTTTAGAACGAACTCAACTTCCAGTAGAAATCGAAAACCTCAGCAAGGCTCGTAAACTAAGTCTAGAAGCAGATGAAATAATGCAAAAGCTGAAGAATTTTTCTTCTGCACCACTCAAATCAGAATCTTTTGATATAGTGGACGTAGAAATTACTCCACCCGATTTTATACCCGAATCCCCTTCACCAACTAGACTTAGAACCAAAGTACAGGTACACATCGATGACATATCTAAACATAAAAAGTTGACCTTGAATAAGCAGACTAAGGAAGAAGGAAGTACTAGTGTAATACTGAAAGAAGAAATTAGCTCAATTGAGAAGCCAAACGAAGAAAAAAAGTCAAATATAAAAGCAAAAGAACATAAGAAACAGATTAAAAGCAATCACAGTAGTTCGAAGAAAGACATTAAACATAGAAGTAAAGGGCATGTAAAAAAAACCGAAGAAGGTGTGAAGAAGAAATCTGAAAAGGTAGATCTTGCCGGCATGGTTGTAAAATTGCTCATGCCTTACTATAAGAAGAAAAAGATTAGTAGTAGAGATCTGTTTAAAACAACTGCTAGACATATTGTTCACCAATTATTGGCAATACAAGTTACTGGTAAGTTCCGAATGTTAATCAGAATTCAAATAAGTAAGTAGTGGGTACTTCTTAATGTATTAATTTTTATTTATTTTCTTTTCCAGAAGAAGCAGCGATAGATCTTTTGTTAAAAAAGACTTTTGGTAAAGAGTTTAAAATAGAAAATGAGGGTGATTTAGTGACTAAGATAAATTTGAGTAATGTTGTATAATTTATTAAGTTTTAATGCCTTATTAATAATATTGTTATTCTTGTACACATGCATAATTAATAAAATAATATGCAAAGTTGTATATTATCCTTTTAATATGGATAATTACTTTTAAACAAAATTTATCTTTTTTAAAGATTATTCGAGATGCAAAATTTAATAAATATTAAACAAATAAGCAGGAGTACGACATTAGTTCTGGACGCAAAGTCGATAGACTGCTAGTTAGTTTTAAAATTTTACCATTATTATCGGCAATTATTACAGATTTTTACTTTTTATATAAATCCAACTAACCACTGTTAACGGTGTTTATAATTGCTATCATTAACATTATATATATAACTTATAAAGGGTATTACCCCTTTTTTAAAGTATTAATTTTCCAAATTGTTAATTTGTTTCTAAGGCAACAGTAAACAAACAAAACAGTTGCTTAGAGTTTGTTCAATCGATAAGTGGCATAAAAATGCATTTAAATTCCTAAAGCAAGAAATGCTAGAGTATTGATAATGTTGCTCATTTCGTTTATTGCCAAATTTGAATGAGTTTCTATCTTTACCAATATTGATGTTTATACATTTCGTAATTTGGCAAAAAGAATCTTTCATGAAAGAAGTTATTCGGGGTAGATGAATAGTTTCTGCCTTCACAAAACCTTCCTTCCCAAAAATTCACGTAATGTCATGGCAGCTTGCGTTTCGCATATTTGGATAATCATCATCTAATCTAACGATAGATTAAATAATCAGAAAACTTTGTAATAGGGTAGTTGATCATAAATAATTAACAATGTCTGTCTCATTAAAACAAATATCACATAACATCTCGGAAAATATAATTATTCTAGATTTTTATGACTATTACGAATTTAAATCAAATAAACATTGAAATATGTTCTTCAATTGAGTAGTCTAAGATAGTGACGTCATATGTTGCTATTTAGTACATTTGTGATACAAAATTGTCGTTTTGACAGATGATAACTGTAACTAATTTGACTAAGGTGTCAACTACCCTATTATAAAAAAAACGACAAAACTTAATTTATAAATTAATGAACTGAGCTAACATATTCCAATTGCCAATCGTCTAATCTATCGTGATGTGACCTTTTATTTCGTTACATTCATAAAGTACCCACCCTATAGTGAAAATAATAGTTAAATTTACACATACAGAGAGGTCAAAATGCCGTGATCTGCATCACTGTTTATCGACAGGACTCATTGATGGTTTCTGTTATTTTGGACTGGATTAATGAATCGACTAATTGTACCTTTACCGAATTTAAATGGACCTACTTATGTAAAACGAAATACAGTCAGGCAATTTGTGATCAGTATATAATAATAATATATCTCACACACGGCCGTCTGATTCCAAACTAGGCAGAGCCTATAGATAGATAGAGAGCAGAGATAAATATATATAATATATTTTAAAAACATTATGTAGAAATATTACGTTTACTTGCGTTAAGAAAATAGTGACGCATCAGTGGAAAGGTGGAGTAAAAATTCAAACAATTTACATTTGTACAAAAATTTGTATTTTTATAGATTTTAGTTTATCTACCTGAATGTAAATGTTCTTTTGATACAAAACAAAAGCATAATAACACTTACTGTCCATCTGAGGATGTAACAAATAATATCAAAGATTTATGGTCCTTTAAATGAATTGTTTATAATTTATCATAAACGTCATAATGACGGGATCAACTCTTGTAATTGAAAAATTTTACCACGTGTATTTTGTACTATTTTGTACTTGTCCTGAAGTTTTTGTACCTCCATGGTATAAACAGAATTTTATGATAACACAGGTCCCGCCATTATGATGCGTTATAATGACGAGACCAGGCCTGTACTCCAAAATTACAACGAATCAGATCATTGTGATCAAACCAGTATTTAGTACTTGATTTAGTACTTCCAAAAATCAACAGTGGGTGACGGAGATCTTAGTAGTTTCTTGACAAAATTATTTTTTCTTTTTTGACTTATTCTACGGCTTGAATAGCTTAACGAGCAAAAATACTTCAAGTAAAAAGTTGCAGCTACATTTCATGCAGGCGCTTAATTTTTTTATTCATTACGAGTAGATTACATAGTAATTATTAGCTATTGGTAATTAACAGTAATGAAGGTCGATTTCTTAGTAAAGGATTAAATTTAAGTTATTGTTATATTAAGGAACGGTTATCAGATTAACCATATTGAGATTTCGAAGTGTATATATTTGTGTTAGTTCAAAAATATTTGTTAAACATGAAAAGAGGAAGAAGAGGTGCAGTTTCCTTGGAGCATCAAAAGAAAGTTTTTTTGCAATATGCGAGTGCCTTCAAGAACCACAACTATCTACACTCAAATGACCACATTTTCTCCAAAATTAGTGAGGATTTAAAGTTTTTAATGAATGAATGAATAATCCTAAAAGTCTTTATTTATCCTTAAAAAGATATTATGAATATTTTTTTGACATAGAGGATGATTCTGTAGCAAAACAAGATCAAGAAATTATTGAAGAAATTGAAACGGACGACTCCAGCTCAAATTCTGATATTAAAGATGAAAAGTTGAACAACGAGTACATCACTTTTCATTTATATATTTACTCTTGGGAAAAAATTCAACCGATTGTTAAGGTAGTCAAAAGAAGTAGCTCTCATTTCACTTCTTCTAACTATAGAAAAAAGTGGTCCTTACCAAAACATGTATGGGCTAAAATGTTACGAGAAGAATTATGGAAGGCTGCGAAGAAACCATGTTCTTGGATTTTTAAAACAGTCTCTATAAAAGCACATGAATTTATTAAATTCTATGGTGACTGTAAGGAATAAAGCGAAGATTGTTTTTTTTTAATTTGGCCTACAGAAAAAAAATGTACATGTAAGTGTACTCTCAGCAATGTCGATAATAACGTCAATCATAAACTTTCGAGAAAAATTAAAATGTCACCCTTGAAACGCTCGGCACTAAGCGCGAAACTGAAAACAGATTCCGCATTATCTGTTCATCGATCCCTTGCTGATTTTATGATGGAAGACAATGATGTAGAACCTACACATTTACCAACATTAAGGACTTTGCGTCAAATTAAATATCAAACTAAAAAGGCTTCCTTTTACGACCCGAATCCAACAATATCTTTATGGCTTATGGCGCAAACCCCGCCTTATAACGATTTGATTAGACATATATCATTACATCCTTATTTTGTAATTTACTATTGGCTGTCAGCTCAAGAATTGTATTACAACAAATACATTGCAAAACACAGAGTCATAATGAGTTTAGATGCTACTGGCAGCATTTTAAAAGAATTTGGGCCTCATCGTAACATGAAAATTAAGAAACATCTTTTTTTATATGTGTGTGTAGTTCAAACTTTTGATGGTAAGAGTAGTTTGCCTATATTGCAAATGATATCTGAGAGTCAGACAATGGACACGTTGCAAAATGGCTTAAAAATTGGTCTGAAAAAAATACACCACCAAATGAATTGGTATGTGACGACTCATCTGCGTTAATCGGAGCAGCTGTAAAAGCATTTACTAAGCATACAACAACGAAGGAATACCTTGATGAATCATTTCAGTTACTGAATATACCTAAATGCAAGTCTCCATAGTGTTATATTAGACTGGATACAAACCATTTCTCGAAAATATAAACAATTTGGGTTGTTTCAAAAATATAGACCCACGTGTAAAGTTTTTTTATGTCACTTGCTTGAAAAATATTAAGCAATGCCAAGATTACGAAGTAATCAAACAAACTGTGAAAGACAACGTCACACAACAACGTGGTAATGTGTGGTAACGTTATGCTTATCGGAATATATTGGATCTGTTCACGGCAATGTAAATGTAAAAGAAGAAAATTTGAAAAATATTGAAAATTTGTATTACATGCCTTCATTAGTCGAAACTTTACTAAGATATATCAGCCAAGTTCCCCTGTGGTCTAATTGTATGATGAATATTTATGATAGTCAAATAGATGCTCCAACATCTTGGAAGATGTTGGAGCATCTATTTAGAAAATTATTTTAAAAGTATCAAAAGATTTCTTCTTAATTTAACAACAAAATCGCATCGATTACGAATTGATGATTTCATTTTGCATCATCATAGTTTTTTGTCTGGCGAAACTAAAATTGCAATGAGTTATTTACAATCTGATCCTAAAACTAAACCTAAAGTATGTAAAAAGAAAATTGCCGAAATAAAAACGAAAAAAGGAGAATACTCAGACAGTGATTCCATATTTTCAAAAAATCCAACATTTATAGAGAATTGGCGGGGTAAAGGTTATGTAAAAAAATCTATTCCAAAGCAACGGAAAGTGAAGGTGCCGATTTTATTAAATGGAAATATTATTAACACACATGACAATATATTAATAATAAATACGTGTGCATTTGACTCGAATGTTTCAAGCAATAGCTATTGTGTATGCTGATAAGAAATACAAGGTTAGTAATATAATAGAAAACAATGATGGTGAGTTTTTCAGATTTATCAAAGCACTTGCCAATAATACTAAAGAACCTATTTATAAATTGCGCAATGAAATTTTGATGAAGCATTTCAAAACAGAAACCGTGGGTTCAAAGATACAAGTAAGTTCTGAATGCAATGTTTCATACACAGTAGAAAACATTCTATTGGACATACTTTATAGCGCACAAGTCATTAAAACCTGTACCAACGTCAACTGTGCTTCTAGTTATAATAAAAGAAATATTGGCTTTTTACCACTAGATTTAAATATTATAGAAAAGAAAGGTATCTGTGCACTCAATGAATCAGCAGAAACAATTTTAATAGATAATATAAAACAATGTAATCAAAGCGAATGTACTGGGGTTAAAACTATTTCTTATGATTTGTCAAATACAAACGTTAATATACACGAAATTCCAAGTAATTTAAAACTTAATAACAAATACTATCAAATTGTAGCTGTAGTAGAGTTCGTACCGCCAATTTTTGCAGGCATAGGCCACTATAAATGTAATCGTGTAAGGGTACTAGGGAAATGGGAATGTTATGATGACTTGAACCGTAAAATTTTAAAAAGTCAATCGTTTGTCATTCCACATTGCATTATGTACGCAGAAATATAATTTAGTAAGTAGTTTAATTAAAAACATTTTTTTGTTAATGAAACACTTGCCTACTTATTTACATCTTAACCTTTTTTGTTGTATCTCATTAAAAAAACAATAAAAAATCGTTCTTTCACAAGACAGTATAATCCGCACCAATCCAAAATTTCAAGATTAAAATAGATGGCTTTTCGCCTCGATTGAATAATCCATCGGAAAGCAAGTAGCAGAGAAGTTCAAAGTGGCTCTGTTTGAGCACAAATGTTTTCCTTATTGACTCAGCTAAATATATTAATTTTGAGTAAAACTTCTTAGGTAATTATGTTGCAGACTAACCCTGACGTAAACATGTTGGTACACATACAATTTAAAAGTAGGATGTACTGTATTTATAGTACTACGTTTATAAAATATGTTAAACAACGTAAAATATTAATTTTCCTGCTGAGCCTAATCGATATTTAAATAATAATATCGATAAGGCCAATTATTAAAATAATATTTTATGATAATATAAATAATATATTCAATAATAAAGCGCCTGCACGAAATGTAGCTGCATCATTTTACTTGAAGTATTTTTGCTCATTAAATTAATATAGTAAATGTTAAAAAATAAAAATTGTCTACTAGGTACTAATATCTCCGTCACCAAGTGTTGATTTTTGGAAGTACTAAATCAGGTACTAAATACTGACTACAACAGAATTATGTGATTCGTTGTAATTTTGGAGTACAGGCATGGTCTCGTCATTATAATGCATCATAATGGCGAGACCAATGTTATCTTGAAATTCCGTTTATACCGTGTGAAGTACAAAATTTTAAGGTCAAGTACAAAATGGGTACAAAATACACGTGGAATATACAATTAAAAGAGTTGGTCCCGTCATTATCACGTTTATAATTTATCAACCGTTGATACTTGATCTCTTTTTTCACAGGGAATTTTAATGTGTTAGTTTCCTAACGCGAACGGACTAAAGGTGAAAATATCACAAACTAAGAATGTCTGATATACCTCATCATTCTTACAAATCTACTACGGCATAAAATGTCAATATTTATATAATTTAATTCATTAAATAAATCCATAATTTAATATTTCGTCATAAAAAAAACTCAGTATCAATCTCAATATCCTTCCGGGGCTGGCGATTTTTACCGGCGAGGAAGGAAATTATTATCTTTTTAATAATTATTATCGTTTTCTGAGTATTTATACTTAATTAATTATATATTGGGTATTCTATTGTACAGTAAAGAAAACGTGGTCTTTTATATTTTTGAACTCAATGTTCTGTATTCAGTCAAATTTTCAATTGCCAAATAATGGTCGGCAGAGTTGTGATGTCTGTGTTGTCGGCGGTTTCCAAAAAAATATATTATTAATTAATAATTATTATATTATATTCTCAACAAAAACTTATTACATTTGAATTTAGAATCTGAATTCTTATATGAATGTGTTTTCTCATTTCCAACCGGTGTTAAATATTTTTGTGATATTAAAATAGACTAGGGTGAAAAAGAGAACCGAATTGCTGTGATAACATTACAGAAATTAGGTATGGAGCTAAATGCAAATTTTTAAATTCCATCCGCTTATGGTATGGTATTAGTCGAATGTTTGTGTACCGGACTATTGATAGGTACATAGAAACCTTGTCTGTTTGTGACAGGAAATGATGAGGCCGCAATGTATTCGTACGAAAAAGGCGTTCAAAGCATTGAAGGAAAGAATTCAAAGAAATCCTGTCCGAAAGTGAAAGATTTTATCTCGGGAAATTAATATTGCACCTAGAAGCATGTCGCGTATTTTAAAAGACGACGTACTTGCAGCCTGTAAGAAACGCACTGGTCATTATTTAATTGATAATTTAAATATAAATAGGGAGGTTAAATAAAAATAGCGATACGCAAAGGGAGGTCGGAGATATTTTATTTACTGACGAGTTTTTTTTTCTATTGAGCAATATTTTAACAAGTAGAATGACTGAGTTTATGCTCAAAGCTCTATAGAAGCTTCCCAATCAGTCAGCGTAGTGCAACGTGGGCATTATCCAACTTCGAGTATGATTTGGTGGGATGTTAGCTAGACTGAGCAATATTTTTGTGAAACAAGTATTAAAACATCGGCACAAGTGTATCAAGATACGATTATTGAGAAGGTGATTCAGCCTATTAACAACATCATGTTCCAAACCAAGAATGGTCCTTTCAGTAAAACTCAGCACCGGGTCCAAGCGAGGTTGGAAACGAAGGTTAACGAAACCTGCTTAATGTTAAGTCATCTATAAAATATTTAAATTTTAGTCCAAATTCTCTAAACACTACAATGTACATGATTCGCGGCTTCTACTCATTCCTCCATCCCGTTTACTCCTATTACTTAACTCCGTAAACGCTAGAAGACAGTGCTCATGTTGCCTCATTTTATGGTGCCTTCGAATAAGAATGAGTGAAGCCACCAGGAAGTCACAGTAAACCAAATTACAAGTGAGTTTAGGTAGTAAATAAGTATACAAAACGTGTGCACAAACTCGTCGCTGCGTCTTATAGTATGATGAAACCCACCTGAACACCCAAACGAAGTGCTAAGTAAGGTTGTTGTCCTTCTTGTCATTTCCTTCCAGGTGCTTAAATTGTCATATTGATTGTTGTACGGTTGTGAATGCATAATAAGCATATTATAAATTGCTAGACGGTAATTAGACCTATTTGGATTTCATACAATAGGTTTATTTTACATCGATTTTTTCATATATAGAGTTCGCTTCGCGATCAGACCATCAGTTACATTTAACTCTTTTGGAATAATTCCTAAATTTATAGTTTACTTAACACTAACACCTTGTATTCCCACTTTCTATTTGAAACATACAATAAAATCCATAACCCCTTAATATACCACAATCAACCAAAGTGGCTGACAGAGCTGCGACGTCTTATTATGTTGTGTTCTTAACATTTATGAGCTATCCGTAGACACCGAACTCGTTGTTGATCTTGAGTAGGGTCTGCTTTGATTACTGATGAATAGTAAGTCTAAATCTGATACGACGGCGTTACAATCAATGCTACCGTCCTGTCTCTCTGTGCTCGACCTCTTGCCTCTACTAGTGCCAGGCTGCACTTCCCATGGAGCGCCTTTACTAGTGCTAGGCTGCAATTCCCATGAAGTGCCTCTACTAGTGCTAGGCTGCACTTTCCATGGAGTGCCTCTACTAGTGCTAGGCTGCACGTTCCGCGCAGTGTCTGTACTAGTGCTAGGATGCTCTTCCCATGGAATGCCTCTACTAGTGCTAGGCCGCTCTTCCCATGGAATGCCTCTACTAGTGCTAGGCCGCTCTTCCCATGGAATGCCTCTACTAGTGCTAGGCCGCTCTTCCCATGGAATGCCTCTACTAGTGCTAGGCCGCTCTTCCCATGGAATGCCTCTACTAGTGCTAGGCCGCTCTTCCCGTGGAATGCTTCTACTAGTGCTAGGCCGCTCTTCCCATGGAATGCCTCTACTAGTGCTAGGCCGCTCTTCCCATGGAATGCCTCTACTAGTGCTAGGCCGCTCTTCCCATGGAATGCCTCTACTAGTGCTAGAGGGCGGTTCCGGAGGGCTTTTACTAGTGCTAAGGTAAAGTTCCCATTGGTCTATACTAGTGTTAGGCTCCGGTTCCCATACGGTGCCGGGATTAGGGTTTCTCGATAAACTAGAGTCTGCACTAGTACCGGCCCTTGGATATCTTATAGCGCTATATCCCGTAGTCGAGCCAGATCTATGGTTTCTTAAGGTGCTATGAACGACACTAGCTCTCGGCGCAGAGTGAAGAGAGAGAGGGGCGGTGCCCTGCCCGGCTCTGCTGTGCGAGGATCAGATCCGGAGCGCGCGCTTGCGCGGCGTGTGCGCGGCGGTGGCGGCGCGCGGGCGGCGGCGCGGCGCGCGCGGCGTGTCGGGCTCGGGCGGGGCCGACGTTGTCACTAAGTTACGCGCGTTGCCGAACGACGGCGCCTGACCGATGTTCTGCTGGAAATCGTGAATACGCTCCACTATTTCTTCGTCGCTGTCGATGAGCTCTTCGATCTGTAAGTTTCACAATGACTAAAAACTCGCATAACGTTCCCGAAAGATTTGGATATCGAGAAGGATGCGCAGATCGGGAGACTGGGAAAGAATTGATATGAAAAAGGTATTAAGATTGGTTGAAAACACGACACAAAGTGTATATCGTAAAATTTATATAGAATATGAACGAAAACATACCTCCTGCCTGTAATCCTCGAGTAGGTCCGTGGCGATGCGTACGAGATATGTGGCGATTTGTCCACCGCGTGGAGCCAATCGCGAGTACAGACGCAGCACGGCCGGCACTAGCACCTCCGCTACCGTGCGCTTCATTTTCTACAATGTAATTGTTGTATACTATTAAGTTCGTGTTCGTGTGGCTTATACAGGCTGTCACAGAAAGGCATGATCGAAAGCGAAGATTATGTGTACAGCCTACAATTAGTTAATTTAGATTTATCTTGATTACCTGATGTAAGTGCACACTTCTAAACAACGTAATATGTATGTTCATGTTAATTTGTATAGTTTTGTTTTGGTTTTGTGCAAGCCTTTCAGAATAATCTGAACATGCCATCTACTACTACACTACATTGATATTAAATACCCATAGTTTCATGCATGTCAGCCCACTCTTCTACGAAATAATTGCTTTTCGCATACGATTTCTGTATTGAAAACCATTCTTAGCGGTTTACGTTGTATACTAACGTATATAACGTAAACCGTCGTCGCCGCGTTAAGTGACTGGTGTCAGTGACGATTTGGTGACTTAGTATGGCAACGATAGACGTCAATCAGTCGTATCGCCTCTGCCGCGCCCACCAAATTTTGATAGGTCTTAAAAGTATTTCATGGATCTACTTAAACTGATTATAGAAGGGGAAGAAGATGATGACCTTTTACTTCGATGTTACTCATTCGATTTTTTCAGACCATATCTTGTCCTTCTTTCACGAATTTTTATAGCCTTCCATTCTTAAATTATAAAGCAATGGATGCCGAGACACCAGTGTAATTATTATTTCATCATCTTCTGTGAACGTGTCAATATATGCCATTTTATAGAAATTAACTTCAAAATACACGTTGGCGTCGGCGACACTGCGAACATGAGCGCGGCAGTGACGTTAGCGTTAGCTAGACGTTAGAATGTCTTCCCTACCTTTGCATAGTGCGTTAATCTGCCGCTCTGTCGTAACGTCACTAACGCGGTGCCACTGACGCTTGCTTCGAAAGCCTACCTTTAGTGATAATATGGACAAATTTGACAAAGCTGTCGGTCTCCTAAGTTATAAATAAATAAGAAGGTCACATTAATACAATTATGGTAAAGGCACCTATTTTAAGATATTTACGTTTTTTTTTATGTCACAGGTAACATTTTGATACTTACATGAGACACAATGTTGGTGGTGACTCTCTCTTGTAATTCGTCTATATCGGCTGGATCACCAGTGTTCTGAGGTTTTTCTATAAAATCAATACAAGTAATATATAGTGAAACGAAGCTAATTTAAAATTTTGCTGCACACACAAATACACACATCTAAAAAGTCTAAGCAACACGCATCATTTATAGAAACTTATTATATATTTTATTTTTCTTTCGTATTTTATGTATTTCATAGCAACGTGGATATGTATACATTATTTTTTGTTCTCGGTAACATATTACTGGATTAAAAATTACTATTTTAAAAATATAAACTTTTGATTGTATTTTTTCATTAAAATAATAACTAATTATTTTTCTCGATTTCATACGTGATTTTCGTTGCTTTGAAAGCGTTTTGGAAAAGAAATTTTTTATCAGTAACAGAAGCTATATATAACGTTAATTTAATAAAAAATATATATTTTTTATCATCAAAGTCGATATTCATATCGTTTACAGAGAAAAAGTGAGAACCAGTAGTAGGGCTATTCAATCACACGTAGGTAAATACTACGAATAGAAATACTATGCGTTTTAATATCGATTCAAATAAAATCGTGTTCGCCAATAAAAACAAAGCTACCGAGTTGCGCCGGAGTCGTCCAACCAATGACGTCTGCCCCGTAGGCGCATGCGCGGGACTCACCTGTAATCGTGAGGCGTCCTTCGCTTTCAGTCGGTCAGTAATACCATAACATCGTGACGGCACGCTACATTGATTAGCGCTAAAATGAGTCGACAGTACGAATTTTCAAACGTGGAATACTTCTTGGTAATGGTACAGCTGTACGCTACTGCCAACTACAACTTGGAAGAGGCTTGGCGTTTGTATTCCCAGCCGGAGCATTTAAATGCACTACGGCTACGTGGAATTGAAAGCCCTCAAATTCCCTCCACACCTACCATCTTGGCTGCAACCCAACGTCTTCTCGACCACGGACAATTTCGTGCGCCTACTCACGCGCAAGGTCAAGGACGTTTAAATTATTATTCGACGGAGTCTAGTGCGTGCATACCTGGACAAAGAGTTTAGTGATCGGTGGATAGGTCGAGGAGGGCCAGTGCCTTGGCCACCTAGAAGCCCGGACTTAACGCCCCTGGATTTTTTCTTATGGTCGGAAATAAAAAGACTTGTTTATACACGGGAATGTGAAAGCCGTGATAATTTACGCATTGCGATAGTGGACGCTTTTGATAAAGTGAAAAGTGATAGCGACACATTAAGAAAATTAAAAAACAATTGCATTAAACGTGGACGTTTGTGTATTGAATGCAGCGGACTCCATTTTGAGCAGTTGTTTCGATACAGAGAAGTGTAAATAGTGTAAATAGGTAAGTAAGTTAATTATTCTGTCGATAGCTCCGATTTTTTTAAATACGCCTGAAATATTTATACCTGCAGTCCGTTGATAAATTGATTTGTTGTGAAAATAACAATCGTGGTGAAAAGAAGTTTAAATAAAATAGGTATTTCCGACGGTCCTAAGCCCGTGTAAAGTATGAAGGACAAATTGGAGTCTATCTACGTAAGTACTCGCTAGCTCGCGCCTATAGGTATACTTTTATCAGCTGCTTTTAGCGTCAGCGGTGCGCAGCGGCCGCCGAAACGCCCACGGACGTGTTTCATTCATATAAGATAATGAATGAATGATCAGTCCATTACTACTTTCCAAGTCGATCGAGTAAAAATGAATATTAAAACTGAAACTTTTTTTTAGACAACATTACAATTGATTTAATCATTTTTATTGGTACTATAGATGATTCCAAATTAAAATGTTTCGTTTCCAAAACGCCTAAAAAATCACCGTGTATACCGTTTTTGAAACAATTGAGTCGTGGGTATTTTTTTATGTCATGGAGCGACGCCATTGACTGCTGATGTAATGCAGAGAGTCAGTCCAGTCAATAGGAGCGTGATTTGTCGTCTTTGGGAGCGTTATGTTAATACAGGGGATCCTGCTGGGCAGCACCCAGGACCTGGAAGGAGTACAACTACTCGACAGAACCGATACACAACTGACTGCAAGACGTCAGCCGATGTTAACCGCCGGGAGATAGGTTGAAAGCTACAATTCTCAATCGGTGTTGTTGTTAGCCACCAAACCGTGAGAAATCTGCTGCCTGAATACAGCCTACGAGCACAACGTCCAATTAGGTGCCTACCTATATGCAAAATGGTGTAGGGAAGACTTGACATGAACCCAGGAGCAATAGGATAAAATTTTATTTTGCGATGAGTCGAGAGGGGTAACAATGCATCGTCGTCCCGGAAATACTGAACGGCTGAGATAAGATAAAGTGTATTTCTCTTCCACAAATATTACTTAATATGAGGTTAGAATAGTAATTGCTCAAGACCGTTGTGGGTGACAGGCATCTCCACTAGGGAAGCCTGTCACTCGGATTACCTTATGAAGATTAGATTAGATATTATGAAGAACAGACAAACAGCTCGTTTTTGTAGATGGCAATATGAACGTTAATTAAAACTTACGTTAAAGATGTGCGGGGGCCTTATGTTCACCCATTTGCACAAAGTCTTGGTTTAGATTTCACCCTGATGTATGACTTGACCATGAGGACCAGAGAGTACTTAGCAATGGAAAACATCCGGGTAATGTCGCGGCCTGCACAATCGCTAAACCATCGAGCACGCATAACACATGCACCAGAGACGAAACCCAACAACTGAAAAACTTGTTAAAATTCTATTGGGAGCGATTGCCGCAGGATTAGATAAACAATCTTATAATTTCAATGAAATTTCGTTAACAGAGGCGGTCACACTTTGTATTGAATTACCAAAAAAAAATAATTAAAAAATTGTCGTTATTTAATTTAGTAACACATGAAAAGTTTAATTTCGTTTTAACTTTATACTACGTATGTTATGGTACTCATATTGTTCATTATTGTGATTAAATGAACAATTAAATGAAGGATTTTGTTGCTCTATAGTCACTCATGAATCAAAGAATGCTTAGTTATTATTTATAAAAGAAATATAAATAAATTACAATAGTAAAAATCGTTCAAAAGTTTAAAACTGTGTATGTTGCTTAGACTTTTTTGATGTGTGTATATTAAGGAGATGTAGGCGTAGTAAGCAGTTGCTGGCTAGCTTGTAGATAAAACGTGCACATGTGACTAGTTCTGCGACAATAGCTCTTTAATGAATAATATTAACTAAATTCAAGGAAAAAATATTTTAACCAATTCAAATCTTGTATATTAAAATAAATAAATAAATATTTGGACATCTGACAGATAACGCCATCTTGTTTCAAAATAACCAGTTTGAATGAAATTAGATTAACTTTTAGAATACTTATATACCTACAGGTTTTTTTTTTAAATACATAGAAAACACCAAACTCCGAAACATTGCAGATCATACAAACATTTGGTCCAACCCGGTAGTAGAACCCACCAAAGCAGTCGCGTACGCTACCACTGTACCACCGAGGCAGTCACTATATTACATTTATATTCACGTGATTTTCTCTAAGTGACGTTTGTGTAAACTTCTATTCTGGTATCAGTCATCCTTTCCACTGATAAAATACTTGTTCAAAATATGGGCCGTAAAACACTTTTTATGATGATATGACTCACTAGTATTTTTTTGTTCACCCATACGAACCTTTGGGACCGACTAAATTTAACTACTTAGGCGGACACAATTATGAATCAATTTAAATACTTTTGTGCGTTAATCGCACCACTGACTTAAGCCTACAAAGGTAAGTATCTACATTTGCACACGGCTCTTCATACATTTTAACAGCATACATTTAATACCAAAACAAAGTGCATCTATTTATCACTAATTACGTGCTTACTAATAAAATACTTTGTCAATAAATACCCTTATTATTAACTTCAGTATAGACATGTGAAATATGAAAATAGTATGTTTTAAGTAAAAATCAACACAGTTGAATTGAATTGACCAAAAAAGGAACTTTTGTAAATACACAGTAACAAAGATAATAACTTCAACTAACATCTTCAGCGTGGGACGGATTAAGCACGTCATAAGAGACATCACCAAATACGGAGTGTCACAACCCCTATTCATCCCGTGGGTGTCGAAGGAGCCAACTAAGGGAGCAATCTATGCAGGACAGGACAGCACTGCAAAGAGAAGGAAAACTTGTCACAAATGCTATACCAACCCGTCTGGCCAGCGTGGCGTAGTAGGCCAAAACATCCTTTTAAGGGGAAACTGGGGTCACAAGTTGTTTCTGTTACCTGCCGCCACTTCATCCATCCCGTATTGAGTTACCTGTGCAGTTCGATCGATCTCGCCATTATATTGTAAGAGGGAGTCGAGGTAATTGAATTTGGAGCAGATTGGTCCCATCTAACGAAACGGTTTCAGGACTGGAGACCATATCTCATCATTATGGTTCTGCTGATTTTAAGTAAACGTTCTCTAGCCTTTGAAATTTTTTCAGTCTGTTCTGGACCTCACGCTCAGTCTTTGCCTACTGTATGTTCGATGTCACAGTATCCCTGATCAACAGGAAGAGGTACGGGCTCAGGGCTGATTCCTAGTACGAGCCTACAGAGACACTGAATTGATCAGTGTTGCCCATGACCAACCTAACTTGTGTGCAAGACTCTCTGTACATACCACGAATCAATTCTGCAGACTAACAAGGAACTCTATTTTCTTTCAAAGCCCACCACAAAACCTCTCGGGGTATCTTATCATATGCTTTTTCTAGGTCCACAAACACCATATATTATGCAAGTTTTTGGGTGCGCTACTGTATTTCTCATATAGTTGGCGCACTGTAAATATGGCATCTGTTGTGCCGCGTCCTGTCACATAAACACAAATTGGCTTTGTTCAAAATGTTCTTATGTTTGAAAGATTATGATTCTGGTTTTTCATTTATTATAGTATAATTTTTTTAATTCCCATAAATGCAGAGGTTTTAACAATAATTAATAGAAACTGTTGAAAGGTGCGTACATAAGTGATGTATTCTTACGTCAATTAAAATTTGCATCTGCATAAATTAATTTTATGTATTGAAGAAAGCGATAGTATATAAGTATAATAGATAACATCATTCCAAAAATTCATAACACGTGAAATTTTTTCGTACAAAGATAAGAAAAAGTCACTACTGTACCATTAACTATTATAGAAAGATAAGATATCGACTATTCGACGAGGCTTTTTCTCTTAGTAATTACATACTAGTAAGTTTTATGTTTAAGTCAATTTCCGATATACAATACTTTTGCTTTCTGCGGCTGACGTATTCATGTAAAATCGCTTTTATGCTTTTTGTTTAAAAATAATTATTTTCGACATCTCTTTTTGGTTTCTCTAAAACTGTAAACTGTATCTAAGGTTCTTTATGATATTGCTGGCATTAATTGTTTGATGCAGTATAATACAGATCAACTATCCAGGAATTAGTACTTTTTTTATTTAAGGTATTTTTTGTACCCCTGAAAACGTGTTTACAGAACTTGATAGTGATGCGCTGCATGAAAGTGTACATTCGCAATTATAATATTAGTTAGGTTATACTGACTCGGCAATTTCATCCTGGGGCCGCACAACAGCGTAATAGTGTCCAACATAGCAGCATTGAGCTCCGGTGATATTTCCTCGTCGCCTTCATCGGTCATGTCAGCTGCGTGCTTTAATATATCACGCGCAAGCCGACATTGCACGTTCAGCTTTTGTACAATCGACAATCGCTGGAGCATCACGTCGTAGATCAGCTGACGAGCGTCGAATGATAGGTTTTCTATAAATTACGATAAAAGCTCTTTTGAACAAAAGTCTGAAAAAATTGACAATGGGGTCCATGTTTTGTTCAATTACACTATGAAGTTCGTAAGACAAATAATGCCAAGAATCCAATTTGCAAGAATTTGCGATATTTTTCTAATATCACATTCGACAGTAAAATGTTTGTAAATATATAGGAGAGGAAAACTGTCTTGCGCCTAAACTATTTACCTGTATTATCTTTATTGTAATGTAGGACAGTGTCCACGAAGTGGTGGTAAATGGCATCAGTGGTGAGACAACACGTCACATAGTACTCGACGGGCTCTCGGACGTCATGATCTTCATCAGCCAATAACGCCCAATACCTACGAACAATATTTATTATGATCACATTTTTTGTCATTCGATTTATTGCAGGTGCCTGGAACGCTTACACATTATTTGATTTATTTAGCAATAGCAAAAGCATAGTTGCCTGACTTACTAGGCAGTGACCCTCTTCCTAAATATACTGAGCAAGGATAGAATAGACTGAATTTATTTATTTCGAGTTGAGTTGCTTGTAACCAAGACGACTGTGAAAATATCTTATTTTAAACATATCTTATTCATTCGATTGCAATAGCAAATACATAAATAAATTGACATAGTTTGAAAATGCACATTTATAGTATGAATATTTAGATACATCTGGGTTGCGAGTGATTTAAAAATTGTATTGTTTCAGTTACAAATGTTTCACTGCTCATTGACTGGAGTGACATGACGGCCTCAGAGAAAACTACTGTCAAACAATTCTGTTCGCTTTTCATCGAATAAATGAGGTTCTCGGCGCCCAACATCTCCTTCCAGATGCAGGGGGCGATGACGCATTTGCGACTCTTTGGCGGCGGTAGTTTCTTACCGTCAGGAGACCCGTCTGCTAATTGCTCTCCCATACCATAAAAATATTAGTACCGAAAGTACGTACTTGTAGTAAAGAGGTGCACGTAAGCGCAAGAATCCACCCAACAGCAGCTTGGTAAGAGCTCGCGACGTTGCGCGGCGCAGCTCGGGCGGGGACTGCGGCGACAAGCAGCCGCACACAGAGTCCATCAAGGGCTCCACTATCGCTGTGTACCTGGGGAACGATACAAACATTCCATTATCTTCAACGCTCTTTAATAGGTACATCCCTAATAATATCCCTATAAATGCGACAGTAACTCTGTCTGTTACGCGTTCACGGCTAAACCGCTGAACCGATTTTAATTAAATTTAGCATGGAGACACTTTGATTCTTGAGGAAGGACATAGGTTACTTTTTACTGCGATAAGCGATATCCATGCGGGTGGAGCTAGTGTTTTATAAATCACAAGCACAAAATAAATACTCCGTCCGCCAATTACAATAGAATCCCTTCGATAGCATTAGACTTCTATCGTATAGTCGGGTTGAACATTGAGAAATTTACGGTGCTGAGAAAATATGAGTCTGATATATAATTTGTTTTTAATATATTAAAATGTAAGTAGGTAATATTACTTATTATGGAGGATATTACTTATATTTTGTGTTTTCCTTGTGTCGTTATCCTCAGTTCTAAGGATTGTGTCTCCTGTTTGGAGCCACTCTGCGAAGAGATAGCTCGTCACCCGTTCCTGTTTTGAGTAGTGTGGAATAGGTCTTTAATTGTAAAGTTAGATATTTTGAAAACCAGCATTTTCAGATTGAATTATTTATAGATTTGCGCGCCATTCGAAATTCAGATAAATTTCTTTAGAAAACCATGTTATTTTAATTTAAAATTCAGTCATTTCTTTTAGATAGTGTTTTGTTTTTGTGAAAGCGTAGTAAAGTATTAAACATCCAACGTTGACTGTGTAATGTGATTATATGACCGAAAATTAAATCAGTAATCTGCTAGTCTTAGTAATACTTTATTATTTTACTACTAAAATATCTTCACCTTCATCTTGAAATTCAAATAAATATTATTCGAAAGCCATGTTATTTTAATTTGAAATTCAGTCATTTGTTTTTATGAAATTGTGGTAGTTTTGGCGCCATGGATTAACCGTAAATTGGTACAATTCTTGAATATGAGTTCCTACGTGGAACTACTACGTGGAAATACCGCTGCGCAAACAACACGAAACATTAACCATGTGTACGGGCCTAACGCTGTTTGCATAAACATGGACCACTATTGGTTCAATCGTTTTAGATCTGGTTTTTCTGGAATTTTTGGTTGAATAACGAGCCACGCGATCGGCCGGTAACTATAGTCGACAACGATGAATTAAAGGTAATAGTGGAAGCAGATCCAACTCAATCTACGGCTGAGCTTGGATCTGCATACATAGGATACATAAGCATTACTGTGAATCTGTTACAAACATACAAAATAGTACACACATACCCCCCAACGTTCCAACATTTTACTGACAACATTTAATATATATTGGTATATAAATAAATATTATATGTATACAAAATATTATCCACATATATTGTTATACAATCTACGTATGTATGTTTCTATGAGAGAATACTTAACGTATGTTGAGTTTGAGACAGTATTATGTGTCTATCGATGTATTGATCGTGAAATGGAGTGTGGTACAAGTGATAATATAGTGAATATATATAATTTTCGAACTGATAGAAGGTTACTTTCACGATGAAGATCCGTTTAGATAGATAGATCCGAAGATTAGTCGGAATGTCTCTCTTTTTAAAATACATAACTTTAAGTAGAGCTCGTTGTGCTCTTTCTATATCTAGGTAGTGTATTTTGAAAGTACCACCCCATATAGGGATGCAATAAACTATGATAGACTGTACCAAAGCGGTGTATATATAGTTGAGAATATTGTTATTTGAACTACATCCATTAAAACTATTCTTAGGAACAACACGTCTTAAGGATTTAAATATCCAAATAAACTTTCTAATCCGCGCAGATAATTGTTCAATTTGGGGATGCCAGGACAATCTTTGGTCGCACCCGTGCTGCAGAAACAGCTCGAAAGATTAATGATGTGTGCGGCGCTGGTGTCGCAAAAGAAAGCACAGTACGTTTTTGGTTTCAACATTTTCGTTCTGGAAATTTCGACCTGCAGAAGCAACCCCGTGGACGACAGGAGACCAAAGTGGTAAATGAAGAATTAAAGGCTATTGTGGAAGCGGATCCATGACAAAGCACTTCAGAGATAGCTGCAGCTTCGGGGTAAGTGATAAAACTGTATTAATCCACTTGAAGCAAATCGGGAAAGTAAAAAAACTTGAACGATGGGTACCTCATGAATTGAGTGTATCGAACTTGCAAACACGTGTCGACATTATATTTTGATTGTTTAACTTTGTTTATTATAGGACAACTGCAGTTATTACGAAAATTGTTGTTGTTACATTCATGAAACTTTTGACTAAGCTGAAAAATAATTAAAGGTGCTAAAATACAGTTGGTTTTATTTGTCTTTAGCGTTAAGAGATTGTGCTGTAGAATTTAGATATTTTAATAGTCGAATGTTTAACGGTTTTACTAACGTCGTCTCTAACTCCACCCTTATGTATTGGAGTTATTAGGGTCTTTTTTAATGAAACAGGAAACATCCCAGACTAATATCCTCTGGAGATGATGAAGATTGTATGTCTCTAGCAAGGGTCTCACCTACGCTAGTAAAATAGTCAGTTGGTTTTACTTGAATGAGTTCTAAATTAGGTTCAATATTTTTACTTGTATAGGTTATGTTTTTGATATTCTTCCAAAGTAGTTTATTATTATTGATTGTTTTTATTAGCATGTCGCTATCATATTTTATTTTCATTTTCTTTATTAGGCTGTTGCAAAAATTTCTTTACCGGTTATATGTGATTCTTTTTATTTCATCATGTGGGTTGTCGCGAGTCTGTTATTGTAGTTTATTGCGGTTTCTTATACATATCAAAATACCAGTGGTTATCCACGGCTTTTTAATACGTTCACTTTTTGGTATGTGCGTAGTGATAGTATTTACTTCCGCTGATTCAACAATTTTTTGTATTAAACAATCCGTTGCGTTGTTAGGATCATTACAAAAAAGAAGTTCAGATAAGTGTTTTTCGTGTAGATATTTCAATGCCTTTTCAAAGTTTACCTTAGTTGTGGTCCTCGGTGCCATTCGGTTGTTTTTTGTTTTTGTTAATGATAAAAATGTAGTCAGATGGTCGGTTATAATAGTGTATATAATAGCGATAAAAGCTGATGATTTCCTATTATTAAGACCTAATACGTGGCCAAGTAATATCCAGTAGGCTGTTAGTTCATATAATTGAGTAAGTGTACCTAATACATATGTCAGTGAGCGCCAATAGCGCGTTGACGCGAGCTTGCATGGGAGCGTCGTCGTCTGTCAGCAGCGCGGCCAGCAGCGGCGCCAAGGCTACGGCGATGGGCCTGTCGCGCACGCACAGCCGCCCCGCGCCCGCCACGCACGCGCCCCTCAGCGCCGCGCTCCACCCTGTGCACGAGACGTTACACTCAACCTACACGTCCACCAATAAAGTAAATAAATAGTAACTAGTTCAATTAAAAAATAGAAAATGGTTTTATTATTATTCAATTATAGACGGGCAGCTGTCTGTGCGGTGACGGATTAAAAATCTGGAGTGTCACAACCCCGATTCATCCTGTGGGTGTCGTAAGAGCCGACTAAGAGAGCAAACTCTGCAGTACAACAGCACTGCAAAGAGAACGAAAACTTGATACCAACCCTTCTGGCCAGCGTGGTATAGTAGGCTAAAACCTCCTTTCTAAGGCTCTCCTTAGAAAGGAGGTTTTAGCCTACTATACCAGCCTTTAATAGTCCACTGCTGGACATAGGCCTCTGCCTATGTCATTTGAATAAAATGCATCCAGATAAGAATGATAAGAATGTAGTATATTTGCAAGACCTGCTAAGCAAGATGACGACGGACTTCGAGCTTCGTACAATATCTCTTTGTTAATTGCTCAAAAACCACACAACATCGGAGAAGAGTTAATTTTGCCAGCAATAAAGGAAGTAATAACTACTGTGCTTCATAAACCGGCCGCAGATATTATCCGAAAAATTCCTTTGAGTAATAATTCTGTGCAAAGACGAATTGATGAAATGGCTGAAAACATTGAAGGATCATTGTGCAATCATCTGAGGACCAGTCAATTCTCAATTCAGCTCGATGAGTTCACTTTAAAAGATGATAAAATATGTGAAGAACTATTGTTTGCTAGAAATTTAGAGACCGATACAAAAGGCGAAACCATATTCAATACATTGGAAAAGTTTTGTGATGCGAAAGAGATTCCCTTGAAAAATATTATATCAGTTGCTACGGATGACTTTCCGGCTATGACAGGGTGCCATAAAGGCTTCATAGCGTACTTAAAAAACAAAATTCCAGATGTCCTTGCAGTACATTGCGTTATTCATAGAAAACATTTAGTTGCTAGGAACTTAAGTGAACGACTATTTCAATCACTGCAATATGTCATCAAAGCAGTCAATAACATCAACAGCTCTTTGAATGATAGATTATTTCATCAGCTTTGTGTTACTAATGACGAAGATTTCAACCGTTTGTTGTTTTATACTGAAGTTCGTTGGCTATCAAGAGGCAATTGTCTGACTCGATTTTATAATCTGTTTGACTCTGTGATAGAGTTCTTGGAAACTAAAGATACAGAATTCAGGGCCTGAACCGATACGAGGACCGAGTTGACCAAGATTGAGGTGCCAGGGGGTGGCCCACGACGTGGCCCATGGAATAAGAGGGCCTCCGTCTTATCCAGGGCCTCCCGTGAGCCCAGCTCCTCAATGCGCCCGACCACCAGACAGACGTGGTGGCCAATCGCGCCGCCTCTTGAATTGAAACAAACCCTATCCAACCTTTTTGGCCAGTGTGGTATAGTAGGCCAAAAACCTCCTTTCTAAAGAGAGGCCTATGTCCAGCTATGTAGTGAACTACTAAAGGCTGTCGTGATGATGATCCTAAGAATATAACATTGATTTTTTACCATTGTTTAATAAAATCGCAACAGATCAATTGATGTCCGAGAAAACAACGAGCGGTTTTGTCCGGAGCAATGCACTTCTTACGTATTTTTGTAGTAATATGAGGTCAAGAACAATATCCTTGCTCTTTAGAAATGTTGATAGTAAAAAGGTTTAAGAAGATTTAGATAGGTAGTTTATATATTGCGTACTTTTGCTATGTAAGATTTCAATAGTATGGTACTAACATAATATCTTAGGTATGGTTCATAGTTCAATTGTTGACATCAATGACAACTCATTTGTGACATAAAGCTGTCATGGGTTTCAACTACAGTACAGTCTAATATTGAGACTTTAAACTGAAATAACTTTTGAAAGCAAAGATCTAAATATCTGGTAATTAAAATTGTAATAGTAGATGATATTACCAAAGATAATATTACCAACCTACACAACAACAATCCCTATCACGAGATACGCAAGGCGGTACAAAAGTCCCATACATGCCTGCCATTGTCCTTTCTAAATAATCGGACCTTTTAAAGTGGGTAAAATCGAGTTCAAAGATTCCGATATATATATATATACATAAATACAGTTGAAGCTAATAAAAACGTGTTAAACAGTGCTTACTCGACGGTGGCTCGCTAAGTGCGTTGAGGAAGAGATACAAAAGTTCCGGAGAAGGCGGTTCAGGTGCCACTAACGATAAATCTGCAGCGCGAATTCCTTCTTCTATATCTCCAGTCTCTATGGCACGACGTTCCGCTGAAAACAAATCCAAGCATTTGATTTTAATTTGACAACTAGGTACCAATGTGTGCAGGTTAATTTCTTAACTAATAAATTTCAAGTGGGCGGCGATAGTCACCTACCATCAGGTGATTCGTCTGCTCGATTGCCTCATGTACTAGAGCTTTACTGACTATAATAATATTATAAAGCTGATGAGTTTGTACGTTTGGTTGAACACGCGAATCTCAGGAACTGGTGGTTCTGGTTGAAAAATTATTTTAGTGTTGGAGAGGCCATTCATTGGCTATTTAACATCACGCTACCACCAATACCAATAGGTTTGCTTTTTTTTTCTTTGATGGATGACGTCATTAATAATACTTACAAAGCTGCATGAGTTCAGTGGACCACGTTAGGTTGGCGGGGTCTAGGCGAGCGGCCAACGAGGCGCAAGTTATGCGACATCCTGTAACAAAGTGTTTTTATCAGTTGTCTAATTAGTCCGTAGTTATATATTTATGTATATTTTATATTACATTAAGGCAAATTACAGCATACAGAGATTCTGACATATAAAAACAATACAATTAAAATGTCCCATAAAATATAATATTTAATCAAATAGGTTTTACTTTTGAAATCATACTGCAGCACCAGGCTGTCATAACACAAACATACGGACTCCAAGGCGTTATTTCTTACTTTCTGTTATACCAAACAAGGTATTCAACTTCAAAGAGCCACGCGATCGGCGGGTTGCTATAGCCGACAGCGACAAATTGAAGTGATCACTTGCGTCAAATCGGAAAGATATTATTATTATTATTAAAAACGAGGGACTTCTCAATCGAATTGCTGACTGGGATGAAAAGTGATCCTGTACTACTGCCGTTTAGGTGGCAGGGTACAATATGATGCTTCTACCCAGTAACGTCTATTACCATACTCCACTAGAACTAGACTAATAAAAAAATGTCATACCATCGTTCTTTAAGGTCATGAGACGTCGTACGAGATGGTCGCGCAGCGTAGACCGCTCGCAGGACTGCGCGAACATAGACCATGAGCTTATGAGCTCCAAAGTCAACGGCATTAGACGCGTATCTCGTTCCTGTTAAATATTGTAACAAAACTTTTTCATGCATGAAATATAGTACGCTTCGAATAACTCTGCGACAAAAAGTTCGGGCGAGTAGTTCCGCAGAACGCAATTTTAGGTATCAGAGGGGTAAGTCCTGCGCCTCTTAAGGGGGTTCGTGGCCGCCGACGCGTTGCGCCGCTGCAAATTTAGTCTTGTATCTCACTCAAGTAATTTCATTGCTTTGCTCTAACGTACTGTTATGAACATAATTATTATAGTTTCTGTTAATATTATTTGTTTTATTTGTGTCTGTTATCTGTTTTGTAATTTGTTTGCGTTTGTTATTACTTATTGTTGTACGTTTTATATGTAATATTGAGACGAAACTCCGTATTAAATAAAAAGGCAGGCCAGAAAAATAGTTTTTAATGTAGGTAGGTAACTATTTAAAAGCAGAATCACTACAAGGAGCAAAAAACAATTACCCCCGTTAAATAAACTGCGGAAGTTACAGGTGTGATTGTCAGTACTGTACAAAATATACTCAAGAAAGGCAAAAAATGTGAATTTGCTCTAATATTCCGAACGCCTGGTGTAAAATTTAAATGTAGTTAATCCCATCTGCTGCATTATTGATATGATAAATTATTTTAGTTGTTTGCCACGTTAATATACTATATATTAAACATAATTGTGTACCTGCGTACATTCCGTTTTGCAGCCTTCGTTGGCGCAGTTATTTGGCGCTTACTATACTACTTATTTATAACAAATCCACTGAGCACTATTTCGCCAAATAAAAAAGTACAACGAAAAAACCTATTTGGTAGCAATCAAGTTCTTGCGGGGGTTAATAATCTGTTTACAAGTTATTACGGTCTTTTATATTTTCCTTTATAATTTGTTTGGTGTGTTGCAGTATGAAATGAAGTTAATTTACATGAAGCTTTTATTTTACACCACCCTTTTTTACCATGCTTGTGTTATCAGTGTCATCACGTCGAGAGGGATGTAATTCATATAAATTAATCTATTAAATTAAGATAATAAACAGATAAATAGTATACCTCTTCGTTGTCAGATAGTTTGTAGTAGTAGTTCATCACAAAGCCAAGATTAGAGTATTCGACCTCTCTCGACACGCACGTCAGTAACACTAAGCATTGTAAGTCTCGATCATCATCCATGGCGCCCAAGTGAGTACTCAGGATGTCTACTATACGGTGGCTGGAGAAAAATGATAAAATTTAAAACTCACATTATAAATTACAAAATCGATGTAAATACAGTACAGTAAATATTCGTATGTAAGCTTGGGGCAACAGTGTAAATATTGACAAGAAAATTATTTACATTGTAGGATAATATCGTTTAAAGCGTTTAAGATCCTTATAGTGAGGTGGAAGCTATAATTTCTGGTCTTTAACAAATAAAATATCCTTAACTTCTACATACAAGTAGTCACGAATGGATTTAAAAAGTGAAAAAGATGTGTATCCCGCAGCTCCGAAATAATTGGCTACGATGTAACGAAAAACAGATCAAGGACGGTGGACTAATATTATGCCATTGTGTTGCGAAATCCATAGAAACACATAAATGTACTTCCAAGAAGTCGTCATCCTAATATACTAGAATAGTTTTAAAAACCTTCACATCCTCATAACTTAACCACGTAGGTACGTGCGTAGTAGATTCTTACACATCTCATAAATATTTAAATTATAGTGGACAAAAAAATTACTTTATACAATTGCCCGCTTTAGCCATCCGAGTGCAAGCTTTCTGCAAGTGTCGCTTCATATTACGCCGAATGATACCGGCGAGAAACATCCAGGGCAAAGGGTCGTCGCATATTGGACCCACAAATACTTTCAGACGGTCTATTAGAAGATGCTGGACGAGCGTTACAACCTGGTCTTGCACCTGAGGAAATATTATAATACAACTTTAATCTACGTATACTTCGTCTCACAATTCTGGGGCCAAATATCACACTCACAAATTGTCAGATCTATGCGGTCAATAGTGCGTGGTTTAATTCGATTGTAGATGTATCTACGTTAACCAATTCGAGAGATATTCAGATTTCCTTTACCTCAGAATCAAATAAATCTATATAACTCCAAGTTTACTAAATTAATAAAAACGCACATCATAAAACATATTATTATGTTTTGGGGGCTGACTGACTGATAAATAAGCAAAACTATTTAAACTTATGGCTAAATTTAAACTTATTTTTTATGTTACGTTTATGTTTTTAATGAAATACAGTACCTATGTAAAGAGCTCACCTTAGATTCTGGATCAGACAGTTGATGCATAGGTCCGGCAAAAAAAGCGTCGAACACAGTGTCACTAGGTCGGTTTGTGGCTAAATCTCCCAAAGCTGAGATGGCTGACGTGCGAACAATAATACTTGCATCGCGGCACAGATTTACTAATATCTAAAAATAAAAATACAAATATTTAGTTGAGGTAGCTCATTTTGTAAAGATTTTGTCAAACCATCCCAGGAATCGTTAGGGAATAGTAATTTTTGTTTGGTTTTAAAATAGCCTATGCCATTTTCTCTACCTACCCTCAGAAAACCTGTTTTCAAAATTTTATAATGAATCATAATAGTAGCCTATGTCTTTTTCCAGGCTATAATCTATCTTAGTACCAAATTTTGTCCAATCCCGTTCAGCTGTTATGATTGAGTAAAAACTTCCATCCATCTAAACTTTCACATTTATGTATTCAGTCTTAAAAATTATAATACACACACATACACCCTTCTATTTGCGTCAGGTTACTAAAAAAAAGAAAATTATAAAGAAAGTTTGAATATTATTATTTTGATGAACTTTTATTTTTATTTTAATGATTTTTTTAACCGCGCGAGTGAGCCGCGCGGCACTTCATTTATTGTGTTCTGCATAGTCGTAGTACCTTATTTTATTCTATCATCAATAGTTTTCGTAGCACACACGATGTAAAGAATATTTTGGGTATTTTTTTTACACCTTGAGTTACTTTATTGGAGTTTTAGTAAGGACCCTTAATTTAAAAAAAATTGCCTACGTCACCTATAGTTAAACCGAAGTAAGCTTGGCCCTCCTGATGGTTTGGGGGACGCGGGGCGGGGGTGCATTCAACCAATTAGCTAGTGCGTCTCTGTCCGCCGGCAGTGACTGACGTGAAAGCATGGCTGTTCGTGTTATTTTTCTTAAGACTGCTACACACGGTATTATTTTGCAACATGGATAATCTGCCGACTCTGCGTCACAAAAAGATTTAAAAACTTGAAGTTCGGCTTATAGAGGTTCTACTGTTAAAGTTCTAATAAAGAATATTTACTATTTTACTTAATTTTTAAATTTTATCTGAATATAATTTACATGACAAAGATAAGGTGATTTTATTAAAATTATTTTACAGTATTAAATTTTACAATTAATCATAAAAACTTACAATACACTGACATTATAATACATGGAAATAAATTCGATTTTAATTACATCGTGTGTAGATTAAATCTCAAACAAATAAATCTGAAGATATCGAGTTAGTACATCGTGTCATGTATAGCCGAGCGCATCACCCCGCGTCCCGCAAACCATCAGGAGGGCCAAGCTTACGGCGGTTTAACTATAGGGATAGTGTAGTTTCCCAACAGTGAAAGAATTTTTCAAATCAGTTTAGTAGTTTCGGAGCCTATTCGATGCAAACTACCTCTTTATAATATTAGTATAGAAGTAGAGATTAATATTATTTATGTATTTCGGATAGTTATACTACTATATGTGTATATAGTAGTATAACTGTGTATATAGTTGTATAGTTACTATGGGTATATACAAACAAGGAACAAAGAAAAAGTGTCTTATGAGGGTGGAGTTAACCCGTTGTATGGCATAATTTCAGACATTCAATAATTACTAAAATAAAAAGTTTTTGTAGTAGTAAAAAAATACGTTCTTATAGGATTACTTTGATTCAATTTTCATAATATTTCGTTTCGAAGTTTATCAACTAGATAAACACACAATCGACAAGCAACTTTGAACAATCCAACGGTGAGTATGTTATTGATATTTATTCCCCGAACGTCTCAAATTGCAATGCATTGATAAACAGTTTCGGAGAAATAACGTCTTCTTGTCTGACCCCGCGATGCAATTGAACTGGGCCTCAATTCTGCTATTTTATGTTTACGACAAGCCAGTGTCATACCACTGACACGCTATTGAGATGCCATCGAGTGGCCATTGGCATCGGTATAAATATCGGTAGTTAAAAATATATTACGTTTTTTGAGGAAATGATTTATTTATTTTTATTATAATAAATTATTAAAATAAATAAAAATAAGTTATGAAAAATAAATTATTAACATGAAAAAATAAATAAATCATTTCCTCAAAAAACGTAATATATTTTCAACTACCGATATTTATACCGATGCCAATGGCCACTCGATGGCATCTCAATAGCGTGTCAGTGGTATGACACTGGCTTGGCGTAATAGCAGAATTGAGGCCCTGGTCTTGTGTCAAGAACTGAGTCTTGTGCTTGGACGGTCATCGTTGCGGCTTCGTACTACGAGGTTCCATTTTTTTTTACGTGTGGAAACCCCCTCGGGCCGTCAACCCACCGGGGTTTACGGCGGGGTGGTGTGTCGGAATCGGACCGACTAAAACGACACGGTGTGCCACTCTGCGCCTGTCGCACGCACGTCCGAGGCCGCCCACTCCTCTACAGCCTCGCCCCTTGCGTCCGTCCTGGGGGAACCCCACGCAATGGATTTAGCGTTAAAGTCCCCCAGCACAAGGACGTGCCACGACGCTAGTCGCCGCATCGAGGTCTCCACGCTGTTGAGGAAAACCTCGAAGTCGCTCAAACTCCGGTTGGTCCGGTACTACGACGCTCCTGCTCCAAGCCATATGTGTAGTGTCAGTATATATAACGGAATTAAAGTTTTGAAGGGCTCTACTAACATAGGAGGTCCCTCGGCTTTTAGAAGCCCTGTTATAATTCCGTCTTCACCCGAAGCTTCGTTATTACTAAGTTGTCTAAGCGCCATTCTAATCTCGTTCAGCTTGATATCAGGAAGCTCGTCTGTGAGGTGGCTTGTCAGTATAGCACGCGGGTCATCCGCGCTGTGGGATTCAAGCCGGGGTGTTCGCGCGGTATATAGCCCCTCATAAAACTTTTCGACTGCAGCGATAATCTCTGTTTTAGAGGTGGCACCACGACGCTACTACTACGCTTCCTCCACGATGCTTCTGAGTGATTTATGGACCATAAATCCGACGCCACCTTTAGATGGTCTCCTTGTCGGAAGTAGAGAAGGTGGCCGGAATCTAGGGCGAACGTATCCCACCCTGTCTTCGGACAACCCCATAAATGCCAATTTATACGACTCACCTCCGCTTGAAGTTCTGCGAGGCGATCGTCCATCCACAGAATGCGTCCGTTATACGTCGCCAAATACAGTTGCCGGTAGTACCCAACCGCTTCTTCACACGCCGACCGCACCGTCACCGAGGCCGGTAACGTGGCCAGGAATGATGCTACTACCGGGAACTGGGGGCCCGTGGAATGTGGTTCCACGGGCCCCCAGTTCCCGGTAGTAGCGTTCATGTGGGGGGAATTTGACAAATTTGCCAGTCAGAACGCTCGGCAAGCGGGGTGGTGACCTGATTCTCACAGAGGTGTGGTTATATCGCCAGGAGTTAGTCGCCAGAGCCTAGTCAGTTGTTGGGCAGAGTGCACCGCGTGCAGGTGAGGTCGACGTTATAAGGCTTGAAATGGTAGGCAGCTCCACTTACATCCCGTAGTTTCAATATAATATTATAATTTATGTTTAAAACATCTTTATTTTGCTACCCCGCTATAATTTGATTCCAGTGACGTCACAGGCAGAAACCCGGCACACTGGAAACTAATAAAACTGGGAAAATTGTAAATATAACGGATAAAATAGATGTTCAAACAGCTTTATAATTCGGATGCATGCAGTTTTAGTGTGTGTTAGGGAAGAAAGTGTCACCGCTAGGTCCGTGGCCTGTGGCGAGTAGTCGGGCGCGGCGAGCAGGCGCTCCACGAGCGCGGCGCCGGCCTTCCGCACGGCCGCGCGCTCGTCGCATACGCTGCGAGCGCCCACCGCCATTAGCCGAGATACTTCGCTGTGGCCGTTCAATTCCTGGAATTATTTACTCTTTAGAAATTCGGTGTTTATGAAATAATGCCGTATTGGTATTCAGGTTAAGGAGAATAAAAAGAAAAGATTTATGATTACTATAGTACATTGTGTGATTAAACGACTGCGCAAGGGTGCAATGTAGATACTACTAATACTACTAATGTGGTATCAGGGTTAAGTAATTAATAATACTAGGTAAGACAGGACATCTTTACATGCAATGTTAATAGGCTAAAAACAATTTGTATAAAACACCCAAAACGTAATACAAAAAAAATGATAAATAAATAAATGATAAATGATATTTATTTCTGTAAGTAAATCTTTTCAGATATTTTTACAAGTCGGACTTTATAGCTAGAAGGAGCCGGCATTTCCTAAGACTCGCTCTGGGAAGAAACGCCGAAACAAACCACAGAGGTGTCTTTTTTTTTAAGTCCATAGACAAAGTTAAATAAAACTGTGCGAGTACAGTATAGGGTCTGGATAGGCCTTTTGAGGAAAGGACCATAGTTTTGAGTCAGCCTGTCCATACAGACGGCATACAGGCTCCAGCCATCGTGTAGCCTAACCGATATTGGTCAAAATCAATACCGCCAGCAGGACATTTGGGTAGGCCGTGGAAACACTCAAAACCACCAGAAAGATAATAAAATATGAATTAACATTACAAGCCACACTATACTCACATTTACATACTTACACAAAAAATAAATACTATACAATTCAAAGTCAACGAAAAATAAAATACGAAATACACCAAAAAAATAATAACTAAATGTCCATCACTTTCAAACTTAACAACAAAGATGTCTACGTAAATGTGGGAGTGAGCAACAGCAATCCCAAGCAAATTTGTCGTCTAAATAGTCTGTAATAGTGTAGTAAGCCTCGTCACATAGTTTTAGCTTTACTAAAGACTTAAATTTGTTAATACTTAATTCATGGAATTTGCTTGGCACTTTATTGTAAAATCGTACACCCTGACAACGAAAAGACTTGCTTACTTTTTGTAGTCTAGTGGTTGGTAACACGAGTTTATCTTTATTTCTAGTGTTTATTTTATGCATGTCGCTAAACTTTGTGAATAAATGATTATTTTTCTTTACATACACTAAATTTTCATATATGTATTGAGATGCGACTGTCATGATACCAATTTCTTTAAACTTATCCCTCAGTGACTGCCTATAACTGAGATTATAAATTGCACGAATAGCTCTCTTTTGCAATACAAAGATACTTTGAATGTCAGCAGCATTTCCCCACAACAAAATACCGTATGAAAATAGCTAAAATACACCAGTCTAGCTGTTTCTACATCGGTTAATTGACGAATTTTGTAAACCGCGTATGCTGCAGAGCTGAGTCTATTCGACAATCCGTCAATGTGTGGGCCCCATTGCAATTTAGAGTCTAGTGTTATACCTAAAAACTTGGTGGTGTCCACAAGATCCAACTCCTTTCCATTTATTAGAACATTGGTCTTTACCTGCGTACTATTAGGTGTAAAAAATCTAATACATTTCGTTTCATTCTCGTTTAAAAGTAAATTATTAACATTAAACCAGTTCACAACCTCAGAGAGAGTGCTATTCACGTCATCAGTTACTGATTGCCGTCGTTTAAGTTTAAATAAAAGTGAAGTGTCATCCGCAAATAGTACTATCTCCTGATTATCATTTATCACATTAGGTAGGTCATTTATGTAAACAAGAAATTAAAATGGGCCGAGAATTGAGCCCTGCGGAACCCCCATAGTGACCAGAGACCCCGAGGATCTCTGTCCCATAACTTCCACTCTCTGGATCCTATTACCCAAATAAGAGATAAGAAGATCCAAAGCAGTGTTCCTAATTCCATAGCAATGCAATTTCCTGATTAATGTTTCATAAAAAACGCAGTCGAATGCTTTAGATAAATCACAACAACACCCAGGGCATCCTGTTTATCCTCCCAGGCTCTAAATATATTTTCCAAAAGTTCAACACCGGCATCACTTGTCGAGCGACCTCTTCTGAATTCAAACTGTTTCCTGTGTAGAATTTTGCTTGCACTAAAGTGAGTTTGTAGCTGATCCAGTATAATCTTCTCAAAAATTTTACTGAAAGTAGGCAACACTGAAATTGGTCTATAATTTGTAGGATCAGACGTGCTACCCGCCTTGAATAAGGGAATGATCATACTATGTTTCATCAAATCAGGAAATACACCACATTCAATGCACCTATTGAAAATTAAGGCCAACTCTGATGCAACTACGCTAATAATTGTTTTAGTTATTTGTACAGAATTACCCCAAAGGTCGGCGGTTTTCTTAACACTAAGAGCATTGAACGTTTTTATTATATCTCTATCAGTGATACAACTAAATCTAAACTCAGTATTACAAATGTTAATATTCTCTTTCAATAAAGATTCTGCTATAGTGGGGGACGAATTCAATGATTCTGTTATTGAGACTGGAATGTCTCTGAATTTTTTTTCAAAAGCTGTGGCGACATCTGTATCGGAATTAATTACTTTATTATCAATTGTAAGGCTGTAATTATTACATTTGTTCTTTGCTTTACCAGTTTCTGTATTAATTATTTCCCAGGTCATTCTAATTTTATTTGAACTATTACTAATTTTAGACCTTAAATAGTTAACTTTTGCAGAATAACATTTTTTTTAATAAATTAGAATATTGTTTGACATATTCTCGAAATTCCATACTAGTATTATAATATCTTTCTTCATAAAGCTCATAAAGCCTTGTTCTACTTTTATATATACCTACGGTGGCCCATTCACTGAAGGTTGTAGCACCTTTAACTGACAACTTCTTAGGAGTGAAAGTTGATTTAAATTCTGAACAATACATGTTAAAAAAACCTTATAAAATTGATTAGGATCATCACTATAACCCAAGCGGGGTAGTTTACTAAGGAGTTTATTTTTGAAATTTTCCATACGAGTTACAGTTTTAGGTACTACAGTAATATCTCGTGTTACCACCATTCTGTTTTTCATAGCAAAAGCACACATCTGTCCACAGTGATCAGAATGTAGTTTGTTTATTACTCCTTTGGTGTGTGGCACTATGTCAGTAAATATATTATCTATGCACCTGGCTGTGGTGGCTGTGATCCTAGTAGGCTCCAAAAAAATATTATCAAGATTGTATGACCCAAATAGGTTTTTAAATCTTGAACTCAAGGATGTATCTTCCAATATCATCATCATCATCAACAGCCCTTAATTGTCCACTGCTGGACACAAGCATCTCCTTAGAAAGGAGGTTTTGGCCTACTATACCACGCTGGCCAGACGGGTTGGTATAGGGTTTGTGTTAAGTTTTCCTTCTCTCTGCAGTGTTGTTGTCCTGCGTAGTTTGCTCCCTTAGTCGGCTCTTACGACACCCACGGGATGAATAGAGGTGGTGACCCTCTGTATTCTTAATCCGTCACCACACGGATACGGATCTTCCAATATATTTACATTAAAATCATCGCACACAATTACACTTTTGTTTGACTTACATACTTTCTGCAAGACTTCGTTCATAATTTTTTAGACTAAAAACTAATATATGATGACGATGGAGGCCTGTATACACTCAATACAATAAGTTGTTCTAACTCCACACATGCTATTTCTATTGTCCGCTCAGCAGTGAAGACTAAAATATAAGTACGGTTCCTATAAGTTAAATCCTTTCTAATAAAAATTAATGAACCGCCATGTACAGCACGCTCCCTACTGAACGAACTACCTAATATATGATTACTGAAGTTAAACATGAGCTGATGACTTTTTAGCCAATGTTCTGTGATACATAGAATATCAATTTTGTCACAGCTCATGAACAATTCAATTTCTAGGTGCTTACTAGACATTCCTTGAATATTTTGATGCGTTACAGTGAAAGTGTTGGTTGTACATTTCTTTGATACCATTCTCTATGGTAAATTTAAGCTAGAGGTTACCTCCTTTGTCCCTACATCTAGTTTAAAATATGTGAAAAAAAAGGTGCTCACCTTCTTTCTTGTTTTACGTTTGGGTGTGGTAGTTTTTTCACCGTATAAGGGACAAACGAACAGACGGGTCACCCAATGCTAAGTGACTCAAGATATACAAATGCGTTGTTTCCATTTGATGCCCGCCCTCTCTCCCACAGAAAAGGGGGGAGGGTTTGAGCCTCCGACAATTACACTCACTCGGTGAAAAGCAACTAAAGTACTTAAGACCGTTTTCTGTGTATTTTTTACTATTTAATCAGAGTAATGAGAGTTGCACTATAGTACAGATAAGTACAATGCCGCTTGTCTAAATCCTAGTTACCTTTATCGACTGAACAATAGCCGGCCTCGTGTTCCCGAGACAATCGGTGAGTATGGCGAGCGCACGCGTACGCAATGAGCCGGAAACATCGTTGGCCCGCGCATACAAGGCCCGCAAGATGTCAGCATGTGCAACAGTCTGTGGCCGTTGACGGAGAAGTCCAGCCATAATGTCTTCCATCACCGACTACAAGATACATTTAATTAATTAAATTGAATAAATTCTATGACACAAATATGGACGTATACGTAATTTAATAAAATAAAAAAAGTAATACAAATAATAATTCACTACCTAAATTACGTAGATTTGAAGACCCACCTAAAACTAATTTTCAACAAACGTAAAGTTTTTTTTTCTATTAAGTCCGTACAATTCCTTGGAGCACTTCTCATGTTACAATAAACAGAGAATGCTAAGTGTAGCGACTATGTTACTTCACTCTGCATTATCTATACTATACAAAATGAGCTTAAGGCTACAATACTGTACTGTTATGGTCAATGTTTTTTTTTTGATTATGTTTTTAATTGTCCCTGTACAAAAAATATCGATACAGTTATAATGTTTCATATATACGAGAAGCAAAATAAGACTAAAACACTAAAATTAAAAAAAAGAAACAAAATTAAAACACACATCATGTTCATCAGGGGGCACCTGACTATCCTGACTGCTCTCATCTTCAGTGGCTATGGTCCCTTGTCCTCCAGTTTCGTTCTGATTCACTTCATTAGGCCCCTGTTCACTGTTGGCATTCTCTGTTTCTCCTCCACTCGTGTTGTTTGTAGTGTCGGATTGCGGCGGGTCAATATCCATTCCTAAAATTATACGGGGTAAATTGTCTAACTTCGAAACTAATACCTAAACAAGTTATTTTTTTTTATCTGAAATCTTTCATAACTGCATTTTGCTACTATCAATAAACGGTATAAACGCAAGGGAAACATTATTCACCCTAAAGTGAACATACTAAGGTTGCCGAAAAATCTATGCAATACAAGCACACAAGGAACAGTCACATAAGGCAGAAGCAGTTTTAGGTTCCGACCACCTAAATTGGCGACGTCAAAGTCCACTTCAGTAACACTACCATTTAATTAATCACTAATTTAAATATTTCCATTAATACGCCAAGAAATTCTTCGCACCCCGTTTTAAGCAACATGTGTAGTATAAACTTAAAAATTATGAAATAACGGCTACAGAAAATAGGCTATAGAAGTTGACAAGTCAAAATAATAGGTATTTACCTATGAAGTTGCCGTTTTGTATGCAATAATATAAAGACCTATTATATGTATACATTGACATAGCATGGTACCAAAGTCTTCACAATGACAGTTGAAGTTATACTGCTAAATAAAATAAATAAATACAAAATCAAAATTCGACGATGAGACGATCTCTGGTACTGATAAACACTTATTTAAATAAAATCAAGTCATTAATAATTAATACAACAATCATTTTTTTTAATATGCATGGGATTAAAGTCTAAAACCCTATAGTTATGTGAATGACATTTATCGATATGCTATGGTTAAAACCTGCCTGAAATTTACGACCTTTTTGGCATTACATTACAGTCACCCATATTCCCGAAGGGGTAGGCAGAGGCTCGAGTGTTGTAAGTTAAGAAATAAACAAGTAGAATCTAAACGCCCATATTTGGATGACTACAATTTAAAACACACTAATGTAACAGAGGGCAAGTCTGTTGCTGTTAACTGAGTACTTTAGGAATAAGATGGGGACAATATGATAGGAAAAGTTAATAAGATGGGAAGGCAGTGGCCGAGTTACATATTTGCCGCTAGTAGGCTATTTTTTTTTAACTTGTACTAAAATTTTTTTAATTTTTGTTAAATTTTCAAGACTTTTACTTCGTGTATATAATATGTTTTTTTTATTTAACTAAGACAAAAAACTTTTTTCGGGCCAAATTTGACGACTCCTAAAATTTGGCCTTAGGTTCCAGCCTGCTGGTATATCCGCCACTCTAGGAAGTTAATTATAGAAAAGGGATAGTGCTTGTATATGTGGATTGTAAATAATAGCTCGAGTGGGTCAGGTCGGTCCTATACCTGTAACTCCAACATGATAATTTTTTATTTCTCAATACCAGATCATACTATGATGTCAGGTGCGATTTCTTCACAAAGCTTTTACATTTGATAACAATATACTAGAGAATATAGCGCACCTTTATTCATAAACTGAATTAACTTAGAATTTCAATATTGTGGGAAATCGCATTTAAAGTTTGACATGCTTAGATTGATAACTTTAAAAAATCAAAAAAAGAAAAATAGAAGGGTTAGGCCAAGTACAAAAACAGATTTATGTAGCGTTATTAATGAAGTATTAGAATAAGATAGAAAAATATATTATTTTAATCAAGAATACCTTTTAGAGAAGAGTTTAAAAAAAAGTTCGTACTTATTTCACTTTTCACTAAAATATGTGATCAAATCAATTTGACGTAAATGAAGTAATTTAAAATATTGCAGTTTTTTATTAAAATTATCTTGTAAAATCGTGAAATATTAAGTTTTTTTTCAATATTGAGATAGAGGCATAAATGGTCGAAGAAATATTTCTAATTAATACTTTCTTAGTTTTAATTCGTAAATTGCACATGTATTGTTTTTAATAAAAGAAAGAATTAGTTTCCTATTTATCAAGTTTTATTATTGAAATAAAGTGATTACAAAACTGTCTTGAAATTTTTTCTTATAGGGAATAAAATAGGTACTCATGTGAATTACTTCAAAGTATTTTCGGTACAACAATATTAAATAGGTACTTAATTAAATAGCTACTACTAATCAGTAATCCAAGGAGAATAAAAGCTAAATTGTTTTTTTAAATCTTCTGAAAACTTATTATTCTTAAATCTGAAGTCTTTTTAAAATCTTCCAAAATTTTTTAAATTAATTAACAAAAATAGTATTATAATTAAAAAATAACTTCACAACAATTCCTAAAAATAGAAAAGTAATTAACAAAAATTAAATATTAACTTGAAATCTTACAGACTTCTTGTCATTAAACATAACTGTTTTGGTGTTATTATCACACTATAAAATGAGATCTGGTTTAAAAACTTAAAGTTAGAAATAATTTACCTAAAGTATGTTATTATAAAAAGCCGTGTAAAAAGAAGGAATTAATGCCTTCGAAATCAGTTCCCGTGTCTTTTTTTAACCGACTTTTAACCGACTTCAAAAAAAGGAGGAGGTTCTCAATTCGACTGTATTTTTTTTTTTTTTTTTTTATGTTTGTTAGCTCAGAACTTTTGACTAGGTGAACCGATTTTGATGATTCTTTTTTTATTTAAAAGCTGGTGCTTCCCGTGTGGTCCCATTTTAATTCGGTTTAGTTCTGATAATGGCATCCATGAGAAAACCATATAAGTCTTAAATTTGCATTTAGTATGTTCGCGACAAATAGACGAATAACTCAATTTCACGCAAACCGATTTCGATAATTCTTTTTTTATTGGAATGGATATACTTTAAGGGTACTTTGATGAGAGTTTGGTTAGATTCTGATGATGGGATCCACGACAAAGTAACGGAACTCTTCAATTCTTAGGAGCAAATTAACGATACTCGGCTGAATCTTTTATGGGCTATCTGGATATTTGAGTCACCCACAGTAACGTCGTTATGGTCAAGTAATTGTCGTCATCAACAGCATTTAATGAGCTACTGCTGGACATAGGCCTCTGATTAGAAAAGAGGTTTTGGCCTACTATACCACGCTGGCCAGACGCGTTGGTATAGGGTTTATTTCAAGTTTTCCTTCTCTTTGCAGTGCTGTTGTCCTGCGTAGTTTGCTCCCTCACTAGACTCTTACGACACCCATGTGATTAAAAGGGGTGGTGACATTCTGTATTCTTAATCCGTGATCACAGGGTAGATTGCCTCTGTTGAGATAGGCGTTTCTTCCTGACTCCCTTTGTTTCATTCAAACGGCGCTGTCTCATTTGAGCAGCACGTTTATTAGGTCTACCCATATTCAGACAAATTAGTAAGTGTACTTCAGATTCACTAGAAAGCAAAAAATAAACAAAAAATTTTAACAAAAAAAAAACCGATGTCAAAAAACACTATTCCAAAACAAATTAATATGCACTAAAAAGGAAAAAAATAAATGCATATTATTCTACAACTTAATAATCAACTTACTTTTTCTACTCATCTATATGTAGGTACGATTTATGTGTTAACCGCGCAAGAAGATAGGTAGGTACCTACCCATTTCAAATCTAATTTAACATATACCTGTGAATAACAAACAATGATCAAAATATTTATTTGCGTTCTCCTAAGTAAAATAAAATAAATATAATGTAGTTACAATTATTGTTATTTTTGGAGTCGGTATCAGCCAAGGAAACACTACGATATACCTAGCAATAATAATACGATAATACGGTGTATAAATCTTTAATAGTTTTGTTACCTTCTATGTATTCTTTCGTTGCAGAAGCTCGCTAGTAATGTGATTCAACCTTAGGGATAGAATTAATGTGCTTTACGATAGCACTGCGTATTTCGGAATCATTTTTTTTTGTTGTTTGTATGTTTTCCTCTTAAATCGTTAAATAAAAAATCATTTTGATTTATTCTGTTTTGCACCGTAAATATCATACGATCTGTGATATCCAAAGTTGCCTTATAAAAAGTTTTACAAACTCGGATCATTGCGCCGTCTACTTTAAAATAAAAGGCTTTGTTGTTATGCCTTGGTCTTTCAGCATTCGTATATTTGTATCTAGGTTGAACATCAACCATACTCGCATTTATATACGCTCTTTGCTTTATTAAATCACACAAATCCCAAAAATTCCGAAATAATTTGTATCTCTGTTCTAAATTTATAGTTGTGGTACATTTAAGCCTACATTTATCCGTGCAAGGTTCCTTTAGATACCGAGCTGATACACGTTTTTTAGTTTTAGACTGCGATACGTACGATTTTCCCTTATTTAATAAAATACGTTTAAGTTTGTTCTGTTTCCATTGAGTTGGAATTTTGGTGCGTTTGTGGCCTGTTTTCAGGGTAGATCTTGTAGCCAGTTTTGAATTTGAAGAACAGGTAGAAGAGGAGTTCGATTGGCAAAAAAAATAGTTCCTTTTTTTTGTAAGTTCGATATTCACGTATGTGGGATCAGTATCAAGTCAATGTCACTTTCATCCGTATATAGAGGAGACGTGTAATAATTTTGAGCCCCATGTAAATTAGTCCGATTACTTATTAATTGCTGTAAAAATCTTTCGAGCTCGCGAAGACGACATTCTAAAACCAAAATAATTCTTGAAAGCCGATATTTCATTCATAATTTTACTAAAACAGTGAAATAACTACAAACAATACGTAACTTGTATCTAATATATTTAATATTAAACAGAAATATATATTAAAGTAACTAATTTTCTGTTAATTTATACTACAATACTGAAACAAAACTTAATTATTAAAGTTTTGTTTTAATATTTTAATACTGAACTGCATTAATTCAAAATGACGCGATAATTGATACGATATAATTATACAAAACTGAATGAAGTCACAATGTTTTCTATAAAAATACATTTACTTTTCTAATAAAATGAAATAAATTTAAATTGATGCAGTTTTTAAATAAAATAAAACATATTAAATAATTACCTGATACTAAAATAACAAATTATTTTGGTTTATTCCCCTTTTTTTATGAAACGTTGAGGTTTTGAATGGCACAGCGCCGGCTCATTACTGAACTCGCTCACTTTACCGGTACCGACATGTACGTGCGAGTTCGTCAAAAAGTGAACGACGATCTCTTATTTCTGTCATTTTCATGGTATCGAGTCGGCTGTTGGATTGTTCGTGTTCTACTGATGAAGTTGATTTGGTATTTGTTGAAAACTCGAAAAACGTAAATTTTGAATTAATTCAGTTTATTATTAAAGGTGCGATAGTTTCATGCATAAAAGTGAACATGATATGCACCATCGAAATCGTAATAATACACTAGAAATAAATTAGCGCCCGATCACTTCGAGAACCGATGTCGCCACATCTTAACACATACACAAGGTACAAACGAATAGATATAAGACTCGCACACACTTGCAAAACAACGGTGAAATGTCATGCACAAACTATTATGAACCTTAATCACCTAGAATACCATTGCATTTTACTCCAACGTATAATGTGGCACCGCCACAACCTCTTTCGATGTTTGACAATCCCTATAAACAATGCTAGGGATTGACTAAATTTTTTGGTGTCGATATTTTTTTTATATACATTAAAATAAAATGGATTACTAGTATCAATGACAACCATAGATATCTACATTTTTTAAATATTTAGTGATGTTATTTAAAATCAATCAGCATAATAATGGTATCTATTATTTAAAATCAAGGTAAAATAAAGTATTTTGGCTGTTAATAGATATATTAACAGCCAAAATACTTTATTACTTCAGGTTATAAAATAATTAAAAACATGAATGAAAGTTTATTAAAAAAAAACAAGAAGTACTCTAGTATAAACAAGTATCTCTAGCTATTGATAGAGATACTTGTTTATATAATTAACTATGTACGCTGATAATAGCAAAGGTATACCTTGTCCTTATCAGCAACTCTACGAAATGAGTTTATTGACCCGTAAAATGAATAAAATATATTTAAAAACTGCCTTTTTCTTTACTGTGCGTATCGCACTTAGTAAAACTTCCGTCACAACAATAACACCTTGTTGATCGTATTATACGTATGTAGTTGCGTTTCAGAAAGTTTTTTGTTAGCAATCTAGGTATTAAAGTTAAAATCGGCAAGATGTGGATTGTAACCAGCATTATCAGTTACTTTTGCATTACTGTTTAAACAAATATCATTGGCGTTATGTTTCATACCTATTTAACTAATTAGAGCATTTCAGAGATTTTCTTAAAATTTTTGAAGGACAGGACAATTTTTTGCTGTTGCACTAAAAGGCCTTTATGGCAGCATAAGTATGTAAAGCAATACCCATTCTAGCATATGCTATATTTTAAAGCTAATGTTTTGCCGCTTTGTAACATTCTTATATTGTTTTTAAGTTTCAACTACTGATACTATTGAAACTTACATTTTCAGAGCATAACTTCCATATTTTCAAAGTGGGTATGCTTGATTGCCTTAAACTGCGTCTGTCTAATAGCAAGGTTGTCTAATAGCAGTGACATTATAATCATCTTCCTTAAAATGAACTGAACATATTCGACTATTTTCTGTATCAATCAGTCTCAGTCTCAGAATCATTCCTGTCTACCAGTAATATTCATCCATTTTTCTTTCACATCAGGATCTTTCGGGCATCTAGAAATTAATTATAATTAAGTGATAATAAATAATAATCACATCAGCAGCCTTTAATAGTCCACTGCTGGACATTAGCCTCTCCTTAGAATGGAGGTTTTGGCCTACTATACCACGCTGGCCAGACAGGTTGGTATAGGGTTTGTGTCAAGTTTTCCTTCCCTCTGCAGCGCTGTTGTTCTGAGTAGTTTTCTCCCTTAGTCGGCTCTTACGACACACACCGACGGGATGAATAGGGGTGGTGACACTATGTATTCTTAATCCGTCACATCACGGACCACAAATAATAATATACCTAATTATTTATGCTTCCTAAAAAGATAACATTTTATTTACATTTTTCAGTATGGTAAACATTTATAGATTTTAATACGCTAAATTATGTTTTAATTTAATATACAATAGTTAAAATTCTAATGAGATTATTTTATAATTAATATTAAGAATATTTTACGTGCACACATCTTTAGTTTATTTAATTCGAAAATCTGAAAAATATCTCTTTATACGGTTACGGTTACATCACTACTGGCGACGGATGCCAGTAACCGTATCATAAGCATACGCAATGAACAACGATATCTAATATTTCACATTACATTGTTTCGCGAGTTTGTCAACATCGCATGCAATAAGAACAAAACCAGCAATGGTAATTGTATTTAGCAGAGATTAATAATGAAAGTTTACAAAGGCAAATATCTTAGTAATGTATTCTTCGAGATGTAAATTATTAAAAACAATGATTTATTAGTAAAAAATCAACTTACCGATGAAACTTTACTAGTTGAATTACACGTTCCTGATGCGTTTTTATTCACATACGATGCCCCGCGCAACTAAATCACGAATGGTCTGAATGGTTCTGTAAGTGGTGTTGGTCTACACGTCATTGCGGCGACAAGGTCAAGCGACTATGCGACTTCTAGTGTCTTATTATTACGATTTCTATGGTGTGTACCCCTTTATATTTCACAATGTTACCAGATCTTGGTCGTCCTACTCACTTTAAATCCTAGTCAATCTAAAGTGTAAAATAAATTACCTGAATCACTGGCATTTGGCGCTTCATTTGGTGGAGGTACAGGTATAGGTTCCTCTGGATCATTACTGAGCAGGTTCGCTAACATCTCCTGTATTAAATAATAATGTAATTGTAATAACAGAGTGATTAGCTATTGCAATCGAGTTCTCTATCGTAATTGTTTCTTACTTAGTGTATCTAATTTAAAAAATGACGAACTTCCATGCATTAATCCCTTAACTTACCCCCTTAGGGATGAAATTCTTGAAAACCTTACTTAGTTGATGCTTACAACATTTAAAGCACCAGCTGCCAAAATTTGAAGTTTGTAGCCCCAGGGGTTTAGGTTTTGCGTTGATTAATCAGTCAGTCAGACAGAGTAATTTTATATGTATAGATAATAATAATAATTTCACACATCTCACACACTGCAGTCTGGTCCTAAACTAGGCAGAGCCTGTACTTAGGTAACCAATCTGCTTATAAACATACTTATATATTTTTAAATACATACATATTATAGAACATTTACACTCAGACACGGAACAAATGTTCGTGCTCATCACAGAATATTTTTCCTGGGTGGGAATGGCGCCCACGACCACTAGACCAACAGATAAGCATAGAGTATATGATGTATGAGAAACAAGGGCCTCGTTTTAAATTATTGCAATGATTAGCTACATGAGTAGTTTTATTTTAATTTAAAGTTATAGCTTACCACGGCAATTTGTCGATGTGCAACTCTGGATGTTGTTGACAATTTTAACAGCCATCTTACAGTTTTGCGATAGGACTGGCGGGGCAACAGACTCATTAGTCCTGACACCAAAGACACACGGGCATTTCGTACTTCTTGTCTTTCCTGCATATCAGTTATATGTGTTTTATAAGATAGACTGCATATGAGTGATTGTAAACTATAGTTAAACCGCCGTAAGCTTGGCCCTCCTGATGATTTGGGGGACGCGGGGCGCCGGCAGTGACTGACGTGAAAGCATGGCTGTACGTGTTATTTTTCTTAAGACTGCTACACACGGTATTATTTTGCAACATGGATAATCTGCCGACTCTGCGTCACAAAAAGATTTAAAAACTTGAAGTTCGGCTTACAGAGGTTCTACTGTTAAAGTTCTAATAAAGAATATTTATTATTTTACTTAATTTTTAAATTGTATCTGAATATAATTTACGTGATGAAGATAAGGTGATTTTATTTAAATTATTTTACAGTATTAAATTTTACTATTAATCATAAAAACTTACAATACACTGACATTATAATACATGGAAATAAATTCGATTTTTATTACATCGTGTGTAGATTAAATCTCAAACAAATAAATCTGAAGATATCGAGTTGGTACATCGTGTCATGTATATCAGGAGGGCCAAGCTTACCGCGGTTTAACTATAGTGTATAGAATATGTTGTATAGCGTGCGCCAAATTCCTCTGCACCAACGAAGTTGGCTGCAAACCGAATTTTGCGCAGGTACACTCGCAAACAAACGTACTGAGCATACAAATACATTTAATATACTGTTTGCATGCATTATGAAATCAGAATTGTATAATGTATATGTATATATATTTCCAAATGGTTAACGTGAATGTATTAAATACTAAAGTAGCAAATAAGTAAAATACGTATGACGCTTGGTAACAACTCCAGACTAGTTACACGAGCACATCCATACTTATATTATAAATGTGAAAGTGAGTTTGTTTGTTTCTTTGTAACACTTTCACACCTAAACAACTAAACCGATTAAAAAAAACTAAAACACACTGTGTTCTGTCAAACATGTTCCATTGCAGGTGACCCTATTTGCTTCCAACATACCTTGACCACCTCTTGGTCAGCAGTCAGCAAGTCAGCCACATATGTAATGGAGTACAGAGGAACCTTACCCCACGAACAAATATATCTATTGTACAGGGAATCAGCACCAGTTTGGACTGTATGCAGTTTTTCACCTCTGGTTTTGTGCTTCCCGAGTACGTAGTCTACCCCGGGATCGAATTTGGTTGAAAGGCCTTGGTAGGAGTAAGGTGGGGCCGGTAGCCGGAGTTGCCGTGTAAATTACTGTGCCCTTTAATCCATAGGAAGAGTAGCCCAGTTGTTGTGCCAAGCTGCTCCAATGCTTGTTAGCATTGGAAGACTATACCAGAGGTCATTGTGTAGCCCTCCAGTGCCTTTAGGTCTGCCATGCTGTTTGACAGTATTCTGATGTTATAGTCCTTAATACTCCTTGACATGGCCGTTGTGACCAAGTAAGTTATTGCCACCCATTCACATTAGAATATGGAACTATGTTGGCGTAACGCTAGTGATATGTTCATGTTTAGGTCCTGTAAGAAAACTGCGGCATCAGTTCCTGACCCGACAACTGGCCTGGCCTTAGAACTGTCCGTGTAAATTCCGACTTCGTTTATACCGGATTGATCATGGTTATTTTTTGTATATGAATGTTGTATCTCTTTGTGAAGATAACGGATTTAGGATCCTATCGCTTTGGGCTGCTATTAGTAGTTTTTATTCAACGATCATCAAGGGATCATACTGCAAAATTTTGGGATCTAATTTAAATCCCAAAATTTTCCCTCACTCTTGTGCCACAGACTCAGGTGTCTGAGTTTAGACTCAGACACCTGAGTTTGCCATGGCTGCCTCTTCCAGTATGAACAATTCCAGTGGGGGCTGTACCCACCTAAATACTATGTATATATGTATGTACTAACCAAACCCTCTTGTGAGTAACAAATATGCTGCAAAAGCAACATATAACCTTGTAGAGCAGCTTTGCCATATTTACTTAATATCAATCCAGAATATGTCACATATGATGCTCTGACAATGTTCTGAAACAAGTTTTATAAAATATAAGATGGAGAATACTTTCAATTTTTTTATGGCTTCAAGGCCAGAAAGCCTTTAAAGAATTTCAACTACTAATTGCCATACAGAGAATGTGTATGTAATGTTTTTATGGAGCAGTGAGGAGGTACCTCAAAATTTTGTTTGTTGTTACTACATCAAATAATATAGTTAGGTATTTTAATACTTTATGCACAAGTGCAAGTTGTACAATGACAGGCTTAATGCCACAGGCATTTTCTCCCAGTCTACCTTAGGGTGGTGCTGAAATGTGTGACTAGGTGCACTAGAGATTGATATGTAAAGTAAGAGAAAAATTTATAGTATAGTATTTACTTACATTGGCATTTCTTGTGTCAAGTGATGAAGCCAATAACTTAGGTAGAAGGCATTTAAAAAGCAACTTAATAGCAGAGGGATTAGGCTCTCTGTCCGCATTGCATATCAGACTATTAATTATTTCATATATTACTCCAGTCAGTCTGGTAAGTTCAATCCTATCTGAAACAGTTACAAAAATATCACATTTATACCATGTAACTCTCAAATTTAAATTATAATAAAAAAATTACATGTTTTATGGATTAAGCTCATAATAATAGGGTAGATCACTGTCATGTCAAATTGGTATCTAACATTTAAGATTATAATGATGAGATTATGTAATACTATGGCATGATAGCTAAAATCAAATCATTTATATTTAATGTTCATTTAAGATATCAAACAGGCATAAGGCTCAGGGTCACCTGAAGGTAAGTGACTAGCACCACCCATGGACAACTGCAACTTAATGAATCACTCACATACTTGGTGAAAAGTAACAATTGCTTAATACCAGTTTTATGTGAGGCTCTGGTATCATTCTGGATGAACAGTCCCATTTGTGTGCAACCTTGCCCCTCCAAGAATGTAATTAAGTTTTCAACTGATTTATTTAATGTTTATGCAAATTATGGGAAAGGTTTGCAGATTATTGTAATAGTCTTGGACATCTCTCTTTGACGTGTGTGTTACCATAATACAGGCTCTACCTAGTTTGGGATCAGACTGCCGTGTGTAAGATGTGTGAAGTTAATATTATTATCTCAAGAGAAGCAGACACATTTTCTTTAAAAAAATACTCACCAACATGTAATCTAGTAACAATAGTGCCACCAGTTATGTCAATCAAATTACTTAGGATATCTTCAAAATTCATATCATTTGGGTTGAGTTGCAAATGCTCTATGATAGCTTTTAAATCTATGACAAAATGACTCAATTCTGTTATGACTGAGTTTACTTCACGAGTCAATTGATTTGTGTTCAAATGATTACTTTCATTGTCACTCATGGCTTTTGGAAAACTGAGGCATACTAGAGTGTTTACAAACAATTGTGAGTGATAAATGTGATATGCTGTATATCCAGGAATTGACAAAAGCTTATAGTAAACTCGTGATGCTAATAATGCATTATTTCTATATTCTTTAGTAAGGACATTTTTGCATCCATAATCTATATGATAGGCCAACAAAGCCAACACCTTCTCATGTTCAATATGGTGAGTCAAAAACGCCCACGACTTATCCTCTTCGGATTCTGTATCCGGCCTAAGCCACTCATCGCAAGCTCTCATTACATTCTTAAATGTTGACTGTAAATCTAAGGACTCCACTAGATTTTCGTAATCAGGCGGAAGATCACCAAACTCAAGAAATTCTGAATCATAGATAGTCCGAACCCATCCATGGTCGAGGCCTCCCAAACCTAACTTTTTAAGCTCAGTCAGAATCCGCGACATTGTAAGACTTTATAATCATAGATTTCAGTACTAAACAGTGCAAACTCTAGTAATTGTAGGATATTTTACTTGTTTATAATGTAAAATACAAGTATTATTTACCTATGTCTAAAATGTCAAACAATATTTATTTTTTTAATTATTTTTATTCATGACCATAGATACAGGTCTTTCAGTCGAAAACATAGATGGGTTTAAACTTACTTAGGAGTCAAACAATTATAACAATAAGTGTTGCCTTTGCAAAATTAGACATTAGTTATTTCACTCCCTTCTTACTGATGTTCGGCAGTTATTCAATATACTCTACTCTGTGGGCGGGGCAAAATAATCGAACGGTCTTAGGTATTTTTCATTGTAAAAAAAAACAGTTTTAACACCAGACGTTATTAGTTGAAACTACTTTTATTTACCCATTAAAGAAAATAAAAAACTTATTGACTTTTGTACGCATGTTCCTTAAGTAGAATAGAAATTTATGATAACATACATATTTAATTAAAAAAAGTCTCGAGCTGTCAACCCATTGGAGTTTTTAATGGAACCGACCAAAACCACACGTTGAAGGATATTGTGCCTATAATACGAAGGATCCGGAAACAGCTTTTATTAAGACAAACGTATCCCTCCTAGCGCCTGCCTGCAAAAGTGTCGGCATGATGCTCAAACGGTCTAAACACGAGTCATACCTATAGATATAAGGTCGCCACCATTTTTTTTTCTATTTAAAACGGTTGGTGTTGATGACTATGTTTTTCTTAATTATAACCACATTTTCTTGATTTTACCGAGGCAGGGATACGACATACCTACGCGCCTCAAGTTCGGTAAACTCGAACTCGATACATAACCAGTCGCGAATGCGGTGACAGACGCTGTACATAATAGTTTTGTAGGCAGTAAGCGTGCGATTTGTAAATATTTGATTCAAATAAGTACAAGTACTTATAAAACTTACTTTTGTACTTAGCGACTTACATGTCGCGACTCCCACATACAAAGAAACAGAAACATACTACAGTGCCATCTAATGAAGACACACCGAACTACGGAGTAACTACTAAAAATAAGAATTGCTAATCCTGTATCGCGATATAAAGAATTCCCTCGCCGATTAGCATATATACAACTTCCCAACATCAACCGTTGGGCCGCGGCCCGCCAGGCATGATCACCTCGCCTGGTCGAGGATAAACTCGTGTTACCAACCACTAGACTACAAAAAGTAAGCAAGTCTTTTCGTTGTCAGGGTGTGCGATTTTACAATAAAGTGCCAAGCAAATTCCATGAATTAAGTATTAATAAATTTAAGTCTTTAGTAAAGCTAAAACTATGTGAAAAGGCTTACTACACTATTACAGATTATTTAGACGACAAATTTGCTTGGGATTGATGCTGCTCACTCCCACATTTACGTAGACATCTTTGTTGTTAAGTTTGAAAGTGATGGACATTTAATTATTATTTTTTTGGTGTATTTCGTATTTTGTTTTCGTATTTTATTTTTCGTTGACTTTGAACTGTATAGTATTTTTTTATTTTTTGTGTAAGTATGTAAATGTGAGTACAGTATAGGCTTGTAATGTTAATTCATATTTTATTTCTTTCTGGTGGTTTTGAGTGTTTCCACGGCCTACCCAAATGTCCTGCTGGCGGTAGTGTCGTGCTTCGGGTCGTTGATCTTGACCAATATCGGTTGGGCTACACGATGGCTGGAGCCTGTATGCCGTCTGTATGGACAGGTTGACTCAAAACTATGATCCTTTCCTCAGAAGGCCTATCCAGACCCTATACTGTACTCGCACAGTTTTATTTAACTTTGTTTACGGACTTAAAAAAAAAAGACACCTCTGTGGTTTGTTTCGGCGTTTCTTCCCAGAGTGAGTCTTAGGAAATGCCGGCTCCTTCTAGCTATAAAGTTCGACTTGTAAAAATATCTGAAAAGATTTACTTACAGAAATAAATATCATTTCATCATTTCATTTCGATCCTCCCTTTGTGTTGGAGGGACATGACACCCGTTCCTCCACATACATATATTATTTACCATATAATTGACCAGACAACCCCCGTGTACAGCCGTCTCGTCGCGACGATGGGTCCACCCAGATTAGGCAAATGTCGCCTAAGGGCAGACGCACCGCCAGGCCCAGGTACTTCATGCGGGCCTGAACCGGTATGAGGACCGAGTTGACAACGATTGAGGCGCCAGGGGGAGGACCACGACGGGGCCCATGAAATAAGAGGGCCTTAGACTTATCCAGGACCACCCGTAAGCCTAGCGCCTCAATGCGTTCGACCACCAGAGAGACTCCCCTGGTGGCCTGGCGTGCCGCCTCTTGGAAGTTTCCCCCTCAGGCTGTTACCAATGTATCATCGGCATAACAAATTATACCCAGACTGGGGGGAAAATCAGCTCGAAGGGCCCAGTCGTACCCTATGTTCCATAGGAGGGGTCCAGGAACAGACCCCTGCGGAACACCGCACGACATGGGCCGACACTTCAGATTACCATCTCGGTCCGCTCGAAAACCGAATTGGGCGTCCGACAGATCGGGGTCCACCTCGCAGAGAGGGTTCTCTCTGTCGGACGATGCGGGCAGATAGAACCCTCTCAAACAATTTACCCGCCTCGTCCAGCAACACGATGTGCCTGTAGGCCGCGACCGAATCTGCAGGCCGTCTGGACTTCCTCAATGCTTCCCGCTCTGCCAGCACTCAGGGAAACGTCCTGACGCCAAGCTGGCGTCGAACACCTTTCCGAGGCGGTAATTTAGACACCCTAGCATCGAGATATAAGTACTACGTAGTACTTATATCTCGATGCACCCTAGCAGATTTATCATATCCGTAAAGTTTTATATATTTTTTGTGTGTGTATGTGTATTTCAGTATGAATGTATGTCTGTCCCACTGTTTCTTTCCCCCTGCTCGATTCTCCAAATATATTAACACGGTCAACGCTTTACAACAAATAATGATAATTCAGTGATAATAATTCAATTAAATCCATAAAAGTATGCAATTTTTCATCAATGTTTTTTTATGACGTTAACACGTAAAATTAACGTCAGTAAACGGACTTTACAGACAACGAAATTCTTTTTTTTGTCCTATTTACAATATTTTTTGGTGCCTGGGAGGATAAACGGTATGCGCTGGGTTCTAAGGCATTCGATTGCGTTTTTCATGAAACATTGATCAGGAAATTGCATCACTATGAGGAGCATGAATGATGGTGGTATGATGAAATAAGGAATACTACTTTGGATCTTCTTATCTCTTATTTGGGTGATAGGATCCAGAGAGTGGAAGTTAACGAACAGAGGTCCCTCAGGTCTCTTATCACTAAGGGGTTCTGCATTGCTCAATTCTCGGCCCATTTTTGTTTCTTGTTTATACAAATGACCTACCTAATCTGATGAAAGAAAATCAGGAGTTAGTGTTATTTGCGGATGACACTTCACTTTTATTTAACCTGAAACGACACCAATTAGTTACTAACGACGTGAATAACACTCTCTCCAAGGTCGTAAACTGGTTCAGCGTTAATAACTTAAACTTAAACGAGAAAAAACTAAATGTATTACTGCCTAATGGTGGGAAAAAAAAACCAGTAATCTGATAATTGGAAAGGAGTTGGATCTTGTGGACACCACTAAGTTTTTGGGTTCTCTAGACTCCAAATTGCAGTGGAGCACACACACTGATGGACTGTCGAATAGACTCAGCTCTGGAGCATACGCGGTTTATAAAATTCGTCAAATAACTGATGTAGAAACAGCTAGACTTAATGTATTTTAGCTATTTTCATTGTGGAATGTCATACGGTATTTTGTTGTGGGGAAATGCTGCCGACATTCAGAGTATCTTTGTGTTGCAAGAAAGAGCTATACGCGCAATTTATAATCTCAGTTATAGGCAGTCACTGAGGGATAATTTTAAAGAAATTGGTATTATGACAGTTCTCAATATATTTATGAAAATTTTGTGAATTTTAAGAAAGCGAAATTTTTTTCTTCCCAAAGCGAGTCTCCTTCTAGCTGTAAAATTCGACTTGTACAAATATCTGACAAGATTTACTTGCAGAAATAAATATCATTTCATTATTTATCATTTCACTAACTAAACTAGAAAGAAACTCATGTAGGTAGATTATTAAATTTTATAATGGAATGGAACCACTTTTATATACACAAGGCAATAATATAAGAACTTGGTTAAAACAGTTAGAAAGGGTTTCATTGTAGTTAAAAATACAATGATATAAGATTTAAAAAATACGTAATTAATGCAAGGAAAGATTGTTGAGTGACATGTAAACAGTCACACGTAACTATAGTAACGACAGCTATAGATAAGTTGCCGGAAGATATGTAGTCTCTTCACATTGATGAAATTAAAATACTGTAGGCGAACAGCCCTATCACGTGTTTACGTACCGCGTGGCTGTAAGTAATTATTACAAGGACAGGGCCGAGTCACAAAACTGATAGATAACATTACCGTGGTATAAAGCTCTGAAAGGCACGCCCCTGCCACCCAGGTCTTTCAGAATTAAGTCCGAGAAGAGATCTTAGTCCGGAGACCTTTTTTCCTTCTCCTTCCACGAGATGACGTCCTTGTTTTACCAACACACATTAATGTTTAGTCACATCAGTACCACAGAGTACTATGTTCAAGTCTGTCACCGTCAATGACATCAGTATGTCAATGACCAAACACTAGCTTAGTGGAAGTTTGGTTGTTCGGGTCCGACATGCCACCGACAGGTGGTATCCGAGGGGATTTCCGCACGGAAAAAAAAAGTGGAAGTTTGGTTATGATCATGAACACTATCTGGCGTCTACGCTACCAAAATTCTTTATTGAGTTATAATAATAAAACATATTTTTTATAATAAAAGGACGAAAATTTAATTTTTAGTATTCCATTGATTGATTTGCTTAAACTGCACATGGTAAATTGTATTTTCATTACCACCATAGTCTTCAAACTCTTCTTGGCAAAGAGGTTTTGGGCCAGTAGACCGTCGTAATGAGAATACGGAGTATCACCACCCCTATTCATCCCGTGAGAGTCGTAAGAGCCGACTAAGGAAGCTAACTACGCAGGACAACAGCACTGCAAAGAGAAGGAAAACTTGAAACAACTCTATATCAACCCGTGGTATAGTAGTTCAAAACCTCCTTCCTAAGGAGAGGCCTATATCCAGTAGTGGACTATTAAAGGCTGTCGATGTGTGATGGGATGATAACACGGATGGATGGTGTAAATGTGTGTGAAAATACTAACAGTTTAGGTGTAACGAGTTCGCAAAAGGCAACACTGGGGCGTAACAGTAGATATCAAAACCATGGAGCCATTTTATTAAAAAATTACACGAAGATGTAGGTATAGGTAGTAAACATAACCTAATATTTTGAAGATTGATTCAAAAGGAAAATGACGATCCGTAGACCAGTTTCTTGGTTTTTAACCGACAGGGGTCGTCGATTTTCTTTTGCTGTAATCACAGGTACTGGTGTGGGATGGACAGTAGCAAGATATGCCCCAAATACATTTTTTTTGGAACATTATAAAAAATTTGTACACTATTATAAGTAAGTATAAATAAATTAGATATAATTTTATAAATAATATATTTGGAAGTTATAGACAGCATAAAATAGAATGAAATCTTAATATACTTCTGTAAGTACCTTCTTATCTGTTAAACTTATTTATATGCTAACTGAATAAATTGATAGACATGTTGGAAAATACAAAATTATTAGTAAGGTAGCTGGTACGCGCGACTTCGTTCGCGGGGAATTTGATAAGCGCTGCCTTAGTGGTGTAGTATGGTATGCGACTGCAGTCCATGAGGCCTCGGGTTCGACTTCCGGACCGGGCAAAATTTTTTAAGGATTTTTGAGAGCAAAAATAGCCTTAGTTACTCCTACAGACAGCTTTACTACTATACTACAGCAAAACATTATCAAACTCGGTCCAGCCATTTTGAAGATTACCCGGAACAAACACAGACAAAAAATATTTAAAGTGGGTTTTAGGTATAGGTATTGTGCAAAGAACCCTGTGAGCATGAAAAAAAACCCATTATTTTGATAAACAGACACTTCTTTTTAATTTATTTGTGTAGATAATAATAATTAAAACGGAGGTAGACAATAGGTACCTCTTGGATGTACGGCATGCGGTTTTAGTCGGTTCGTGTCCGACATGCCACCGATAGGTGGTATCCGAGGGGATTTCCGCACGGGGAAAAAAAAAACAGAGAAAAGAAAGGTACCTCTTGGATGAATAGGCTGCTTTTGTGTACCTGGTATATTTATATTTCTAAATTATTGTTTATTTCTCTTCTAGCAATGGGAAGCCAGTTCCTCTTGATAAAGAACTGAACAATAGAGTTTCTCGATGCATTGAAATTCTTAACATAGCTAACGTACAAAGAAAATTGATTGCACCTTTCAGTGTATTTGGATATGACATGTTTCATGCTGGTCAGTAAATTAATGAATTTTAAATATAAACTTTACACACTGACTTCTCAGATGATTATCAAAAGAGTTGAAAAAAAATGTTGGTGTAGTTATGCAGACTGGTAGCTTAAAATTTTTGTTCTATTAGAACTTTGAGTACCCTCTATATTTTCTTTTATCTTTCATCTACATCGATTCAACATAGTGCATTGATGCATTATGGCTATTTCACCAGCCTCACGTTTTATTTTTGTGATAAAAAGTAGTCCTCTAAGCTTGTATTTAAGTCTAAACCAGAATTAATTAATTATGGCACAACGAATTGTTAAAATTTCAGGTAGTCTCAATTCGAAGTTTGGGGCAGCCATTGGCATTCCAGTGAATTTTACATACAAAAGCTTAGAAGATCTAGAGAAAGATGATATTCAGGTGTGTAATTTTGAACCAATGATAAATTGAGATTAAGCCAAACATGGGGCTGTCTTGTACCAAAATACTATAGGTATATATACATTATTAAGCCTAAGGCACAAAAATGAGTTTGACTGCAAAATGCATTAGGTATTTGACCTTCTCTAGTTCTTGATGTTTCAACATGTTGTCAGTACATTCACAATTGGTGTAATGGAACCATGAGTATAGAAATGTGTTGTATGTAATAAATACTACTGTTAGGTGCTACTTTTAGGATTCTTCTAAGGTATTCATTCTTCACCTTGTCCATCCTAGTCACACCACACATCCATCTTAACATTCATATTTCAGCTATGTGCAGGCGTCTCTCATCCAATCTCTTTGTAAGCCAACATTCATTCATTTCAAATTTATCCTTTCAATTTTATAGGAACTTAAGATCACAGATTGTTCCCTGCCACCACCACCACCAATTACATTTAGTGTAATGTCTATACACATACATGTAGTATACATACAGTTATTAGCAGCTTTGATCTGATGGCTTTTATTTTTGATAATAAAAGATTGATTGCCTCTTTTGATGACCAAATCGCATAGTGATTTGTGTAACGGACTGCTATTCCAAAGGTCGCGGGTTCGATTCCCGAACATTTGTGTGCATGAACAATTTAATGTTTAATTTGGTCTGGATATTTCTATGTATAATAAGTATGCATTTACAAAAAAAAAAGTATAAATGTATTTATAGCAGTTGTCTAGCACCCATAGTACAAGCTCTGCTTAGTCTGGGACTAGATGGCATTTTGTGAATGTGGTAGAATATTATTTAAAAATATTATTTATCTTACGACTAACAATTCACTTTAAAATAAGAGTTAAGGTTTTAACTTATAAATTGCCTTCGAATAATTTTAGGTATTCGGAATTGATTTCAGGTAAATCAGAAAAAAATTAATTGGTCTTCTGATGCTGGCAAGAAATTAGCTGATGCATTAATACTGCCTGAAAAAGTTCAAGAGTTTGCAATATGTAGAGAAATATTGATGACACAGAATAATAAAATTATATATGACTCTATATATCCATTTGCTAGTATATTTTTGGTTTATAATATGTCTCAAGCTATTAACAAAAAACTAAATCTGTATGCAAGACCTGTCATGTTAAGGGGCATACTATATTCGATTCTTGGCGTTTTTGGAGTTGGATTATATTTTCTTATGAAAGATATGACAGAAGTACATTTTGAAGCACAAACTGACAAGAAATTATGTGAACTTGGACCTGAGTATATTGAGAATGGAAAAGTATTTTATGAGAAAATATTAAAAAGAAATCAAGCTCTTCGAGAGTTGATGGGAAGAGAAGGAGAAGTCAAATACAGCAAAATGGGCAATGAAAATTTCGGTTTAAGACATCCTCGACTTGCTTTAGTGCACAGGAAACAATTCTTTGAAGAAAAATTAAAAGAATTGAGTGAGGGACATGCTAATGATGAAGTTTCAAAATAGAAAATTATTGTTAACTACATTATATAGTATGTACATTATATAGTATAGTTTGCAACATACATAACACATATTGTAAGTATTAGAGTTCAGTAGAAACAAGGTTATTAAAAATTATTTGTTGTATAAAATATTTTGTTTATCCTGTTTTTTTTTTTGTTTACGGGATGGAAGATCCTCATGGATGTCGTTCACCTAATGGGGGAGGGCGAAGGGGTCTATCGGTCTTACCAACTAAAAACCACCCAGTGTTCCTATCTTTGCCAATGGCCGGGGGACCGAGAATTGCATTTGCATTCTTTCACCACCCCTGACAGGCATTGACCCGTTTCACCCAAGACGGGTCTCGTCACCCGGTTCGATCGTCACACTTCGGTCGTAGTCCTCTAGAAGCGCACACGGAACACTGTGCGTGCCTCTTAGGTCTGTAACTGTTCGGACGACGAAGGACCCAAAATCGTCGCCCGCAAGCCACTTCCTAAGGTATCCGGAGATCGACGAATGCCGTCGAGAGAGCGGTTCAACGTTCTCTCTTCCGTCCCGCCTCATCCTTTCGCCAGCGTGTGAAACACCGTGTCGTCAAGGCAGTCATCACAATGATGGCACCGTGACGTCGTCTCCCGGCCGATCCGACAGATACGTGCTGAAGCAATCGAGTCTGGAAAGCACCTGCGTCATAGTGTTTCCTTTCTAGCCATTCTCGTGGGATGGGTCTTACCGCCGCTATATATACTAGGCTGCGCAAGCCGTTGCTCCAAGTAGCCACCAAGATCTGACGGAGCTCAGCCCGGTGTGCCTCTACTTCTCGAGGCACTGGTAGCTCACCACGATCCAGAGTATCCCTGCGCTACCGATACTGTATCGCAAGGAGTACTGCGTCCAGACCCCGGGGTGCGGATCCAGCAAATAGACTCACCGCTTCGAAGGATTTTGGTACGGTACCCTCTTATCACTCTGACGGCCATCGCACGTTGCGGCCTTCGCAAAACTGCGATATTTCGGGCTGTCAGAGTGTCAGACCATACTAGTGCTCCATAGAGTGCTATAGACCGTACGATCCCCGTATACGGCATTCGGCAGGATGGATTGGGCCTCCCTGAGTTGGGCAAGTGCCGGGTGGTATTCAAAAGCCTGTGGGTCAACCGCCGAGAGTGCGGCCCGAAATCCCACCGGCTATCGAGGACGTGTCCTAGATACTTCACCGTACGCTCGATGCCGATGCGGACGCCTCCCACCACGATATGGGACCCTGGAGTTGAGGCCTTCCGAGGCCCTTAGAAGCAAACGGCCTCGGATTTGTGCAAAAGCTACCTCTAGGCCCAACCGCTGGATCCTTCCGACCACTTGCGCAACCCCAGCCGTCGCCAGAATTGCTGCTTGCTGGTGCGTCTTCCCGCACCCTAGTACAAGCGTATCGTCAGCGTAGCAAATGACGCCTACACCATAGAGAAGTGAACCACGCAGGACCCAGTCGGAAGCGATGTTCCACAGGAGTGGGCCCAAGACTGACCCCTGTGGAACACCGCACGACATCTCTCGCTGACTCCAGCCATCGCGACCCGAATATATACCAGTTCTGTCCGTCAAGTAGGCCCCCACAATTCGATGGAGGTACATCGGCACCCCATAGTACCGAAGAGCCTCTCTAATTCAGCTCCAGGGCAGGGTATTAGAGGCATTGGTGATATCAAGAGACAGCGCCAAGACGACCTCACCCCGTGCAACTGCTTCTTCCGTCGAAGTCCTAACACGCATGATGGCATCCATTGTGGAGCGCCCCCGACAGAACCCAAACTGGTTATCTGCAAGGTACCGGACTGATCCGGATCCGGACCTACTCTAGTTATGTGCAGGACTACACGATCTGCAATTATTCTTTCTAAAAGCTTGTAGACCTCGTCCAGCAACACAATGGGGTGGTATGATGAGGGTGATGCCGCGAGGCGCCCTTCTTTCCTCAGTAAAACCAGTTTTCCAATGGCTTGGAAACTGGCTGTTCCAAGCATGCGGTGTAGAGGCCTACCAAAGGGCCAAAGGAACTTCGAGGCCTGGGGCGGTGCTTTTAGCTTGAAGTCGTAACACTGCCGCTCGAAGTTCTACCCGGGTCACTTTGGGCATCTCCTTATCGCCTTGGTCGTGGCCAGGGTACGAAGCGGGAGCCATATGCGGCGGTGTATGTTAAACGACTAGAGCGCCTCCTTGGCGGCAAAGCCAGCACGTGGAACCTCCAACCGAGACACCGGGATGACCAACGAGCCATCGTGGCTCGGCGAGCGGCCTCACGCCACTCGCGTACCTCTTCGGGTCTGGACTGACTGCCACTACCCGCCCGACAATCAGCTGTCTGCCGTCCGCCTCCAAATCCCACGCCTCCGTTGAAACGGTGCGGTAACCACGTATGTAACCGCCGATATCCTCTGAGTGCACCGTACAGTGCCATTGACCGGACGACCCCCGTGTACAGCCGTCTCGTTGCGACAAGAGCAGACGCAGCGCCGACCAGCTTTCTCTACCAGTTCCGCAGCTTTTTGTGCTGCAGCCAGTTCTCGTCTCGCTGCTGACAACCCCACATATCGATCTGAGGTTGGTGGGCGGTGTAGTGATAGTTCAGCCTGTGTCAATACGACTTTTGACTGTCCTGCACTATTTAAATTTTTGTTTATAGACTTTTCCATTTTAGTTCAACGAGTAGTGAGGAAGTATTCCAGGCTCTGCCTGGATCGAAGAATACCTGGGCAGGTAAAAATTTGTAACCCAACTAGGGGGTCTACAGTTACCCCAGCTGGGGGTGCGCTCACGACTGATGCTCCTCGGGAATTAGAAGCATGAGCTGTCACTTCTTGCCGCACACCAAAACTTAAGATTCAGATATTTTAATAGAGAAGTTTATTCCTCATGGTCCAGACAGTCAAGCCAAGGCCTTCGGTAGCAGTGTTCAGTTAGACACATGACCGTAACTCGACGTTCCTACTGGGATTACGATCAAGCTGCGAGGGTAGCGAAAGAATCATTCTTAGGCTACCTGCTCAGAGGCAGGGCAAGTGCTCACCGAGCTCGTCATAGTTCCTTTTTCCTAGAGGACCTATTTGCGCCTCTAATACGCCTTCTACGCTAGATCAGAGGGACTTTTAGAGTTAACGCCACGCCCTACACGGTGGTCTACGTCAGAATCCGTCGGGTATCCCGTTTAGTCTGCAATCTCCCTCTGGGCCATCCGGCATGAGTGACTCTACCGGCACAGCCCCATAGATCATGGACCCACAACACGGTACAATAATAATACAGTAGTGTAACTCGGCCGCATGATAGAAATAAATGCCTACAGCCGCGCGGTACGTAAACATGCGTTAGGGCTGCCCGTCTCCAGCATTTTAATTATATTTGCCTACTTTCTGTTTCTATTTAGATTTGTGATTGTAAATATCCTTTATATTTAAATATATGAAATACTTTGTATATTGAATAGGAAGTGTTCATTAAAAATGCGTGTTGTTTTTTGATTGGTAGATTTAATTAAAAAAACATGTTTTTGTTTGAAAAACAAATCGGGCTTATAAATTTGCGACCGAAAAAAATCTTTCTATAAAATAAAATCAATGTGCTTTCTCCTTACGCGTTACAAAACTCCAATCCTTAGAAACTCCAACACCTACCTACTCAACTAGAATGCAAGAAACAGCTGACGAGTAAGTAACTTTTTATGTCAGCTTATTAACGTCTCTATAAATTAGGTACCTACCTACAACTCGCAACAACTCAAAACAAAAATTCTTTGGTCACCAATTAATTATTAAAAAGCTGAACAGCTGACTACGAATGTTTTAAAATCACAGCTCTAGCTGTTGTTGTTGTTGAGTATCGATTTTTGTATTAAATCATTCATAAGGTTCACACACTCACTACCACATCCCTAGCGTAACTATTGGAAAGATGGCCGAGTTGGTCGATGCTCTGTAAAGCAATAAATAAAAATGTGAAACAAGGGAAGTGTTCTTTTTCCTAATAGAAGAGAAGAGTCTCCCGCTCTCATATACCTTCAACAGGTTATGGGTAGGGATGTGAGATTAATGGAAAAGAATCGATTAAATAAAAATCGATTTTTCTATATTAAAAAATTAATCGATTTGCCAAAAATCGATTATAATAAAAATAAATAATCGATTTTTTTGTATTATTTAAAAGTATATGCTTTAGACATTCCAATAATAAACCTAAGAGATTCATATTAACTATTTATCAGATTAAAAATAAAATAAAATTATATGAATAAAAAAATAACCTATTCGAAAAATTTCAAAGTAGGGAATTAGGAAACTAAATAGCATTATTGATACTCGTTTTAGTACTATGAAACGTTTTATTTATTATAATAAAAATGAAATGATGAGAATTTTTTATTTGACTAGTTTTAAAATAAAACACTTAAAATGAGAATTGAAAAACTAAACGACTACTCTTCATCAACAGTCTTTGATAGTCCACTGCTGGACGTAGGCCTCTCCTTAGAAAGGAGGTTTTGGCTTTGGTTACTCTATAGTCTCAAAAACTAAACTAAATTACAAATCATTCGTTAATCTTTAAGTTTAAATAATAATTATTGTCATAAATGTCCATGCAGTCCTATTTTACATTTGACTAGTATTAAAATAAAATACTTAAAAGGATCATTATCAATCCTGAACAACTACGTTATGGTCTCTAAAACTAAAATAAAAAACAATCTTTCGTTAATCTGCAAGTTTAAACAATAATAAAATTAAAAATAATTATTTCCACAAATGTGCAGTCCTATTTTACATTTGACTAGGATTAAACAATAATAAAATTTAAAATAATTATTACCATAAATTTTCAGGTAAGTAAGCAGTTTAAAAACAATAATTTTGATAGTCTCTTTCCTAAAATACGGTTTCGTGTTTTCCTGACCACATTTCCCGCTTTGGAAAATAATCTTTCGGACGGAGCAGAGATTTTTGATCCAACGCATAGATGGCGCTGTTTTTAAAATTGAAACATACCGCAAGATTTTTTCATTAGTCGCATAGATGCGAGCTGTTTCTGAAAATCGATTTAAACACGTAATTTATATAATCGATTTACTAAAAATCGATTATCATTACTATAAAAATCGAGAATAAAAAATCGATTATAAGAAAAATAATAATCGATTTCAATAAAAATCGATTATTTTTTAACATCCCTAATCCACAGTATAATGTAGCAAGCTATAAGCAAAACTAATGTCAAGTATAGTTTAGCGGAGGTTTAGTTCATTTCAAATGTAATGTTAATGTGTAATTAAGTTATCTAACCAATGTGACGTTATTATTTGCGGAGTGTATAAAATAAGGAAGTTATCAAGTTAGGCGTAATATTTTGCGCATCATAGACTTGATGTTGGATAAGCAAACTAGGATACGATTTTAAGGTGTAATTTGCTTGGATTTTTTTTTATACATTTCTGTTTCATGAAGTTGTGATTTAGTATTGGAATAAAAGATATTCAATCAAAATGTGTGGAGGATTCACTTGTTCTAAAAATGCTCTGATTGCCTTGAACATTCTATACGTGGTAAGAGATGTATTCACTTCATTCTGCATGACAATGATACAAAGACTGTAATGAAACTAGCATACGGTTATATATTTTATCTTATTAAGATTTCTTCATTCTATTTTGTAACGTAATTTTCTCAAAACGTGACAGATTAAACCATCAAAGTCGTCTTCTTCGTTAATTTTTTCTGAAATATTGCGAGAGTGCGAAAGCTCTCTTCAAGCTAATTGAACTTTCACTGTTCGTTCATTAGCCTAATATGTTTTACCATATCCTTTTAGGTGGTTGCAAGTATCCTTATATCAGTGGCTGTGTATGGACAGGCATCATCACTGGTCACAAACCTGCCTATAGTGGGAGGTATACTAGCATGTGGGGTATTCCTGATTTTAATATCTCTTTTGGGACTTCTTGGAGCAGTGAAGCATCATCAGGTTATGCTATTCTTTGTATCCTTTTGAAATGTTATACTTACCTTACAATAATTGTTTTAATACTAATGACCTCAATTATATTTGGCTATATCATAAATATTAGGCATTTGTCATTGTTATTTTCATGACATACTTTCAAAAATTAACATTTCTTTAAATGTTCTTTCACTGTAATACCAAAATGTTTAGTAACAAAAACACATTTGATAAACATCTATTATCAGAAAAGAGTTGTGTGCAATTCAATTTTGAAAGTCTATTGCCTTTGTTCTACATTATTATCAATAGTATGAACAAAAGTATGTAGTTAGTGATTACCGTACAACTCATTTGCCTGGCTCATTACTTGATAAGTGATGTGAGACTGTGAGGTAGAAAGTTGGATCCTCATCTAGAAACAATATTTTGAGGCTACTGCACGGATGGCGTAGTGGTTTAAGTGGTCGCTACGCTTTCTACTACACCGAGTGTTGTGGGTTCAAACCCCACATAGGACAACACTTTGTGTGATCCACAAATTGTTGTTCTAAGTCTGGGTGTTCTTTGTGTCCGTTTCATGTATGTTTGCAAAGTCCCCCGCGACACAGGAATATATATTCCTAATGCGGGCGTTGTCTTTTTAAAAGAAAGAAAAAAAAGAAAGGCTAATACACACACATGAAATACATTATTACTGATTCAAACAAGATAATAGATAATTTTTAAATAGTGATGGCATCTTTCACAAGTAGTAAGCCTTAGGATTACTTAATAGACTACATTTTTTACTATTAGCTGTAATAGAAAAGATCATAAAAATATAATTGTGTGCACATCCTTATTCAACATGAATGTTATGTTATTGTATTTATAATCCTTAACTCAGTGTTTAGTATATGGTGATTCTTTTCCTGCTCTTCCTGGTGCAGTTCTCCGTTGCATGTGCCTGTCTGACTGTCAACTCAGACCAACAGGAAATATTAGCTCGTCAGGTAAGGTTATAATTTTTTATGCATTCACTAGGTATTTATTCTAAGAAAGTGTTGATGATATTCGTTTTTGTGTTACTCTGCTCTTATCTAAAAAGTTCCATGACCTTAATAATTTTACTTTTAGAAAGTCATATGAACATGACATACATTTTTTAAGACCCAGTTGCCCTCATGAATGGATGTCTTTGTGATTAACTATTGTTAATAGTTTATTGTTACTAGATATTGTTTTTTTTTATGACTTATAAATAGCATTTATCTATAACATGCATACTAACAGGTACTTATTTGCTTCTAAGAAGGTAAATCATAGCAGTATCTTTAAATTTCACCCAGAGTCAACTGGTTAAGATCCCTATGAAAGACAAATAGCATTAAGGAACAATGGAAAATAAATGTATAAATAAATACATGCATATATTATATAAATGAATTTGAGTTTGCCAAACATTTTATCTTATCAGTCTGAGTATTCTGTATTATCAGACATTTAGTGTCAATGTTTGTAATATTTCATTGTACATATCTGATCTTATATATAAACATTTATGCAGGTTGTAAATCTATATTTGACCTGCAAACTAACTTTGGTTAAAGTTATGATTGAAACAAACTTAAGGTTGATATTTCGAGCCTGAATTTTTTTAAACAAAGATTTATTTTTCTCGGTTTCATAAGGGTGATAAATAGATTTAGTTGAGTCTTTAGATGGTCATAAAATTTTGTACAGAAACATATTCTGTACATTAAATAAGAAATCGACTTGGATACCAACACAGGAAACTAATTTCATATTTTTTGTATGCCTTTCAATATAATATTTGATTATCTAGGGATGGAACGAAGTGCCTATAGAAGTTAAGGCACAGGTACAAGAACGGTTCGAGTGTTGCGGTTTTCAGACCAGGCTGCCGCAAAATGGAACAGCCACACATCCTTCCTGTGTAGATGTTGACGTAAGTCGTTATTTATTACACTAAGATGCCTTTATTGGGGTGAATTTTGGATTGATTTTATTTTAAGATAACACTATCAACTTGTACACTACAATCATGTTGCCAACCTCAAACCTCATTGCTACACTGAGAGGGGCAGCTCTATTTCATTTAAAAAGCAAACGGGTTCAAATGGGTTTGAAAATCTCTCTCTTTCTTCTTTGCAATTATTGAAAGACAGTGGACACATGTCGATACTAACCTACAGCATTGGAGTTCGTGTTCTATGTAAATTCTGTAATGAGTAAAGACTGACGGGTATACTTACATACTGAAGTTCAATTTCATACTTACTTTTTTTAATTAAAAAAATATATCTGTTGAACTGATTAAAACAAAAATTTATTATAAAACAACCAAAACAACTTGACTCGGGAATTATGGCATTTAGATATAATTTATTTTCTTTTTTTTAAATATAATAATATTTTCTTTAGGTTTAATAAAAACTTTGCATGTAGTGTTCGCTTGTAGGTATAGCGAATATTTTGTCCGATACGCGAAAATTTTCGTAGATACACAATGAAAATGCAATGTAATTATAATCTTTTGAAATACAACTTTGCAGTATTTTTCATTTTATTACTGTTTCTTTCATAACATAAACATGACCTGATCTTACTCATGTTTTATTGATGATCGATAAAAAAATTGACAAATCTTGATGAATATTCCAGAAAAGATGTTGCCAGAATGCATTGGACCCACTTCATTGTCAGTGTGAACCTTGTATGGAACGACTCAAAGAAACAATTGACTATGCATTCAAACTATGTGGTGGCATCGGACTGTTCTTCAGTTTCACAGAGGTTGGTACATTTGTATATAAACATTATATTGCTATTTGTTGTCATTGTTCAATCTAATATCTTTAAATACGAACAAAGATAAATGAAGTAAAATAGTAGACATAAGCAATAGCTAAGCAAATATATATTTTTTTAAACATTTGATTACTTTTAATTATTCGATAATAATATTCAGTGATTGAATACCAAAGATTTGTATTAACTTTTCAAAACCCACTCGTCTGTTTACACAAATATGCTTTTTCTATAATACTAGCTGACCCGCGCAACTTCGTCTGCGTCTCTCAAGTAATAAATTTTCTCCGTTTTTGAAACATTCTTCATTGGTGCTCCGCCCCTATTGCTCTTAGCGTGATGATATATAGCCTATAGCCTTCCTCGATAAATGGGCTATCTAACACTGAAAGAATTTTTCAAATCGGACCAGTAGTTCCTGAGATTAGCGCGTTCAAACAAACAAACAAACAAACTCTTCAGGTTTATAATATTAGTATAGATGTACAATTTCATTGGCCTTGAAGGCCTGAAATATAGGATTTCTCTAGTTTAGGCTTCAATAAAATTCTCCCCTAAAATCTATTTAATATAGACACTGTTATACTTAACCTGTATATAACTGTTAAATACTTTGTGGTGGCAAATCAATAAATATTATAATTATTTGGTGTTCTTTGAAATGATTGCTATACTTGAGCCAAATTGGATATAGAATCTTTGTAAACACACTAAATGTCATCATGTTTAAGGTTGTCATAATTAGAATGAATGAAATATTTTAATTTTTTCTCTATAGCCTATTTAAAATTACTATTTACTCTCATTGCATTTGCCTTGACTTGATCTAACCTCCAAATAAAATAATAAATACAAAAAATAAAAAAAAACAGTTTACGTTGTAAACAGTTATGTATATTTACGAATTTTCTTCGTTTCTAAATCGTTAGCAAAAATATGCCGACATTCTGGATAGCGAAATACCCTTCATGCCTCATCATCATACAATTCACGCATTTAAGAATAGGCATAGAGTTGTATCATCTTTTTTGCACAACTTCAGCACAATAAATAGCTACGTATATTTTCCTTTTCATTCATTATCTATGATATTATGAATTGTTAAAATGTTTGAACAATTTGTAGTTAGAAAATGAATATCAAAAATTTAAGTAAAACGTCTTTTTATCCATGTTTAATTAAAAGCATGAATATGTGTTTGTATTGGTAGCATAACCTAATATGTTGTATCACTTAGGTACGTAGGTTCTGAATTCAAGCAATTTAATCGATTTAGTGAAACCTATAATACATATGATAACTATAGTAAATTGCATTTGCATCATCACTGTGGTGAGGGATTAAGAATACGGAGTGTCACCACCACTATTCATCCCGTGGGTGTCTTAAGAGCCGACTAAGCGAACAAACTACGAACGAACGACGAACAAACTACGAACTACGAAACTATGCATAACTAGCACTGCAAAGAGAAGGAAAAGAAACCCGTCTGGGCAGCTTGGTATAATAGGCCAAAACCTCCTTTCTAAGGAGAGGCCTATGTCCAGCAGTGGACTAGTAAAAGCTGTTGATGATGATATAATACATACAGCTAATATATCTCACCTACAAAATTTTAAATACGACCTTTTTACGAGTGCATATAATTTTACACAATACACATATTCACGGAATACGCAATTTGCAAACTTGTTATCAAGGTTATCAACACAGTTCTTTTGTTGTGCGATTTTCTCGGGTGATCACCTCAATATATGTAAAGATGAAGCAGTATATTTACCGAACTAAAACCACACGGAGTGCTAGCAAGAAACTCCTTACCTTTAGATAAAATATATTATACATTACCTACCTACCTTACCTTATGCCTTAAAAAGGTATACGTTAAGAAGAAAGAGTCAGGATAACTGTTTGCAGACTATGGCCACCACTTGGAGGACATTACCACCCATCCATCCATCATCATTAATTGAAATAAAAAAAATATTCCAGATCGAATTTGGCTGAAGTAAAAATAAAGTTATGTATTTTTAAAGTAAACAAATCAAAGTAGTAATGTGCGAATCGTTGACCTTACTTTCACTGAATAAATATTCAGGTTTAAAATCATAGACGTCTTAAAACATATTTACCAGTAATAACTAATTAAAATATAAAGGAATAAAATATTTAAAATTGTAATTCTATCGTAAAAAATAAAAAATAAAAATTATCTTCTGTGTATGGTCCAATCTGATATTTTATGCACATTCCTTACAATGTGAATACCAGCTATTTATAAAAGATCGTGAAACCAAACTTGAAATAAATATGACGGTGTTCTGTTACTTTTTATATTAGTATACAGCAATACATATATATATACGAGTATATATTTGTTATGCAACTTTTACTGCATGTAGTTACGAGGTACTTGAGTTATGAAACTAGCATGAATGATTAGTCTCGACTTGAAGTCTCTTTTCTATTATTCCTTTTTGTTGAAAACATTATACATCAATTGTATGGTATTCTATATTGTTTGATATTATCATTGTTACCACGACCATGACATATAATAGCATACTTATATTTGAACCAATGTGATATAATCAATGATACAATAAATGTGTATAAGTTAACTTCCAAATTTTTAACTTATAGTATTTTTTCAACATTTCTTTCCCATGTATTTAGCAAAAATAATTAACATGCGTACTCGAGTTTGTCAATACTTAATAATGCATTTTTTCTATCTGTCAATGATTATTAAATATGGTTCAAGTATAAAAATGTTTTAGCTTTCATCTTTGACTAATGATAGGACGATTAATTTGCAGTTTCTGGGTGTATGGTTGACAGTAAGATATCGTAACCAAAAGGATCCGCGAGCTAACCCCAGTGCATTTCTGTGAATAATACGACGATGTGGAACTTTAACACTAACCTGAGGTGGATTGGTGTTTTGCTTTGTGTTGCATGTGTTTTTGTCTGATGTGCGCATGCAGCTTCTCTTTTTATTTTCTGATTATTATTTACATTTTCTGGAAATTCAGTCAAAGTAAATATTATATGGGATGGTAACTATTGTGCCCTACATATGTCTCAGAGTTATTCGGTACTTAATCGAATCTATGTTCTGGGTTCTTTGGAAGAAATCGTTGATATGAACACACTTTACATATTAGCTTAGTTCTGTTTCGGTGATGATATCATATGATGTTTCGAAGTGTGTGGTACTTTCTTGTATGTAATAAAGTACCACTACTTTTAAACTCAATTTGGAAGTCTAGAGGAACTTTTAATAATAAAAAACTTACAGTTATACCAAGGTTATTGTTTGTGAACGTAGATTTAAAAAATGAACAATATGCGCCACACAGCTGTTATCGTATTTTGTACATTTCATAGTCAGGAGATTGAGTCCTTACTCCTGAAAAGCAGCCATCAATAGATCGTTCTCAACGAAAAGTAATGCATTCTTACATACTTGCACTGTATATGTGTTACCTAATGTTTTCAATTCGCCTACTTTTCTCCATACAATTCAATTGTATCTGGTCTGGACATCGATCTATCCGACCGACCTAAAACAATCGAGACTCTAACTAAAACCCATTTAAATAAATGCTGTACTATTATAAATCTGGGCTATAAGGCGATTATTAGTTAGTAGAATAGGAATAATTTCTAATTGAAAGTGTTATTAATATAGATATTATAAAATTTGCTGATCTTATTACAAGAAATCATCAATTCCCTAACTATATCTCTCATAACTTATTTCCATTGAAGGTTAGTCACAGCTGCCTCGACATGGAGATAATAATAAATAATTTCCTACATCTTAATTGTCTTATCCGATTTAGACACTGCATAAAATCATTATCATCCCTTTGTATCGTTTTGTTTTCAAAGCGCATTTTTAAATCCATTTATAAACTTCTGTCCGCCTTCATCTTTGCACTGACTATGTTACTCAATTTGCATGCATGTTATGTTTGATACAACACACTTGCAATACTTTAGTAGGCCGAATTTTATGATCTAATAGAGTAGTGGGTTCATCTTACGAGGGTGGTCTGAAAAGTTTCTGACTTAACAAAGATACAAGACCTTTTTTCTCTTATTATTTTATTTTTCAACATAGTCTCCTTGTAACTCTATTCTCCCGGCGTTGTAACCCGTCCATATAGTACTCGGCGTTTTTCTCTGCAAAATAATTGTTTACGAAGGTGATTGCCTCTTCATTTGACGAAAATCTCTGTCCTCCGAGCGCAATTTTTAGATAAGGGAACAAGAAGAAGTCCCTTAGGGGTTGGTCTGGTGAGTGACGCGGATGGTCAAGCAGTACAAACCGTAATTCATGGATTTTCGCCATGGCAACCGCTGGTGAAACAGGATTTTCTTTTCCTGCAAATGAGGAGGTTTTGCCGCAAGTTCTGCCTTCAGCTTGACAAGTAATGATGCGTAGTATGCTCCTGTAATGGTTTTTCCTTTTTGGAGATAATTGATTAAAATAACTCCATGACTATCCCAAAAAACAGTCGCCATCACTTTCCCAGCAAAAAACAGTTTTTGCCTATTTTGGAGCCGGTTCCCTCTTTGCAGTCCACTGCTTGAACTGTATTTTTTGTTTCGGGCGTATAATGGTGTATCTAAGTTTCATCTACAGTAATTAATCTCGGATTTATTGCGCCAACAGAGCGTTGGAACTGTTCATTTGAACACGTTTTTGGTCTAACGTGAGCAAACGCGGCACCCAACGCGCTGACAGCTTTCTCATATTAAATCAACATTTAGACATGTCTAACACTGTCACATATTAAATCAACATTTAGACATGTCTAAATGTTGATTTAATATGTGATAGTTCTTTTGACATGTTCATGACCTCTGCTGTCTCTCTCACTTTAATTCGGCGGTCGTCTAGCACCATTTGTTGAACTTTGGTGATGTTTTCGTCGGTAGTTGCAGTTTTTGGACGTCCCGAACGTTTATCATCTCCCAAGCTCTTACGGCCACGTTTAAATTCAGCTGCCCAAAATTTTACTGTGTTAAATGATGGCGCAGAGTCCCCATACACAGAATCCAACTCAGATGAACAGCGAAATTCACTAGCTTTTATTCACGAGTGCTGCCATCTTCGTGTTGAGGTCGGAAACTTCAGACCACCCTCCTATATCGTTTCTTCGAGAGAGAGAACCAGTGTATACTAATACATAAAGATAATTCTTTGTTGCCTTTTTAACAAATTTTATATTTACCTGAAATCTAGCGAGCTAACATATTTATGTGTTATAATTTATTTATTTAATTCTTTTTGCACAAACAACAATACATTGTACAATGGCGGACCTAATGCCACGGGCTACTTTTGGGTTTTTTATATGTAACGAGATAATAGTAATTAAGGATATATATGGACAGAAACAGTGTGACAGATATATGTACATACTTACTGAGATACACATAGATATATACTTGCTGAGTTACATACATTTACATACATACATATTATACACTAGCTGACCCACGCAACTTCGTCTGCGTCTCTCAATAGTAATAAATTTTCTCCGTTTTTGAAACATTATTCATTGGTGCTCCGCTCCTATTGGTCTCAGCGTGATGATATATAACCTATAGCCTTCCTCGATAAATGGGCTATCTAACACTGAAAGAATTTTTCAAATCGGACCAGTAGTTCCTGAGATTAGCGCGTTCAAACAAACAAACAAACAAACAAACTCTTCAGCTTTATAATATTATACATACATACACATACTATATAAAAGTTTAGGGATGTGATGAATCTGCTGGAGTGTCGAGAATTCGAGCTCGGACTTTCGTCTTAAATGAGAGGCGGCTGGGTGCTATCCTGATTCCAGACGTAGAGCGTTCCAGCGGAGGACAGATTGGATTAGAAACGAAGAGTGGACACATGTGGAAGAATGAGTGGACATAACAGAAGTGGATTGTTTGAGGAACGGAGGGTTCTGTTGTGATTGGAACATAGAAATTGAAATGAGGATGCTAACATCCTAAGTAGGAAGGGGAAATAGGTGAGTTGAGTATGGAATAGAGGGTCGTGAAGGCGTGCAGCTGACAGCGCTGACGAATCGTAACCCAGTTCAATTCGCGACCAGAGGAGGAAACAAGGTCGTATTTGCGATGGTTAAAGACGAATCAAATGCAGTTATTCAGAAGGCGGTCATATTTATTGAGATCTGCATTCAGGTCATAATAGCATACATCACCATAATCCAAGATAGAAACAATAAGCGATGCTAGTACAGACCGTACTAGCATCGCCTTGGGTTTGGAATGAAAGAAGTTTTTAAGCCGATAGAAGACCCGTAGCGTGCCTGTGACTCTCTGGCTGACGCTGGTAACTTGGGTTTGCCAGCTGAGCTTGGAGTCGATAAATAGGCCTAGGTTCTTAACAGAGGTACTGAAGGAAATGACTACGCCTTTATAAGTAATGGCTGGCAGTTTGTCTTGATCCATCCTTCCAATTATGCGCTGACTGCTTATGATGATGGCTAGGCACTTCGCTAGATTCACTGCCAAACAAAACCCATCAGCCCAACTGCTAATAGCCTCCAGGTCATTGTTAACCATAAAAATGGCCTCATTTATGTCGTCTGTCGAGGCTTGATAATAGAGTTGCTAGTCATCGGCATAAAGATGGTACGATCATTGAAGACTCGGGGTGATAAAATTTATAAATATTGAGAATAATAGAGGAGAGAAATGGCAACTTGAGGGACACCACAGTCAAGCTCACGCCAGCTTGAAGAGACTTCCTCAACGCGGACAGACTGTTGGCGACCCTCAAGATATGAGGAGAACCATTCCAGTGTATCAGGCGCAATCATAAGATAGGAAAGGATGGATAGAAAGATATCGTGACTGACGGTGTAGAATGCGTTTCAGAAATCAACCAAAGCCAACACAGTAGCTTTGGATTTCTTAATTCCTGCTCGGATGTCGCCGGTCACTTTTAGCAGTGAAGGAGTGCTACGCCCGGGCCTGAACCCCGATTGGAAAGGGCTTAGTGAATTGTTACGGTAAATATGTTGGGATAGTTGTGCGTTAACACAGGCCTCGAGGACTTTGGACGGGAAGAGAGGAATGGAGTTCGGTCGGTCGTAGGTGATTCAGGAGTTTTGGATTCGGGGTCTTGGGAAGGGGTATCACAAGCGCCTTATGCCACGATGTGGGATAAGTCCCCGAGTCAAGAGAAAAAATAGTTGAATTGCGTAAGCCTGGGAAAAAGGTGATTATGGATGATCATGCGACGGTTAATGTTATCACATCCCATGGCGTTGGCATTGATTGATAACATTGTGTGTTTTGACTATACCTGGTTCTATTGGAGAAAACTGACAAGCTTCAATATTGGGACGGGGTAGGTCTGCCAGGAACTGTAACGTCCGACATTTGATTTGGTAATCCAACTCTAATTATGATTAGAAATGACTTTAATAAGTGATATGGAAATCGTTACATCAGGCTACACAAGTCCATGTAACGAATGCCTGATGCTGACCTGTTCAGGTAGGGAAATCTATACAAAGACAGGTCAACTTATATTTGAAGTATATCGCTTGACTTATAATATTAATAATTCAATTTAAAAACCGAATTTAACAAGTTATGGTAGGGTTCGACCATCACGCCAGATAATGCAATCTTTAAACTAATGTTAATTTGTGAACTTATGCTAGTAATTAATTTAACACCACCGCATGCTTTGCATACACCTGCTTGTTTCTGATCTTGTATGATATGAGATTTAATATAGTTAATACTAACATTGAGGACGTTTATTCCTTTTCGTTGATTAATTTTATAATGGCTTTTGTAACTTAAGTCAACGATATATGTATTTATCATTAAATAACGTTGAAAAACGGATTAACGCTTTTAAGTTTTCGTGTTGCGTTATATTACTTCATGGGAATTAAAGCGATTGTTGCATATTGACGAGTTTATTTGATTTCAAATTAAAAGTATTAAAAGTTTAATAGTGAGAGTAACAAAGAAAGTACATTAGATATTTCGTTATTAAAAAAGTACTTTTAACTTGCACTAAGTCCGGACAACTACTTATATTTTATTCATTTAACTGTAGTAATTCATATAAAATGAATATTATTTTCATACTTCCTGTGACGTAGTATAACCATATTAATACTTTTATAACAAGTACCCTGTTATTAATACTAATATTTACATATTTAATGTGTTTTTAATTTTATTAACTAATAAAATGATATTTTTCAGCTTTTCGCTGTATGGCTCGCCCGTCGTTACCGGAATCAGCCTGACCCTAGCTACAAAGAACCTCACGCTATATTTCCTAGGAAAAATTATCTTTACTAGATTAGTTTGTCTCTTGAATTTCAGAACTTATGTTTCTGTGGACCTTTAATTGTAATGTGATATTTTCACTGCTCATTCAGATACGAGATGTTATAGATTTATACATGGCAGTAGATATGCCTACTCTGCTCTTTTAACTTTTCATAAATGAACATATTGCCGAACCACAACCTAACAAAATGACATAATTTATATCATTCGTACTTATTTAAGGAGTACTTTAGAAAAACCTAAAGATTTGATACAGTTTAAGATTTTACTAGCTTTGTTTTTGTTGTAACAACTTCTCGTATGTATTTAAGACTAAGTAAAAAGACTTTATTATTTTATCGAATATGTGAACTCCTTTGTACATATAGAACACGGCTAACATTAATTTAATACGTATGAGCCGTCTCTCGTGGCTTCAACAATATTTATTTAGTCAAATTTCTATCCTTGATATTATTAAATTACTTTTGCAACCAAGTAACAATGGAACATAAATATCTTTTGATATTAGTTTTTATGTGTATTATTATTGAAACTTGCTATAACTACTTCATTTTAGCTCTGATCATATCTTATAACATGGCTAAACATTTCACGCATATTGTGAACTTATGATGTGTATTAACATAACCTTACATTAAACATTTTTATTTTACCCATATAATACGTTACTTCAAAGAGGTCATTTATGATCTCTTGATTGCATTTGTTTTCATTTAAGCAGTGCTAGGAATTTATAAATAAGTTTTAGTTACATTTCGTCTACTAGTCAGTAGTCTAATAATTTTAGCATAATTCTCATACTCGCTTTCAATTTTAAAATACCAGTAAACGAAGCCAGAATGAGGCTTTATGATCTGAATTTGTTTTAGATGGCTAACTATATTAAGTTCTATTGTGAATTTAAAGGCTAGATTTTCCGCTCCAATGACTTGCCAATGTTTTGTTGCATATATTTCTAACTCAACTAAGCTTTAATTAGACATTTTAAAAATTTATTTTAATAACATCCCCAGTTTAGTAGAAAACATTTACATTTTAGATACCTTTTAATTTATAGGAAATTATTTTTGCTAGATTCCTTTGTTTGAAATACTTTAAAATTTAAGATTTTTTTTTATTAGTAATCATTTTACACCATTTTCAATTGCATGAATTTGAAATCTTCTATCAAGAATAATTATTATACATTATAATAGCTACTACCCTACCTAATGTAGGTAACATTTTGTAATAGTTTTATTTCCCAAAAAAAGAACACATAATTCCTTATTATTGTGTACTGTTGTATATTTATCTAATTATTCTTAATAAAGTGTGCAAGCATTATGAGTTGTATTTCAATCCCCTTTTGTTCATAATTTAAAATAGAATGACAGAAATACACAACACCGTTTTAGTTCTCGTAGGTACTGTCCATGGCCAACGTATAGGCTTAAAGGGGTAGAGGCAGCAGAGGCGTCAAAGAACCACATTTTTTGTTTAATTTGATCCTACTTGCGTAATAGAGGACAAATCCAAACTCGTTCGTCTTTGGCAATACCGTCAATAAACGAATTTAATTAATTTAATTCCAGTTACCTACTGTAAAAAAAATGCAATTGTTCTGTCAAGAAGCAAAATATTCAAATCAACTCAGGCATTTAGGAATTATCGTGGGATCTCATAGGTACATGAAGTCTGGAAACATTACACTTCTGTTTTGCGCAGCTGCAGTGTTGAAATGCTCAAGTGAATGAATTAGCATAAATTAATTTTTACCCATACTACGTACTACGAGACGACGGCTACTGAGATGAAATGCTCGAAGCCTTTATTTGTGTAAGCCCCGGCTGATTGAGCCCGAGTTCAACACCAATTTATAGGATGATGTTCTTCTGATGACTTTCCGATCAAGTAGAGTTGAGGGAGAAATCATAGCGGTATCTATTACAATATTTCCTTATTGGGATATGCTAAAGCTGATGAGAGTATGGTACCCATTAATTCTTATTAATTAGGTCTTTGCCTTCTTTGAAATATTTTTATTTCAGTCGAACCGACCAAAATCCGCACGCAGTCTCGGGTACCAGTAGCCGGGGAACGAGGTGTACCCTAGAAAGGAAATCGTGCCTCGGATCGTCTACGGATTACAGATGACGTCCTCCCTGATGTTGAATCAGGATCTCTGTTGTCTCTGTTCACCCATGATATGGGAACAGAAGATCCCGAGTTACGCCATCGTGGCACACGTTCGCCTGGAGGATTCGGATATGTGGATCCATTATTGAATTTTCATCACCGAATTCCGCTGTGAACCTTGCCGCTCTCCATCGAGCCCTGTCGTCGACGGATTAGGGGCGGAAAGCTGGCCCTCCGGCATTAGTCCCGACCCGGCGAAGGTTTACTGCCAACCCAGTGGTATGCCCAGGAACAATTTTGAATTAAACTTGAATAAATATTCGAATAGGCTACAGTCTGTAGAGTCAATGACTCTACAGACTGTAGCCTATTCGTTTGGGAACAACGCCCCATTACATCAACACCTTACCAGAATTATTGGATTTGCTCACGAGTTGCTAGTTCAGATAATATGTTTAGAGTCATGTACAAAAGATTGTTATATCAAAATTAAAGAAGGCGCACGAGCAAACGATTCACCTGATGGTAAGTAACTACCGCCGGCCATGGACTTCTAACTAATAGAGAGCATCTTCCATTACTTAATAGCCTCTGCTTCACGTTTCTCTTATTTAAACAGCTTACGATGTAGACATACTCGTACGTGAAAACTTTCTAAAACTTGTTCAAAAAGCTTTTAAAGTGCCTTGTTTATTAGTTTTGGTTATTTTTCTCATGAAATATTAATATTTTTATGCAGTTTCTAAACAGCCCACTCAGGTTTTTTTTTTCGTTGATGAAGATATTAATAACGATAAGATTTATTGACCTTTTTTTTTTTTTTTTCCCGTGCGGAAATCCCCTCGGATACCACCTGTCGGTGGCATGTCGGACTCGAACCGACTAAAACCGCACGCCTTCGCCGGGTACTAATAGCCGGGGAACCAGGTATACCCTAGAAAGGAAGGCCCTGGTGCCCCGACATACCTCGGGTCATCTACAGACGAGTAGACGACCCCCGCCCCGTGTGGGAACCCCATGTTCCCTGTGCTCCCTGGAAGCGAGCGCGCTTCGCAACGCGCTCGCCGAAGATTTATTGACCTAGAACTTTTAAAAACATTTTGATACAAACAATGACGTACCTACGTGAATATATGAATATTCTGTGTTATTACGCAAACAGTACGTTATATTTGTCAATCAAGTTCCTACTTAAAAACAATACGTAATTGGTGTTTTAATAGAACGTACTTATTTTCATTGGTTCTAAAATATCTACAACACACAGGAACGCCAACTTTAAAAAAGTAAAATTAAAATATATACAGGGGTCACGATCGAGACCCTGCAGCATCTCCTTTCTTTTCGCTTCTTTGGCGCGGCTTATGGCCAGCTTCAGAGTTTGCCGAGCTTCTCGGTACTCCTCATGAAGCCCGTTCTCCTCACCATCTCCGCGGTAACGCCGCGCACTGCGAGTGTAGGACCTCCGGGCACGTGTACAGGCCGCACGGAGGTCTGCCAACTCCTCACCAGTAGACCTCCTGTCTTGGAGGCCGACGACCTTGGATGCGGGGCATGGCCGCATCGTAGATTTGCGTGATCGCATCGCGAAAGCGACCAGCCTCCATATCGACCTCCTCGGTCGGAGCCTGAGGAGGCAACCAAAAGTGAATTATTGCTGCCTCCTCTAGTAGGTCCCTGTTCAGTCTGGCAACAGACCACCGCGGAAAGCGGAAGAAACGCCGCGCCACGTGACCCCTACTGGGGTCCTGGGTCCGGGAGAGCTCAAATCGGATATATAAGTGATCCAGGACACACCAGTTCCTTCCTCGTGCGGCAAGGGCAGGGGTAGCAAACGAAAGGTCCACTATCGACCCCCCTGCTGCCGCACGCACGTGTTGGTGGAGTCTATGTTCAGAAAACAAAGGCCCACCGAAGCCGCCCACTCCTCTACGGCCTCACCCCTTGCGTCCGTCCTGGGGGATCCCCACGCAATGGATTTATCGTTGAAGTCTTCCAGCACAAGGACGTGCCCAGACGCTAGTCGCCGCGTCGAGGTCTTCAAGCTGTTCAGTAAAACTCCGGTTGGGGGAGAAGTATACACCGTATATAGTGATCCCCCACACTTTTTTTTTACAGGGACTAATCCCACCCACACGCCCACCACTGTAACTCCTGTACACCAGGATCCACAGCAGTGACCCACGAACACACCGAGTTATGACACTCGGGAAGTCCCAGGAAGAAATTAAACTTGGAACCCGCAACGAAATTAATCAGAAGAAAATTGGAGGAGTTGGAAATACAGTAAATCCTCTTCCCTCCTTAGCAAAGCGGGAGACAAAATGAAGTAAAATAGGCATACACCCTTTTAAACAGGGAAGCACCACGGCCACAAAATATTACGGGTCCTACATGAGCTATATTTGATTTCTATAATATGTATGGCAGAATCGCCTAAACGCACGGAAATTCACCCTAGTTGACACAAGATCCCCATAGTATACCGCCCCAGATGTCACCTGCAAGCTATTCAGCATTATATTACGTTCATTATACCAAAGACTACATTCCCAGAGGATATGATGAGCAGACTGTTCATAATGAGAGTTAGGTGTTGAGCATTGACACAATGGTGACTCGACTAATTTAAATGAATACAACTTGCTCTTAAAGTTACCATGACCCGTAAGAAATTGAGCGACACAGTGATCCACCTCAAGCCATGTCCTCGACAACCGTTCGCGAACAGATGAAAAAAATTGGTAAAGATGGCGCCCCTTGGATGATTCGTCCCAGCGTTGCTGCCATTCGTCTATGAGGTCATTATAGACATCGGACTGCTGTTGAAGCAATCTTGTAATTTTACCGCGATCCCGTGCGCCCAAGAAATCGCATTCCATGTTTTG